ATTACGGGTAATAATTTGAAGAAGATTTGAATATTGAGTTAAAATTTTTCTTCAAGATTTTGTGCTTCTAAATAGCAAGAAAAGACTATTAAATATTATTTCGCATCATTTTTTTGGATCTTATGTAATTTTTAATCATGCAATTTTTGATGAAGTTTGAGAATAATAAAAATTACCACCAAGGCTTGATTAAATTCCTGTTGCTAAATAAATAAGAGGTCAAATCTGACTTGGATCAAAGTATACTTGACAACCGAATAGATCTTTTGAAAAATTATTTTTGATATTAATAATAAATAATAGTTAGAAAATGAATAATGAATTGGTTTATTAATGGCATTGACTCGAGTTTGGTAATGATTATTACAGTAAAGGTGTAAAAGCTAATTGAAACTCTGGTGTCTTATCAGCAACTTCTACGCGATTGCATCGGTACCATTGGTGCAGCGAGCGCACTATGAATGGCTTATCAGTATACAAGAAGTTGTAGAAATCGACGCAGGTCAATGATTCTCGGAGTAAGAGAAATCTGTAGAGGAGAATAATCATTGGATTGTTTTCTCTTTCTCTCAATAGCATTTTCTCAGATTGAAAAGCTTTTGCTGTATGAAATATGGGTCAGAGATATGAGTAAAGCCAACCCTTCCTGCCGGTGGCTATAATGGAATTAGTATTTAATAGCTGAAGGGAGACTTGTGGATAGAAACGGAGAAGAGGGTTCTAAAAAGTAAGTGGATTCTCAGTCGATTTCACATTTTTTCATCAAACGATAAAACGATCTTTCTCTTGTAATAGTAATTGTAATAATAATAACAATAAAATTATAATAACAATCGTAATAATAAGGAATAATAATAATAGCATTATAACAATATGAATAAGAATGTTAATGATAAAATAAATAATTCCAGACGTGCAACGAGTCAAGTTGTCTCCAAGAGAGTCTGCGGCAAGCTTTACGTACTCCGGAGAGTCCGCAGGAAGCGTGTGCTTTGCTAACGATGACAAACGACGGCCGCTACACAGTGCAAGGCGGAGACGATATTTATGCTAATCTAGTCTCTCTCACACGACAAGCGACAAGCATGAGGCGCGTGCGCTTGTACCATTCTTATATATTTATCTGCCACTGTGCACACATATGAAGAAAACTATCGTCAACTTTTTATTATGCTGTGAATAATTATTCACCAAGTTAAAAGGCTATGTTTTAGATAGCCCAAGTGTCTTATTTATTTATATAAATTCCAAGAAAAGAGATAGAAATACTTGACATTTTTCATCTACATAAACATCTTAAATTAAAATTCTTCAATGAAGAAAAAAATTATATAAAAAATTAAAGCTGTTTTGGTTTGTTTGATTCTTAAACCAAAAAGTAAATCTTTGAGTTTGGATTAAATGAATTTTTTATCACACTACATGTACCCCTAAGTTAAACACATAACCAGATGTTAAGTTCTTTAGCGTCAATTGTGAACATCTCATTTGAATAAACGTTTGCTTCTGCTTATGAAAATTTCAACGATATAAATTATTTCGTTGATTTTTAATAAAAAAAATTATGTTAAGAAAATTGAAAATAAATATCAATTTATTTTTATAAAATGACAATCAGATACTTGAACTGTAAATATCTGGAGCTAGGGCTTATAGAATGTCGGAGAGATGATCGAGAGACAGGGAACAGAATAGATGGATTCAATCTCTAAAAGCCTTTAGAAGCGACGGTAGTCGTTGGTGGTAGCAACTCTTCTCTTCACTTCATCCTCTGTATCCTCAATATAATGGTTGAGTAGTACAGACAAGGTTTTAGTTATGGACATGTAGTTGGTAGCAGTCTCCAAGTAATGCCAATAATCGCAATAAAGTCATTTTCCGACGACGGCGATTTAGTATGAATCGCTTTACAACGATGCTTAGTGGTTATGACCGTGAGTTCACGATATGATACTCGACGCCACAAAACGAGCCGTGAAACTAGTTAGCCAAACTGCCTTCACTTTGAATAACGACTGCAGGCTTTATCATTTATTTTACAAGAGCTATATCAATCTACTTTGTTATTTTTCGTCGCTCGAGACAAATATCCCATTTTATATAACTTAAAAACAACATTCTTGACAAAAATCAACTCAAATGTTTTTCAAGCAATGTTTTTTCAATCAATGATGGATTAATATTAATTTTATTTGTGCACAGTGGCAATAAAAAATGTTTAATATCAATCAAATATTTAACTAAATAAAATAAATACACCAATAGATGAACAGTAAATAAAAAATTATTCTAAATAAAAGAAATATGTTTATGTAATGTGTTTCATATTTTTTAATTAACCAGATCTTACTTTAAAGGATAAAACATATGTTAGTACACTTTAATTTTGAATTATTATAGTTTCAACAATTTGTTCATCTTCTGGATGGTATTTATCTATTAGCCTATTTGCTCTAGTTGCAATTAATTTTTTTATTTCATTAGACTATTATTATTTAGCTAAAAATATTAGTTTTGAATATATTTAATCAGTGCAATAAAACTATTCTTAAGAAAATTTATTTAAAATTTGGTTTTACTGAAAAATATTTAGTTAAACAATTAAATAAAAAATTGATAAATAAATTTCTCTTTTAATCAATTGAATAATAAATTGTAACTCTTCAATGGAATATTATTACTGATATTCAATTATTATTTTCTGTCCGTCCAAGTTTTCTTCCTATTCACGATTCTCAATGTTGGATTTAATATCAATTATAGAAATCTGTTAATTAATTCATAGAATTCCCTATCATGATAAGTTTTAATTTATGAAATATTACAAAAAAGTAATCATCACTCAAAAAATGAAAAAATAATGTTGCATTGAGAAGCTTAGATAGAGAAAAGATTAAAAACAAGAAAAATTTAAATATTAATTAATACTAATTAAGACAATGAACAATTAAAAATAGTAATAGTATTTACAATTGTGTTAATAGTATTTATGTTTAATAATAATTCTATTTTTCTTTATAAATTAATAAAATAAAAATCATGAATTAAAATTATATTGCCAAATATGTGCACGTCTTTCGAACGAATAGATAATAATGTCATTCATAATACGAAGGTAAAGCAGATGACACGTTCACGTGAGTCAAGATAAGAAAGCCAATGAATATGGCCTCTTAAAGGAAGCTCTGAAGATGCAACCCGTTGGAATATTATACGAAACACGAAGGAGTAGTACAGCAATCGGGCTTTATGATCCAGCATGTGATACCAAGTAAAAGCACACTATACGCCAGACGCATAACAAGACAGAGTATCTCACTCGCGCTTGTAGAAACGTTACAAGTTTAATTAAACAGACTTGTTTCGTAATGAGTACCAAGACGCTCAAACTGCTTGTTTTGCTTCGAGCCCATGAGTTTTAATTATTTCTCATCAAGATCAAAGTCCTGATTTTTCCTTGCTATCAATTTTTATTCGCTTCGTTGTTTTTTTTCATTTTTTACTACCAAAAAACTTATGCAAACATTACGGAATATAATTTATGCATAAGTTTCTGATAATTATGATGTTCATGAAATCTTGTTTCAATTAACAATACATTTAATTTCTTACCGTTTTTATGTTTACAAAAATTCATTTAAACAGTCAAAATATGTTTAAAAAAAGAGAAATATTTTTTTCTATTTATCGAGTCGATTTTTTTACTTGAAATCAATTACAATGCAACGAAAATTAATTTTCAAAGATGAATGATTAGAATAAAATATTGCCAAGGCTTTTACAATATTTTAATATTTCTCAAGAGCCTAATACTCTGCTACACATCCATTAGCATGCAAAGTTTTCGCCTCTAGTGTAACCAAGCATTTATGGTGGCTTTTGATTTATCTATCGAATATGCCTGCATGGCGTTCAGCTCTTGCCAGAGGCAACCCTCTTTACATCACTTGTTATATAGGGCTAGTGAATCCCTCTTTTCTGTATTTACAGAAATAAAAAATAAAAAAATACAATTGTTAACATTATTTTGGTAATAGCTTACAAATAAAAATACCTGCATTAGTTTTGTATTCATGTCCACGGGTATACATAGAGTAATCATTTATACGTAATAGCCAATTTTCTTGCGGTTACGCCCGTGTTAAAATATGTATAGAGATTTTGAGTTAAACCAGCACCAACGTTGTTAATACAGCGGAAGCGCAATGCCCAGGAGGGGAAGCTGTTACTGAATCATTTGCATCGCATCGCGACAATTTCGTTAAACCTCGCAAATCTCCTCAACTCCCTCCTTCTAAATATTTCTATTTTTCTTCACACTTCAATTTTATTGTTGTTATTGATTTTTAGACAATCAAATTATATTTTAGTCATATTTTCATCATTTTTATGTAAATAATTATTTAAATTTTTAAATATTCACATCATTTTATCATTTACATTATAATGATTTAGTAAAATACTCTAAACTTGAAGCAATGATGAATATAGACAAACATGAAGAGAAAATTTTTTTTATTCAGATTTAAAAAAATTATTCAACTATCACAGAGGTTTATTTAATTGCATTGTATTGCTTCTATTGAATTTCCAGTTGCAATGTAAACTTACGTGCAAATAAATGTACACACAATAAGTACAGAAGTATTCAAATTTATCATTTTATTCGCGATAACTGACTGTCGATAATTGTAACATTATAGTTACCGACACAATCAATTTTCAGTTGGTAATTCATTCTTTTTTAATGGACCTAGGTTACCTACTGAGTTGATAATATAGATTTACATCGCATCATCACGCCACCTAGCATTCTATGAAATAAAAAAATTGAAAAAATAAAAAATGAATGAAATAAATATTTAATTCTGCAAATTAAATAAACAAGTTGGAATTTAACCAAATTATTCATTACATTTGTATGAAGTGATAAAAATAAAGGTTTTGTTATTTTTATAGTTAAGACCTTATTTTAAAAAACCATTATATGCATTCTCAATATCACTTTCTAACGTGTACATCTTCATAATTTAAAAGCTCACAATTCAAGCTCACAAATAATAAATAATGAATCGTGAGTAACAGTCATTATCTATGAATCGTAAGTAATTAACAATTACATTTATAATGATCAATAATCGTCTTAATTTTTAAAATATGTAATCTTACCTTCAGTTTTTATATTTTTCGGTTTTGGAGTAATTTTCAATATTTATCCAACATTCTTAAAAGTTGGATCCATCCATTAATATAAGAATGGTCGGAGCTTATGAAATCGATGAAGAAATAATTGAACAATTAACAAGAGGTTATGAGTCAAGTTCAATAATGTTACAAGCTATCAATTTTCGAAAAAAAATTCCATGATTGTGTAATAAATGAAAAATATATCGTTTTTGGTACGTTTTATTTATCAATATTATTTAAAATATCAATCAATAAACAGCTTTGATGTTAATAATTTATTTTCCGTTAGCTCAGCTGGAAAATCATCATATTAAAGATTTAAATCAAGTCAATAAATATGTAACGTTGCTTTAGGATTGCAACAAGTGTGATTCTGAAAATAAAACATTCCCAAGTTAATATAACTCACGAGCTGTGCTACTGGTTTAATAGATTTGGTATAAGGAATCGGTATTGTAGAATTTCAACGTGTAGTCAAAAACTAACTCATACTCATAGTTGCATCATCTATTTACTATGAAAATCTAGTAAATTGACATTTTAATTTGACGTCTGATTTAATCTGTTTGAAATTTGTTTTCTCACTGGAATAATTTTCATACAAGAAAAAAGAGAAGTTTTTGTGAAACACGACCAAAAAGTGGTGACAAAAGTGAACGTGTCAATTAGCAAGAGAAAGTTTTCAGTAATTTAAAAAATTACATACGGTATGAGGAAGTAATTCGTAAGTTGTCTGAATTAGATTAAACTGATTAAAATAAATTCAACTGATATCATTTAAATAAAATCACTAGTCTTCATTCTTTAATTTTTAGTTAGACTATACAATGCAATCATTGATTTTCATCTTTCCCCCACATGTATCTAAACATTTTATTTCTAATATGGATCGATATTTTAACTTGTGCCTTGACTGACATTTTCAGATTAAATTGGACTCTAGGCAATAAAATCTCTCAGTATTGATGTTACTGCTATATTGGAATATTTACAAATTTTGATTAGTGTTCATAAGATATACACAATGGATAACAATTTAAAATCCAACGAAATTGCTGCTGAAATAAAAAATAATATTATAAAGAAAGAACATGTTAATCAGTCAATCAGTGAAACAAATCAATCTAATGGCCATTCGAATGGCACATCAGTTCCAGATCGAAATGATAAAGTTAAAAAAACTGGAAAGTGTAATTGCAATTCATCATACGTAGAAGATAAACCTGAAGGAAGGGTTCTTGTGATTTATACTGGAGGAACAATTGGAATGATGAGGAATGAGCAAGGAGGTTAATATTTATAAATGTTGATTTTATTCTATGTTATTTATTAATTATTAATATTATCTAATCGAACTAAATTATTCTCTGTAGCTTTAGCTCCAATACCGAATAAATTTGTTAAAACACTAAAAACTTACCCACACATGCATGATCGGAATTATGCTGAAAAGAGATTTGGATTATTAGATTCATTAGTATTACCGTAAGTTTATAAATATCTTTTAATAAGTAATTAATTAGAACATTAATTTTTTACTTGAACGTCTTAACAGTACATTATTTATTCACAGAATGCGGAAAACAGATGGCAGGCGTATAATCTACAATGTTTTGGAATACTCGCCTCTTTTAGACTCTAGCAACATGACAATGGATGACTGGATTAAAATAGCTTCAGATATAAGGGTCAGTAAAATACCTTAACAATTCTATTATTATTCAATTGAGAAGAAAAAAACAGTAAATAAATTGTAATCAATTAACTAAATAATTAATGATTTTTCATAATTCTAAATAAATATAATTTTCTGACTCAACATATTCTATTTCCAGGAACACTATGAATTTTATGATGGTTTTGTTGTTCTTCATGGCACAGATACTTTGAGCTACACTGCGTCAGCACTTTCATTTATGCTTGAAGCTCTTGGTAAAACGGTGGTAATAACTGGATCCCAATTACCTATCTTTGACACAAGAAGCGATGGCCTTCATAACTTTTTAACATCTCTAGTAATTGCTGGCAATTACAATATTCCTGAGGTTTGTGTATTTTTTGACACTCATTTGATGCGTGGAAATCGAACCAGTAAAATGGCTGCTGCTTCATTTGATGCTTTTTCATCCCCTAACTGCCCACCATTAGCAATTGCAGGCATTCAAATTGAAGGTATTCTTTATGAGATAAGTTAATTGAATAAACTGTTGAAGATTTTTTTTGATTTCAGTAAATTATCAGTCAATCTTCCGACCATGTGCGTTAGAAAAATTTCATGTTCATAAAGTGTTAAATCGAAACGTGGGGCTATTAAGAATTTTTCCAAGCATCACAGCAGATTTAGTCAGAACATTTGTTCAGCCACCCATTGAAGGAGTCATTCTGCAGACATATGGAGCAGGAAATATACCAGCGAATCGTCAGGATATCTTAGATGTTCTACGTAGTGCTGCAGAACGTGGCGTTATCATTGTCAATATTACTCAATGTACAAAAGATGGTGTTACAGATATTTATGAACCAGGAAAATTACTCATCGATGCTGGTAATTTTATCATCATATAGTGTCTTTATTCAGTAATATAATTAATATTTATCGAAGGTATTGTGCAAGAATGATATAGATTTATATAGCAGTATTTTTTTAATCACATGAAATCGCTTTATAGGTGTTACTATTGGTTATGATTTAACTCCAGAAGCTGCCTTAACAAAACTAGCATATGTTTTATCTAAAACAGAATGGGATATTTGGACTAAACGAAAAATGATGAAAACTAATTTGCGAGGAGAATTAACAACAAATCATCAGGTAGATTTGCAAGATAAAGAATTATTAATGGGATGGCTTGGTCTTCATTCTGAAACTGAACTTCTTGCTTTGGCACCGACTATCTTCCCTGCATTAATGATGCAAGCTGTTTTATCTCGAGATTTAGCGAAAATTGTTTCATTAAAAAATAATGTATGTTTTTCACTTCTAAAATTTAGATGAATAATGAATTTATTAAATTAATTATAGTATTAACTTTAGGGTGCTGATGTTTCTCAATTGAATATTGATTCAAGAACAGTTTTACATATTGCTTGTTGTGAAGGTGATATCAATATGGTTAAAGCACTCTTAGAAATGGGTGCAAATGTACATATTAAAGATCGATTTGATCGCACTCCACTTACTGAGGCTGTAGAAAATGATTATCATGAGGTATATTTGAATTAAATATTCATCTTAAATTAGTAGAATATAGATATTGATAAAAAACGAATTAAATGTGTTTACATTTATATTTGTAGATAATAAAACTGTTACGGCAATGTGGTGCGCATCTTCACGAGGATCCTGTTATATTGGGTCAAAAATTATGTAATGCAGCAGCAAGTGGAAATCTTAAACGACTTCAGTCATTTCAAATTGCAGGAGCTAATCTTTCTCAAGCTGATTCTTCCGGCAGGACTGCTCTACATAATGCAGCACTTCATAATAGGCCTGGAATAGCAAGTTTCCTCTTAAAAAATGGAAGTGATGTAGAAAATATAGATTTATTGGGCCATACACCTCTTGTCCTAGCACAATTAATGAAATCAAAAGATGTTTTGAAAATTTTTGACAATTTCTACAGTAATTCAAAAATATTTGAGAATATTATCACTTAAAAGATGTATTGCGTAGATATTCAACTCTTCTAATTTAAAGTTAATGACAGGAGAAAGTAAAAATCTGACAACCCCCGATGCGTATCATGTGTTTTACATGATGGGACATTTTTTCATGCTGCGCGCATCTGGACAATGAAAGTCGATTGTCATGCTGGTTAAAAAGATTGCGAGAGTAGATGAAAAACTTAAGAATATACTGGAAACTGATGTAACAAGTTTAAAAGTAATAATAAAAATTTATTTATTTGTAAATTTCTTACAAACACTTTAGATAATTGTACAATTATTTCTTTCTTTTCTAATTTCGACCCAAAATTACAATCTCATTGTCATTGAGCAACTACAACTTATATTTTTTTAGAGTTAATAAATTCCAAGCTCATCCATTAAGGCTTGAAATACGTCTTCAGGTATTTTGCATCCTTTAAATACTATTGTGCAAGGTGCATGTTGTAGACGACCTACCTTAATAGCTTCTTCAATAGCAGTTCCATTCGTTGCACTTTTAAACCACCCTAGGCTGTCAAATAAATGTCATTATTTCATTTACTTACAAATGAACATATTCTTTATTATCTTAAAGTAGAATTATTTTAACAATAACTTAATTTATCATATAATAATTATCAAGTTTAAATAGAACGTCTTACTTTGTTAATCCGTCAATAATTTTATCACTACTCGTTGGATTTCGAAGTTTTTTAGCTTTGGCAGTCGCAATACAAACAAATTGTTGAAGACATGGAGTTATATGATTGTTTCCAAATAACAGTTCACTAATTGCTTGTCCAGCTTCTTGCAATCCCAAAACATCATCTCGGCCTGCGCTGATTTTCAATTGATCATATGCCGTTGTAACATATGAATTATTACACATTTTAAAGTCCACTATTAAATGAATTCACATAAACTTACGGTACCGATGTTCCATGTTATGAGATTTGAAAAGCAATGGAACAACAAATGTTGTAATTGCAGCTACAAGTCCTGCGACGGCAATTGATTTTAGATTAACATTTGCTAGAGGTTTTGGTCCTTCCTCTGAATCTTCTGAATTCAAAGGTATTGATATAAAAGGTACAGATAATTCCAAGTCAATCTACATTTAATAACGACAATTAATTTAGAAAAAAGTAATTTCTTTTATTTTAATTCCTTATTTAAATTACTTACGTCAATTTTACCATCTTTAGAATCAAATGAAAGAAATCGTTTGTCTCTCTTCAATATTGTAGAATGATTAGTTGAAGCAAAAACAAGCAAGATAGTTGAACTAAAGCAAACAATTGCTAATAATAGTGAATGCATAATGGTGAAATAAATTAACTTTGAGAAAGAAAATAATTCTCTAATTTGGATTTATATAAACTGGAGTATAAACTATTAATTGAATCAACAAGTTCTAAGAGCTGAAAGTGATATGAACTCTGCTAAAACTCATCAACGCTATCTATATTGCTAACACCCTCCTTCGAGACTAAGGAAATAAAACTTTTTTTGCAGAGAAAGGTGTCTGATTATTAACGACATTAACAGAATTCAAGCTGCAAAAAATTTCTATGTAATCGTAAAATGCGATTCATTAACACGAAAACCATCCTGTAAAGAATTTTCATTTCCGCTGCGATAAAGAATTCGTTTATGACTTTCATGACATTTTCTCAACCACCATGCAGAACAAATTCCTTGAAAAGTCTTGGTCGCAAATAATTTTTGCTTGTAACATTATCCAGTTTCCCTAGTTGTTTTAAATAAGTTAACAATGTTTACATTATATACAAATTGAATGATTTAAAAGAAAGTAAAAAATGCTAAAATAATATAGAAAAAGTTCATAAACAATTGAAAGTGTTAGTTATTCTAAATTAACATTAAATTAATATTATACTTTCATCTATTATTAGTCATTGCCAAGTAGGCTGGTGTCAACAATGCATGTGATTTCCATTTTTATAACTTTTACTATTCAACTTGATTGATACAATGTCTGGAGGATCTTTATTTTTTTTTTCATCAATTATTTCAATTAAATCATTATTTCATTTTCTTTCTAAAATTTTAAGTGGAATTGAAAAAAATAAAATTCTCAAATAAATTTCTATTATCTGAAATGAAACAATAGTTGTAAGATGACTTGAAAATAAAGAAACTTTTTAGGGAAAAATTAAAGATGACATGAAAGAATAGATAATAGTTTATTCAACAATTCTATTCAAGTTTTACGTAATGTATTTTGTTTTTCATTTAAACGTATTTCTATTAGCTAATTTTCTCAAACTTTCATCACTTAAAACTTTAATGCTTATGTGTTTAGAATCATCGAGAGGACGAGAGTAAAAGTCCCGGAGGGGGTGTCACGGACTACGAATCTGTTGCATGAAGATTCAACGACACGAAAGCGAAACCAAGAGCAATTATGTTTGACCGTCGTGATGACGGTGGTTCACCTATATATATATTTAGGAGTCACATAAGTCTTATCGTCTCAGTTCGAAAAGAGTTTTTCTTGGATAAACTACTTTGGAAATACTTGACTAACAGACAAGACAAAACAATCAAAGGTATAGACTAGTTGAATTCAAAATAATCTTATTCAACTAACCGGTTTACATTTTACTTTTTTTTAATAAATACAATTTTCAACATGCTTCAGATGATTCCTACAAGTGTAAAATTTGCTGTTGTGGTGGCAACGTTGATCATCAGTGTTGAGTGTGTTCCCAAATATGATATGGGAGGGTAAATATTAATTATTTTTTCACTTAAAAGTAAAGTTTTAAGTTAAAAAAAAAAATAATGATAACATCTAATTGATTGTTGAAATATTGTTTTTCAAGATTCGTTCCAAGTTCTGTAGATTATACAGACAAATCAAAAACACGTGACCAAATGGCAGTTCCATCGCAAGCTCAGCCTCATTTTAGGAATACCAATGAATCAGTTTCATCTAGAACTTCGGAATCAACTATCAGTGCTTCAGATCGCAGTCAAGAAGCTAGATTTGGATATTCTGGAGTTACTGGTGCTGGTTCTGTACGTATACTCATTTTATAAAATATAAATCATTTTTCGGAGTAACATATTTTTCTGATTACTGAAAATTTCTGATGTTGTTCAGTAATAACTAATAAATATTTAATTAAAAATACATTCAATATCTAAAATTGAATCTTAATAACATTTTCCATCTTCTAGGGCTATGGAATCTCCAGCTATGCTCCAACAAAAATGGATCTAGGTGGATTAGTTTTGGGCGCTGTTATTGGAGTTGGAACTATTTTGATCATCCCCAAGCTTCTGTACATCATTTCAGGATCTTATGGAGCATATGCAAGAAGTAAGTTTATTTACCATTAATTAATATTTGAATTAATAGTTTAAATGACATAAACTAATTATGATTGATTTGTAGGTGATGATGGAGGTTTTGTGAACTCAATGACAAAATTAGATGACATTCTCGCCCGTCACGGAATCGATACAACCACTTGTATGCAACGAGCAGTTTGTACATATGCTCAAAAAGCTTCTGAATCGATCCGTTCTGCCAATGATATTAATGATGAAGAAAAAGTATCATCATTTGATAGAATGATCGAATCGATTACAACGAATCAAGTTTTCCGAACAGCAATGCGTGGAACAGCCATTCAAGAAGCTGTGGAAGCAGGCAGGAAAGGTCAAAGTTGCATGAGAATGTATCGACAATGCGGTTTTTCAATGGAATCAATAGTTGGCCTTCTCTCCAATGTTCTTTCAACTGTAACAAACGCTGATGCACTTCCAACAGCACCTGCGGCACCACTATAAACTTCATATAATTTTATGAATAACATTATATATAGATTTTTATACTAAACAAAATGATAATTTTATCTTATCATATATTAGGATGAATAAGTGAAATCATAGAGAATGTTTCCTATGCCATTCATAGCCATCAAAAAAGTATCAAAGTATCAATAAATGCAGTGGAATATCATTTTCTTTGATTTTAATAAATTAATACATTTCCATTTTTATTATTTATCACTCAGGATGTTTTTAAACTCAGTATATTATTTTGAATTCAGTAATAAATAACAATTTATTTACGAACAATAAATATTTAAATACTACATTAATTAGTATCTAATATTCTCTATTATCTGAAAAATGTGCAAAATTTAAATTCTTTGTTACCCTTATAAAAGGTTTGCGTGTAAAATACAATGCTATAGAAAATAAAAATTTTTACAAAAGAACATTCAATTCAATAATTAATTTAGAAAGTAAATTGAGCTAATTAATTTGGAATGATTTTAATTACATTTTAATTCTATATTATTAAAATAGTTTCAACTTTTTGGAAAGTGAAAATTTAATTCAATGAAACCAGTAGAAGTAGATTTAATTATCATTTCAAACATTTAATGTTGAATTTTATTTTTTTTAAATAGTTGTAATTAATTTTACAATAAAATTTTTATTTATCTATTACTTTTTATTTCATAAATATATATATATAGATATATATACGTATGTCAATTTATATTGATTGAATTTATTTAACTCTTTAAGTAGTAAACGTACAAAAGTACGCTTTTCTTTTAAATAATGACGGTTGTAAAAATTCCAATTAGATAAGAATAAAATTCTATTCTTATGGAAGATTACAATTACTATCTATCATACTATGAGCATAAATTAATACTTTGTGCAAGTAAAATCTATGAAATATCAGTCATCACATCAACAAGTTTATTACACAAAGTGCACCATCATAATATCACACATTTTTTCAATACACAATACTGAAGAAGTCCGAGTGCGGTTATTCATCGAGTGCATGAAGAAACGAATCACTTAGATCACACTCTTGATCAAAGTCGCTGACGACAGGCGATGAGAATGCACGAATAGCTTCATCACAAGACTCATCCTCGTCGTCTAGCGAAGTCCGATACTATTTCATATGTTTACGTTTGGGCAAGAGTAATACAACACCAAAAGCCACGCAGACATGCCAGAAACTATGGACGATATGATAATTTCTTCGAGTCTGGAAGAAAGCATAGCATATGAGGCCTACGAAAACGAGGCACATACCAACTGGTAAATAAAAATTTCTGTATCTAGATGCAGGGTATCCAAAGTTTCGTTGTCTACGGCAACGAAGACCCCAGGAGAATCCAATGAGAATACATCCAGTAATAGCAGGTAATAGAAAGACCCAAAGTGCTGTACGATCAAGTTCAGCTCCAAGAGCGATAACTATAGCTCCAGATAACTGACAGAATGCTGTTAATCTTGGTCCAAACGATGCCATGGCTACCAATGTTACCCAAATTGATAGAAGGCCGTTGTAAAAATCACAGAATTGTAGGACATTTAATTTCATGATGCAAATACTCAAAACATCTTCACCTGCTTCACAAGCATGATAAAATGTTGAGAAGAACATGACGGCAGTATAAACAACAGCTTCTGTATAGTACTCTCTTCGGAAAGCCACAATTACTGATGCTAAAAAGGCCAAGTTACTTAGAGTGAGAAGTAGAAGTCGGACTAGTATTTGGCCTCCAGTAAGAACGTAAGTATCATCGGCACAATCAAATCCACGATATCCTCCAGTACAGTAACATGCAGAGAATACGAATCCACCGCTCATATAATGTAGACATCGTCCATTAGAGCTACAATGACTTTCAACACAGGGTGAAGATGAAATACTTGTTTCTACTTTTGTTGTTGTTTCGACCATGCAATTGCATGCTCTACATCCAGAAATTCTACAATTTTCTACACATTCGCATTTCGGTTTTATTTGAAATGCTCTCAGACTCAAGTGCCATGTACCAGGTTCCGGATAAGGGATGTGAATCATTGTTGGTTTTGTTTTATTGGCCCAAAGATCAGATGCAGTGATGGATATCTTTCGTACACAGCCACCACCTGAAGTAATGGTTGAATAATATCCTAAAAAAAATTTATATTTATATTAGTAAATTTGAAATAAATCAATCAAATATGATTGAAATTAAATGAAAGAAATAATAAATTATTTCCCAATGATTATAAATTGCGTGCATAACTGAAAATATCCAGTAAAATTAAATGAATTTGAAATCAATAAAACCGATCTATGTAATGGTGAATATTTTCGGTTTTTACTGGATTTAATTGGAATTAATGAAATGATTTTGATCAATCATGAATGATAAGGGAAATAAAATTTAAACAATTATATACCAACCTAATGAGATGCATCCAACAACGACAATATCAGTGGTTTTATTCACAAGCTTAAGTCCAACAGAAACCGTTCCTCCAACATCATAAACAGTTCCAACATGAAAGCTTAATACTGTTAGACTATCAATGGTAACATTAACTGGAGCGGGTTTACTAGAATTTCCAAGTAAATATTCATAGTCGAATAGAAAAAAATCTGGCAATGATTTTCTCCTCAAAGGAATTTTATTCATACTTAAAGAATTATCGTCAATAGATGAATTGTCTGATAGCATGAATGAAATATTAGTTGCATTTCCAGTTAAAAGACGAAGTGACAAAAAATGAAAATCGTTTGAGTATGGTTTGAATGATAATGTTGTGTCAGATTCATTTATCAACTGACTCTTTAGGACTTCTTTTGATATCACATTGGCAGCGATTTGACAATCTTCACCACAGGATGAAAAAAATAAAATATTTGCTGTTTGAAAAGTTTCAGGTACAAAAAATTGTATCATTGCTGTATCTAAAGTATTATTTAAAGATACTGTATAATTACTCGAAGTATCTACTAGCATAGATAATCCTACTCTCTCTACAAATAATTCTGCATCAAGTATTGTTTCACAACTTACTCCTAGGCCTGTAATAAATTATTAACAAATTAATAATTAATTTTTAAAAACTTTTTAAAAAGCTTACCTTGTTGAGTTATTTTTTCTGAGTCAGGATCAGTCCAAGAACGAAAAGCTATTGCATACCAATCACCAGCCACAGGTGTTGAAGTTCGTTTAATATATTGATTACCCCCGCTTGTGATTTCAATTTCATAAAATTTCCATCGATTTTTTAACAACTTAGCTCCGATTTTTGAACCATCTTGATTCACAAGAGGAATACTGCCCGGTTTTAAATATACAGAAACATTCCTTGGAGAACAATGACCTAAACCACCAGTCTTCTCTTCTTTTGCAGTAAATCTAAAAAAAAAATGAATTAATTTGAATTCTATTTACAAAATTGTCTTCTATTAGTGTTAAGAAACCTACTTAAAAATTGCAGTGACCACATTCTCTGGGACGTTGAAGTGGATAATAGAGATATGACGATAACCAAAGAAATCGTCGAGTATATTAGCCGGTTGCTGAGCAATTTTTTCCAGTTTATCAGAGAGAACATGATGAATAAATAATGACCAAATTAGAAAGATGATACGCTCACTTCTCAACATGATATGTCTTTAAATCCACCCACATAACAAACTGAAATATCAACACACATTAAATAAATGTTCACAGCGGCTATTTTAAATAGAGGATGTTAAATGTTATTACAAAAGTTTAATTTTTAAATTTAACTATTATACTGCAGGCTTACAAAAAGTTGTGCTGATGATTGTTACTTTAAAAATCGTGAGCCATGTACTATTTTGAATGTTAATAAAATAGACACAATAAATTCAGGCCTCTATTCATAAATTCCAGTGACTCATTCTTTACTTTTAAGAAACGTAAAGTTTTACAAACTTTTTTAGAACATTGACAGTTGTAGGTTCAATCAATCATGATAAAAATTTTCAACGATTTTTAATCAATAAATAAAATAAAAATTTATCATTTTCTCTAAATGATATGAAATTATACATGAGATTATTTTTTAACAAGATAAGAAGATAACTAAAAACTTGTTAAATATCAGAATATCTTATCAGGTGTTGAAAGAGAAAATTGTGATATTGAAGAGATAATTTCACTTCATCGGTAGGGTGTTGAATGTAAGCTATCAAGTTATGAAACTTGTGGTAGAATGAAGTTGAGTGGTTTAAAATCATACACAAATGATGTGATTATTGGCAATCAGGTGAGCAATAGTATTGTTGTTTTCATCACTGTACATGAATAATAATCAGTTATCAGTAACAGGCATATTGAACGTATCTCTTTATTCTTAATATAACGACTTGTAAAGCTTAAAATGGTTAATTAGCTCATCCGTTACGTCATAACTTGTACTTATTTAAGATATTTAGCACTTACAATCATTAAATACTCTATTTTGAAAGAAACAAATTGAAAAGATAACTTTGAATGTACATAAAAAAAAATTTTCTGATTTATTTTATATAAAAACTTATTTATATTGATAACTTATCTTGTTTTTAATCTATTTTGCCATTTCCTGATTTTTTAATTATTTCCGGCGATTATCATTCAGTGTCAATTTTTATCAAAGAAAAAACAACTCTATTTATTATTTAATCAACATAAAATATTTTAAAAATTAATACCTTTCTTAAATTCGTTGTAACACAATAAAAGTAATTGAAAAAATAATTAATCATAATGGCAAAGTTATGAACAAATGTACAGGTGAATGTCAGCTATTGATCTTATAAAACATCGCAATAAACGGGTATAAACTGGTTTACCTAAGTTAAACTGTCCCAAGCTACTTGAACATTTGTTTGATACAACACAGACTGTTTGATTGTCTACTTCTCACTGCAGCTAATATTCTTGCTGTCATTCTCTCCAGCTTCAACAAGCTTGTCGACTATCAATCAATTTTAACTCTAGTTAAACGTTCAACGGCCTTTCGTTTTATTACTTAAATTCGTGATTCAAATACTAGTATCATTGATATTTCAACGCTAACTACCAACAATATACAGCTGATCTTTCTTTGCACCTGCGCGTTTACGGATGACACTGAATGTGTTTATTTGCTGTAATATTCTATCAATCAATGAATGAAGAAGTATTTAGTTATCAATAAATGGTCATTAATATTAATTCAAAAACTGTGATAGAAGCTTAGATAACCTATGAAAATGATTGATTTCCTTTGAATTTAGAGTTGATTAAATAAATTTGCTATATGTCATTATCTAAATTCTCTAGATTTTATTTAAAAAATTATAAAATTTAAATATCTTATCAACATATATATATATATATATATATTTGTACGATTATCTAAAAGTCAAAAGTCTCATCGCCAATTTATTTAGAGTATTTAAACATTCCATCAAAATTCCCATGATTCAAGCCAGCGAAGAGAATGCATCGAACTCTCAGGATTTTCAGAAGTTGGACCATCCATTCCATAGGCCAATGGAGAAAATAAATAGAAGCTTAAAAAGAAATTAATTTATAAACATAAAATTATTAACTCCGTGGAGATTACATTAAAAATGTTTGAATATAAACCTGTAAATTGTGACAGACATGACAGTTCCAAGTATCACATGATAAAGAGTGTAGGCCAATTGTTTCGGACATAAGAAGAATATCACATCGACGATGAAGTTGAGAGTGATACCAGTAAGCATTGAATTATATAATAACGCAGGAAAATAGTGATGGAAATACAACACTCGACCCATAGCCCAAAACGGGACATAATGCAGGAGCCATCCTATAAATAGCCATCCTCCAGAGTTTTTTAGCTTTTCTTTCTTTTCAGAAATTTTAGGATCATCTTCACAACCTCTTTGTTCTCTTACTGAAGTGTATAAATATAGTAGAGCAAATATAAAAAGAAAAGCTATGTTTCCCCACCATATAATTGGATTACCAAGTAAATAAACTCTGTGATTGTTTGCTGAAAAGAATTGCCCCTGAAAGATTAATCAATAGTTTTATTAAATGATCCTTTTCTAAAATTTTAAATTAAAAAAAAATTAACATTAACGTACTCTGTAATTAATTGGCCATTGCCATGGTCTAGAAGTAATTTCTCCTTCTCTAACTTTTAATTCTGAATTTCCTTGTAACATGACAGCATGCGATTCAAAAAATCTTGCTAAAAATCCAGGTGCATATACTTGAAAACTAACATTAGGTAACTTGGAATATCTATTATCTTCAATATTCCACAAAGCATTTTTATCCCTTATATTAGGGTTACAAGATACTTCTTGCTGACTATATGCCCACTTGGGTAGAGTTTTTCCACTACACGTTAACACACAGTGATGTAAATAATGCACCAATTTCAATTTACTTGTAACTGTTTCTACTACATCTCCTTCTTTACCATTTGTAATTAAAACTTTCCAAACATCATTAGCATCACCAGTTCCATTTTCTCCATATCCTGTTACTTGATAGTGTTTTTTGGATACTGGAGCTATTTCTTTGTGCGAATGTAAATTACGACCAGTAATTACATGCTCCAGTCGAATTAAGTCTCCATGTTTAACTAATTCAGGCTCTGGAGGAATAACTTCAGTATCAAATTTTTTTACTAGCCATAAATTATTATCATCCTTATGGGAATAAGTTGTAACTTGTTGTTGACGTGCTCCAATGCCTTCAGGATATAAATGCCAATGTGAATGCAAATATCCACCACCAGTCCGATGATTTTTTAGCGTAATTGTTGCTCCATAGGCAAGTTGTCTAGGCATCGAAGCATTGTAGAGAGAATTTCCTTGAAGGAGAGATTGAAATTCGGAACTATAAAATCCGTCACCACTGCCACTTTTGTTTAGAACTTTGAGATGAATAAAGAAAAATATCATGTATAAAATAATTGGTAATATTATAAGGCACAGAACCCTTGCAAGTAGGTGTTTAATAACATTGAAGACAGGTTTGGATAAATCTCCTAGTTCTCTCCATAATTCATAAATTGTAAATAAACCAACAAGTAGGACAACAAAGAGACCTACAAATTTTACTCCTATGGTACAGGCTAGAGAAGCACCTGTAAATGCCAACCAACCCCACCATTGGTATGTGAACGGTTCATTCTTCAAAGCTTCTACTCGTGCCATTCCCCAGGTTGCACACATCATAAAACAAAGAAGAATTGGATCCAAGAGAATGTAGCGATTCAATGTTAACAAACCAACATCAAATAATATGAACATAGCAGCTAAAGCGGATGCTCGAGTTGACTTTGTTAGATCCCATACCGTGAGAAATGCTAGAGGAACTATTGTAGCTCCTAAGAATGTACAGAATATTCTCATTCCAGCATATTTGGTATCTCCAAATTTATCTCCGGGCTTTTCAAATGGAAAAGTTCCATTATATCCTGTTAAGTATCCTGAAAGAGCAATAAGCATCTGGAAAAATATAAATTATTAAGTGGATATGTTTTTACTTCACAATTAAAGTTTTTATTAATTTTCTTAATATGAAAGAATTATTATCTAAGAGTAGTTATGTAAGTACTTCATTTGCTTTGAATAAAGATATAATAAATATATAAGAACATAAACAGTGTCACTTACCTTTCCCAATGGTGGATGAACGTCAAAAAAAAAAGTTCTATTGATGTACCAACTACCCATTTTTCCAAAATGCGTTTCATCCCAGCTGTCATATTTATTTAAGTATTATTAATAAAAATCGTTAATACTATTAATTTTAAACTCTTTTTATAATTCTTACCACACATGTTGAGGTTCAGTGACATTATAGAATCTTGTAGCAAAAGTTAAAATGACAATAACTCCAAAAATACTCCACCAATTCCTACCCAATAGAATGACAACAATTGAACAAGTGTGAAATGATAATTGTAAATATTGAATTATTTGAAAACTTACACATTTTCAGACAGTTTAGAATCATTTTTCGATTGTTTCAGAGTATTTTCAGTTGTTTGTAATTTTTTGGAGCTAGTATTTGATGCAGTAGTGGTAGTCATTATGTTGTATTGACTAGTTAATTTTACAAATAGGCAAAACGAATCATTTATAATAGAATTTAGAAAACTCTAAAGACGATTTTTTTTATTCACGAAAAGATTTTCCATTTTAACGTACACACTACTACTAACGGTATATTAGGACTGGTTGAACCAATACGTGGAAGCCGCGGTTATACCAAAATACTCTGAAGTTGGCTACAGTTGACGATGACAAAAGTGAAATTGGCTTCATAATTCAAAATTAAATTATTAAATTATTGAATCGAAACTCGTTTATGATTTTTGAAAATTAAAAATTGAAATATAATTAAATGAAACTTAAAAAATAGACAATTGTTGATTAAATTACTCTTTAATATTGAAATATTTTACAAAAAGACTATAATCTCGATAATCTTTTATTCAATTCTAATTTTTAAATTTGTAAATTGTAAAATACTATTCGTACTTAAATATAAGTATCTCATGAGATTCAGAAGTTTTAGTTTAGATAGAAGTAAAAAATAATTATTTTTATACACTTTTTACAAAAAATAATATACATTACTAGTTTTCTCAAAATGTCAAATAACTTAATTTTCAATAAATAAATCGACTCACTCATTTGTGACTGAAAACTTCACAGCTCATCAAAAACTTTAAAAATTCTAATTGTTCTCTTTTCAGTCATTATTCAACTTAGACAGTATGGTTACCATGTAAAAATAGCATTTTATCAACAAGGTGAGAAGGTAAAGCTGCTCTTCGAGTGTCATAAAGAATCTGTGCCTCAGGAGAAATTCTTGAAGGTGGTGCACAACATGCTGGCACACAATTATATCGTCTGGCTAATTTACTTAAATTTGGACATTTTGCAGACATTTTAGCCCACCATTGAAGAGGACAAAAAGCTAATGGTGCTGTTGGTTCTGATTGATATTGGACCAATTCTAGATCTACCTTTTCTTCAGCAGGCATTGAATTTTTTGTTGGATAAAGACTACCCAAAAGTAATTCCATGCCTAAAAAATTTTATAATTTATTTAATAGTTAACAGATTTTTTTGTTTTTAAATTCAATTAAATAATTGTTATAGTGTTACCTGATAATCTAATTTTTTTACTAGGTTGTTCGTTTTCTTGTTTGATCTCTATAGGTTCGCAACCTTCTTCTTCAATTACTTTAACCAGCATTTCTTTTATAGGTTTTGAAGCCATATTTTTATCTTCATCTGTAGCATAAGGCAATTGTTTAAATCTGAAAAAGGAAATGATTTATTTATTTGAACATGTCAATTAATCCTCAAATGAAATAAACTTTTTCAAAGACTACAGTAAATATTGGAGTAATTATAGTTTTATGTTTTTTAATGTTAATATATGTACCTTGGATCTAAAGAAGTTGCAATCTGTAGTAATAAAGTAACAGAATGATCAGCATAACGTTCTACAAGCATATCTGACAATGATTCCTTAAAAGACCTTGCCAATTCACTATCTGAGTCTTTAGGTTTTAAATGAGAAGAAACAAGCTGCCACAGAAGAGGTTTTAAAAGAGAAATAATAGGTATTTTTTCTTCACTCAGAGTCATTATGGTTACTTTGAAAGGCTCAAGAACTGCAACAATATCTTCAATCATCTTCCAGTGGTCTGCATTTAGCTCTATACATTCATGATTTACTCCTTCAATAGAATCTATAACGGTGTTAATAATATTTTTTTTCAAGACCATTTGCTCTAGCATTCCATAAGTCGACATCCAAACCATAGGATAATCGATCATTAATACGCTTTCGTCCAGCTGTAAGTATAAATTAATTCTATTTAGTTTTTATTTACATGAATAAAATGATTTCAAAGTAAAGAGAGTAAGATTTTAAATTTTTACCTCCATCATCTGCTCTTGCATGATCAGAGTAGCAGCTGGTCCATTACCTGTGATAATTCCAACGATTGATCTACACTTAGCTAAAAGAGCAGAAACTTCAGGATTATCAAAACAAGCTTGAGCACAAACTTGTAATGTATATAATAAACAAGGAATCACTGTTAAACTTCTACTCGTCAAAGCATTTATTATTTCAGATCTTGCTGTTGCTACAACAACTGCAGTAATTTTTTCTATCCTTAAATCCCAATCTAATAATAAATTGTCAATTACACTTCCCCACTGATGTTCACCCCAATCAAGAGGTGCATGAATCGTGCTCAATATTTTTGTATCAAGAGTCGTTTCTCCAGGAATTTGATAATAAATAGAAATTGTGACAAAGTTTTCATCAGAATTAGATTTCCATTCTTCAATAGTCAACCCCATTTCAGTATTTATGCAACTTAAGTTTGTAGCGACTGATTCTCTAAATGTATCATAAACTTTAGGAATAATTTCTTCTTCTAATTTATGCTTGCTAGGAATTTCACAAGGAGATTTAAGAGTAGCTATCAATCTTTGAAACCCTCTCCCTTCGACTATTTCTGGTAATTGCATATCAATTATAATGAATTCTGTAATAGCATCTGAGACTGTTTTTTCATCGATACTTGTTTGTAAATTACTGTCATCCGTCATTACATAAGCAATCTGATTATCTTTACTAGACTCAGCTTTCGATGTTACTTTAATTGGTTGGTCTATGTTGATATCATCTTCTATGTTAGATAAACTCACATTTGGATCAGTGACGAATTGTAAATCACTGTCAATTTGAACAGTTCCATCAATATTCGTCGTATAAATATGGGAAGTAGCTTTGAGCAATTTCTTTGCTGCTCTTTTTTCCTTAGCATCTTGGGCAACATAGTCTTTTTTTGATGGCTTAGACGATTCTAATTCCATTAATTCTTGAGAATGTTTATTTTGTAAATGCATTCGTAAATTACTTGTATTTCTATTATAGGCGATTTGTGTTTTACAGAGAATGCAAACAATTTTTAGCCTAGTTAAAATATCACCATCATCAGTAGCCGGAAAACCAAAAAATTTCCAATAAATACTTCTCATAGACATTGGAACGACAAGTTTTTTATAAATATATGTATGTTTTTCCTCCATTATTTTGGATAATGATAAGTGGACATCATTTTTTTCTTCTGGTTCTTTACTTGTTGATATGATAGCTTTTAAAACGGGTGGCCTGTGACTATTCATGATTTATTATTTATCAAAATAAATTAAAATTCAAAGTAAATTGAATCAATTATTTAACCACTCGCAGAATTGTTCATAAAAATTTGATGATAAATTATACACTTGTGCATGTGAACAAAATGGAGGAATCTTGGAACATTGTTTGAAGTGCACTTATCTTAGGAACTTCATTGTCTTTATTTTTTATGGTCAACTTTAAATAAATATAATAATAATAAAAAACAAATTTTGCCGCTATTTGTTACCAGTAATCGACCCGGATCGAAGTATCTTCGATATCGAACTGCAATTCTCGTTTGAAAAACTATAATCAGTTAGTATCGACCATCAACTGACATTATTCTCGACGTCAAAGAATCGATCGGTGTCTGCTGAATACTAACCAATCAGAGAAATGGAAATTCTAGGGATTTTTTTTCACCGTATTTTGGAGTTGGACAGTTCAACAATATTGTAAACACTACACTCACTGGAAATGTGTGATTCTAACCTCCAAACTTTGAAAATTGAGATTGAACAATTATTAAGAAAATAATTCATAAAATAAGTCAATTAAAAAAATATCAATTATGAATTGTGTTACTACTTTTAATAATATGCTCCGACGAACAATTAATTCTTTATTAGTAATTCCTTCAGCTGTTCAAGTTCAACAAGCAAGGGTAAAGCTACAGTTTTTTTTATTTATTAATTTTTCGTTTAAGATTTATAATAATTATTCTGTTGTTATTTACATACAGAACACTTTCATATTGAAAAGAAGATATCCGCTTAGATCAATGAAACTGTACAGATTAAAAGATATTGCACACGAACAAGAATCTAAGATTTATGATTTAATAGAATTTAAAAGTTTAGCTGAAAATCAAAAACCAATTGATCTTATTTTAACGTCTTTTGTAGAAGAAGTAGGTGATGTTGGTGACAGAATTAGTGTACTCAGTTATGAGGCTTATGATAAATATCTCGTGCCTGGTTTAGCAGTTTATGCTACTCCAGAAAATATAAAAAAATATTCAGATTTGACTGAAACCAAATCGAAAGTAGAATATAGTTCACCTTATGTACCGAAAACTTTGAAATACTTACAAAATTATTTACTTCATGTTATTATGTCTAATGATAACCAGTGGACACTCGAAAATTGGCACATAAGGACAGCTTTTCGGATGAATAAAATTCATCTCGAGGATGACTGCATTACTTTGCCTGAACTTACGATTGCTGGACCAAATCCCGAAATGGAAAACAAAGAATTTTATGTTACTTTAACAATAAACCAACGCGAAAAAGTTAATGTACGATGTAGACTACATCTTTGGAGTGCTAACGCAAATAATAATTTAGTGGATAGTGAAACCTTTAATGATCCAGCCGAACCTTTGTATCCAGAATTCCAAGAAGTTTTAGATCAGCTACCTCTTCCTAAGGCTGTTGCTGAAAGGATGCAAACTAGAAATTAAAGTAAACCGTACTATTATTGTTTATATTAATATTTCAATAAAGTTTTGACAACTTATAACATTTTGTTCAATGTAGAATAGTTTTTTAAAAATATACTCACATTTTTTATTATTGTTATTCGCCATTATTGCTTAAGAAAAAGATGACAAACGAAGGGTTCTCAATAAGCTGGTACTTGTTGGTACAATCAATAGATAGCTACAACTTCAGCTAGTACAAATTCGGGAAATGTTAATTTTTTTTGTGATTTTTTATAAAAATTAATGATGTATTGTTTGCAATAATAGTGAAGTGAAAACTTTAAAAAATGACTATGGAGCTTAATCAAGAAAAATATTATGTTTGGGATGATTTTCATGAAAGATTGTCTGTATTAGGGTAATATAATTTGAATCAACTCTCATCGAATTTATATAACCCATTTTTTGAATAATTGTAATATAAAATTTATTTTAGAGCTGATGAAGAAGAAGAAAAGAAAATTAAAAGTCTCAAGAGAAGAAAAAAAATCAGAACTAAATCTCAGATCTATTGTCCCCATGCTTATTTAAATTTAAATTTCTTAGATATTCTAAATTCTAGTCAAAAAGTAAATGAAAAAATTCTTAAAAATATTTATTAATCTGTTACAACCATCATTCCGTTATTTTCAGATAAAATATCGAAAATATTATTATCGTAAAGTATCACCCAATGAACCTGACATTATTATTCTTCAAGACATAAAAAACCTAGTACTATATTTTCTAATAACTCCAGTTAGCCTTCAATTCATTAATTTTCTTCATCTTCCACTAGTGGATCGTTTACTTCGAGCCTTGATAATGTATTTTCAATTTTATTTACAAGTGTGGGAACAGGAAATAATGAAGAAAAAAGTAGCGACTGCAAAGAAAGCTTATAATCCACTTGCTATTGGTGCAAGATTAAAAAAAGCTCATGAACTAAAAGTTCTAAGATGTATCATAGCAAAAAAATATTGTTTACTACTACTTGGAAGTAAAGAAACTGCTAAATTTCATCATTTAATGGCTGGAATGGATTCAAAGTTAATAATTTCTCAGGGAGAAAAAGATCTTAGAATTTTTGAAACATTTATCCAAGTTGCTCATAGAATTGTTTGGATAGCTTTGGCCCGAAAGCAGTTCTCTTTAATAGGTAGTTATTTTATTTACTATTATTAAAATAAATTAACATGAGTATCAGACAACATGGACATAAAAGTAAGTAGAATTAGTCTTTTAAATAGAAAATTGATTTTTCCATAGAAGTAGAGCTTCATCGATTGTTCAGAACTGAAGCTTATAACATCGCTGACCGAAAAACGAATTACTCAATGAACCAAGGTCTTTCAGAAGAAGAATTATTGATTCTTCATGGTCCTAAAATGCCTCCAAAAAAGAAACTCTTAATGAATACTCCCCTTACTCATGAATTGCTTAATGAACCCTGTGATTACCGACTATTTATTTTAGGTATTCATGATTAATGTATAGTAGAAATTCTAACAATTTCTAATGAAATAAAATAATTTATTCAAACTGCTTTACTATAGAACTCCCTGATTTTAAATCAAAAGATCCAAGAATAAATTATCTAAAAAATGCTCTACTTGCTGATGAAGATGAATTGGAGCAACTAGGTATAAAAGTAGGAATTTTAGGTGAACCAAGAATCAATTATGATATAACACTAGTTCATATCACGATTAAAAAAGCTTCTGAGGAAGAAGAAGAAGTTGATAAAATCGTAGAACGTAGAAGACGTTCAGTATCTGAAAAAACAAAAAGATTTGTAAAGATTTTTATATTGTTTTTCGCCATGTTGAGAAAAATGAAATAATTATAAAATGTTTCAGAGCATAGAGAAACAATTTCTTGAGATGCCTTCATCTGGATCAGATTTAGAACTTCTAGAGACATTTCCTTTAAGAGAATCTCCAAGAAAACCAGGTAAATATGACAAATATCGAGAGGCTGCAAGGAAAAAATGGATATCAAGGGAATTAAATCGTAATACGTATATGGGAGACTTAAGTAATACGTATTCTGATACAATATCTCTGGCCACGAATATGGAAAATTAACGTTTAGTATTATCGTTATTATTTTCTTACAAAATTTGGATAATTAACATTTAAAGTGGCTAAAAATTGTACAATTTGTCAGGAGATCTTATATGAACTGGCTGTGGTGGGATAAATACAAGAGAGAGCACTAAAAGGCATGTAAAAAATATGCTTATTGTAATTATTACTACCTAAATATGAATAATAATTATAATCGTAATATTCATCGATTATAGTAAATAATAATTGTAATAATTAAAATGATAACTAAATAATAATAATTTATGATACAAGAACTTACAGGAAAATACAGCAATTCTATGATTTTTTTTTTATGACTTATTAGATTTTTAATTTTTTTTAATATTTCTAAATTAATTTCCCAATTTTAAAACCTATCACGTAACAAATAAAACTAGCAAACAAAATTATTTTCTCAATACAGTTTTGTGCCAGTAATTGAACAATAGTTTACAATTTTTAATTTTAATCAATTTTACATGAACAATTTCACAAGTTGCAAAATGTATCTCTAACAAATACAGTCAGTCAACATTTGGCTATTGAAAAAACTTATTAACCTTTTTTTGTGTAAAACTTACCCTCAAGACTACTAGATTACGTGTTAATATTCACAGAGTTTTTTTTTAATGCTATTTATATATTTTTTTGTATTTCTTTATATTTTTCTTCTTTTTTTTCTAATATTTCTAAGTATCTTGTTCCAAATATATAAACAGCCTAACGCAAAATTCTACACGAACGATAAAAAGTAATCGTTATCCATTCATTAATTAGATTATTAATTTAATTTACATATAATTATTGGTGATGTCTATCATCACCAGCATTATGTACAAAGCAACATTCAAATAGTTTTCAAACAAATAAAAAAAATCTATCTACGAATTTTTCAACGTCCCCTAATGAAAGAATAGTAAGAAATTTATTCTTAGTTTAATTTGATCTATTCCATACTTCTTCATCTCATCAAATAATTATTAATTGACGATGCTTCAGTTATATTTTTTACAGAAATTAAACTAGTTGATTGTTATAAACAGTCATTCTTTTCTTGCAGATTTTGTTTGATGATGTATAAATTATTATTCTATTGCATTTTTTTTACACGCTAATAAAAAATGTATGAATCCTCTCACATTCTCGTGATATTTTTTCACATGACGCAAACTTTGTTAAAATAATTACTGGATATTTTTCACTAATTACAACATCGCAAATAAAATAATAATTGGTGCTGTTAATATCTCTACGATAAATATACGAAGAAATTCTAACATTTCTATAGAAAAAAGATGAATATAAATTTCAAAGCAAACTATTTCTTATATAAGTATATATAAGAATTGCCAATTATTTTTAGACATTTTGTTTCAGTTATCATCATATTAATAAACCCATTAATATATTATTTATTATGTCTGGTATTCGATTCTTTTTTTCATTTGAAAATATTTTATGAATTATTTTGTTAAACATTACATTTATGCATTACGTCAACCAGTTCACTGTTGCATGCTGTTATTACGATCGGTAACGACTGAGGTATACATCCAAGTTATTTTCTTTGTCTATTCAAATATTATTCAACCTGATTTTACACGGTAAAATGTTTGAACCTATTCAGACAAAGGCTACGAAGCAATATCTGACATTAATTGGGCAAGAAGAGCTGGCTCTAATAGTCCATGTGTTTGGCCCATTCGTTCTAAATTTCGTACATCCTTGTCAACAGCTTCTAATGCGCGCTCTAATTCTTCTTCCTCTTCTCTTGATGGTTCATACTCGCCGTTACGACTCTCTACAATTAAATTCAATGTTACAATAATAAGTGTCATAAATAAATAAATGCTTGAACACAGATGAAAAACAATAAATCTACCTATGAATAGATCATTAAAAGCATCAGCAGGCAGAGTATTTAGAACATTTCCAAAGTCATGTTCATTTGGATCAAGTGCTGCAAAGACTTCATGATCTCCTAATTCAACTTTAAGACTACTTCCAAGTCCAAGAGATCCAAGTCCTAAGCCAAGACTTAAATTATTAGGATTGGAAGTACTCTGAGGTACAACATTGAGATTATTCAGTGTCTTTGTATCAGAATTATCATTCAATCCCATAATAGGACTTGAATAATGATTGTCTTCTTGAATAATTTTATTTTTAATTTCAACTGGTTTAACTGAAGGTGGTCGTTTTCGTTTTTTCGGCCTTGATTTGCTACTACTGCTATTACTCTTAGGTCTTGGAATGGTTGGAGATGCAGGTTTTTTACGAGTCTTTTTTGGTTTTGATTCCTGAGCTTTACGATGATAATTGTCTCGTTTACGTGCATGCTCTGGACAAAGTGGTAATTCATGAGCCACATCAAACACGGGTACACAACACTGAGTATTGTCGCTGAATTTGGCAGTGCAATGCTCAAAAAGTAATTGATCAGTGTTCATCATAATATGTCGAGAGCAATGTCGAGTGCATGGTAGAGACGTGTGACCACATCCTTCTGCAAGACAACGACCACCAACGAGAAGATGTCCATTAGATGATTTTCCATTGGTATTTGAATTATTCAAACGTCCATTTATTAATCGTTGACTTCTATAAGCAGCTTGCAAAAGACGTCTCGTACGTTTATAAAGCAATTCTTCGGCTTCTTTCCCACTTCTATGAAGTTGAATAAGACGCCTACGCAATTGTGATCTTTGTATCGACAGTTTGACTGCTCGTGGAACGTTACTAGTATCTCCTGTAAACCAATGACGTTGATAAACGCCAAGTTCATCACTACTAGAATCACTATCTGAAATTTCATCCCCTGCTCGAGGATAATAAAGTAGAGTATGATCTCTACTAGCTCGTCTAACAAGTTCTTGATTATTATTAGACTTTTCTTTACTGCGTATTCCACTATTATTGGGAACTCGCAACTCCAAGTTCTTCATGTTACCCATGTCTCCATCTATTCGTCTTGAATCTAATACAGAAATATTGTCAGGACACTTTATATGAGAATTTTCTGCTTTTATTCGTTTTTTGGAACATCTCGCTTTCGATCCACTAGTTTTCCCACTCATTAGAGAGCTCTTTGATGACTCCAAATGTTTACTTGCTGCACTGAATGGTTCAGGTTCACTGAATATATATGGATCAATGTCTTGACGTGCTTCTGTTTTAAGCAGTGCCTTCAGACGATCAGATATTTTCAGTTTATTGTCCATATTTGAATATTCCTGGACTGGGATCTTCATGGAGTGCAAACTTGATATTTTTCTTCACCTGTATCATAGAATTTTTTTAAATATTTCATTGTATAAGAGTTTATTGCTTTTATACTTAAACTTTGTCTGATAATGTAAATATTACCAGATAAATAACTTAAGAAAAATTTTTCATGTTCCAAAGCAATTATAATACATGAGAAAAATTCAAGAAAAAAGAAAATAATTCTTGCCTTGCCTAGCCATACATAGCTTCTCAATTCAATTAGTTTCTAATGTTAATCTTCTCATGTTATAAACGAAAAATTCAATAATCCTCTGATGTATGTATCCAAAAATTTCCATTAGGAACTATTTATTAGTTGACAAACACCAAGAGTTGATAAACTACGTTTTATGGTTATGTTTGCTTTGCATCCAACCTTTAAAATGTAAAATTCTCATTATAATCTCCTTGTTGAACCAATAAAATAATTGCTTAATGAAACCTTATCAATCAATGAATGTAAATGTTATCATTATTGTAGATATTATGGCAAATTTATGAAATAATTAAAAATAATTCTAAATTTTAGCTCACCAAACGAAGTCAAGTACAGAGGTTGGGTCAATTGTTTTCAGTCCACAATAATACACAAAGGCACATAGGCCGTATTAAACTTAATTTTTAGTGTATTTTATTATTTTTAATACTATTGTCTAACCTCTCGGGCCACATTAATTGTAAATAATTATTGATAATAACATTAGAAAGACATGTCAGTTGCTAAAAGCAGCAAGATGGCGGCCGCTACACACAACAATCCTTCACGCATGTAAACTAAACGTGTGACTAACACATTAACACTTGGATACTATATCAAACAAGATTTCAAGCAAGTAAATTTTATGATCACGCAATTCTTGTAAAAAATTTCTTTTATATTATCCTTCAAATACTTCAAATTACAATTAATAACTATATCCGTTTTATTATTTATATTTATAGTTCAAATTGACTCATTTTCAAGCTAACCTGTTTCAAATACATTTATACATAGTAGAAACACTTCCTCTGTTGCTTATTCCCACGCTTCAATTAACCCATGAAATACCTGGAAATTGAATCACTTTCTTTTGTTACTTAAAAACATTAATCATTTACAAATATAAAGATTATTTTAAAAAATGCAAAGAAGAATTTCAAACAATTACTGTGCTGTTTATCTTTTGTAAATGTTGAAATTGAATGAGAATTATCGAGAAAAAATACAGGAACTGTTTTTAAATTCATGCAAGTAATTGTTTGGAGCACGATTCCGTAAAAATTTCAGTTAACGGTTCGTTAAAGATGCAGACTTCTCAGGATTGTATAATAACAATTGTCTATTATTAAAAAATAAGATACGATTTTTAAGAAACATTTAATTCAGAAAAAGTATACTTTTCGCGCTTTTCATTTATTAAAAAATTATATTCAGCAATCCATTGTTCTCAACTATAGAATGAATCGGATCAATTTTTATGGCCTCAATAATTAATTTTTAAAATTAACAATTTTTGTGTTTATTAATATAAAATGAAATATAAATCGACATGAATATTTTCATTAATTATTTAAGTTTTTTTTAATTTTTGTTTTTCTATAAATATTCTATTCTAATGGAATCAGCTTTCATTTGTGAGTTAATTATTGTCAATGATTTAAATTTATCATTAAAATCATAACATATCATAATAATGTACCTTGATAAATAATTTCAATGAATAGAAATAATCAATCAGCTGATTTTGACATGTAGAACATAACCTATGAAAATTTGTTTTATATGAACTAATTTTTAAATTTTAATATTAAGTGCTTTCTATTTCAGAAATCAATATATTGAAAACTTTGAGTTACTCACATTTATATACATATACTTGTTTTCTATTTAATTAGCTAAGTAGATTGTATAAATAATAATTCTGCACTTAAACAAAATAATAATTAAATATGTACCTCAAAGGAAAGGTTGTATGATTAAATCAGAGTCTGAATTATTGTGAATATTTATCTTTCAACAAGACTCTAAACAACAAACTGTGTAAACAAACACTCTTACAAACTCACGATATGAGCATTTCACGAGTACAGAACCGTTCAAATGGTTAATTTTTATAAATTTTTTTTTTACATCAGATACAATTTTTGTGTAAAATTGAATTAAATAAAAAATCATTAATTGTATTTATTATTTATGAATTGAATTAATTGTATAAACATGCTTTTCAAGTATTGGTGGATTTTGCATTTGTTAATTATGATAGGATATAACACAATAATTGATTATCAATTATTAATTAATATTCAGTTCATATTTCTGTATGTAAAATAAGTATTGCTTTTACATTTTAGTATCAACATTAACTATTATGCACCACCTTTCAAAGCATACTAATCATCACTCCAATGTCGCGTTTGTCACAAACACTATTATTAGATGTACACAATAATTAGATTCAATGTAAAAAAATTTTTCCATTTTTGAAAATGAAATTTTGTTTAAACGTTATTCAGATTAATTCACGATTACTGTTATTGTATCGTTAATGTTACGTAGATACTTGCGAGAAACTTTTTTCTCAAACTATTTAATGTAGTCTAATGTCTATGAAAATTATTTATCTTTTCAATTTTTTTATTCTACGGACATATCCGGTTTTTTTTATTTTATTTGTAAAAAAAAAAGAAATCAGTATTCTGACGGTCTTACATTATTCTCTTTTAGTCCGTCATATTATTAGTCTCTTGTACACATTCATTTCGAGGCACACCTAGCGTTTTTATTTATTATTCCTTTTGACTTTATTTCATCACTTGAAGGGACGGTGGTTTTAATTATTAAAAAACGCCAGGAAATTGTGAATAAAGGTGCCAAGGGAGAAATGACAAAGTCTTGCCAAATATTTACATTTTAAACGGTCGTTCTTCTTTGTGGTTTTTGTCCTTTTACAACTGTCGGTCGGCCCTTGATATAGCCCTTCTTACGTTTGGCCGTCTGAAACATCAACCCCGGGCCCCCCATAATTTTAACTACGCTTGAAAGTCAGATCGTATGATCTTATTAATAACGAGAAACGATACGATAAAAACCATCAAATAAAAAAGAAAATTGTTGTAGAGAAAAATAGTGATTTTCAATCGTGATATATTGCTTAATAATAATGAAAAACATAAACTAACGAATTACTTGAAATTAAATTATTGAAAAAATTCTTCTACTCGAAACATTGTTAAAATCATGATAAATAGTTTATTTTCAATTAATATTTCTTCCTTCATTGACTATTATAACTACTTATAAATAATTTACATGAATGAATTATAATTTTCAATTCAAGAAGTTATAGCATTATTAATTTTGCACTATTTTTCTCTAATATTTTGCATTTTATATGAATTAAATACGAACCTTTTTACTGTGATAAGTATATGTTGGTCGAGTTATTGTTCGTTCAGATAATGGGATCCTGGGCCGATTAAACTCGTTTGGCTTCTTCACTCTGTAAATATTATTACGGATATTATTGGATGTGTTTTCTTTCACACTCTTATTGGATTAATAGTTAAATAATGCAGAACACAGTATACTACAATAGATAAACAATACGTCTACTAATCATTAAATCATTCATATTCTCGATCACTTTTTTAGAACAGAGACAGTATATGTAATTTCTATTAATGAAGTTAGGTTAAAATAACTTTGCTAATAAATAATTAATTATATATTAATATATGAATATATTACCTGTAAATTCTCACTAGCCAATGTTCTGTAGTATAGGCCTCCTCCAGGTACGTCAGTTTAAAATTTTTATTTCCTATTTCAGCGTGCCTTGTGCGATCAAATCCAGCAGGCATACGATAATCTAAAGCAACTTCACCGAAGCGGTAATAACTTAACTTATACATAAGACAGTTAAGAAGAGTTGGAGATCCTTCAGCATCAACTCTAAATTCTCCACGTTCAGTATAGTAATCACTCTCACGAATATCTTGAGGATGTTCTCCTTCAGCAATGCGTACCATCCACAAAAATTTATTAATATCATCACCAGTATAACCAATCATTCCTCCAAAAATCACAAGAACATAATCTACGTCTAACGAAGTCATAATTTCATACGCTTTAGGCTCAGTTGAGCTCATTGCTTTTCCTACCAGGGCAATATGTGAATTATTCCACGTATTATTATCGACTAGAGTTGTCCTAGAAAAATAAAAATATACAATATTAGATTAAATATTATATTAACTGTCATTATTTCATTTAGTTAAAGTTATTAAAAAAAATTATGTGTAGCAAACCTATTAGCCATTCCAGCAATCTGATATCCATAATCCCACCAACTCATCACTCGAGCATCTGTTGGAGTATTTTGTGCGAGCCAGTAATAAGCTTCACGGAAATCATCAAGAATACTTCTTCCTCCGTCATTAGTATACGATGCAAGGACGATGGACGGACTGGAGTAAGCATTACTAGTAACCCAGGTGCAGTGTATGGCGAACATCATAAGTAGTAAGAGTGTACCGATGACAACTCCACTACGTAGATTAGATCCAAGAGCATCACCATTACCCTTTGGTCTCTCATGTTTCATTCTTCTCAGTTTTCCTGCTTTATCATACAATCCACGGCCCGGACTACGTTCTCCTTCTGTTTCACTATCAGCTTCACTACTATCAGCATCTCTATCACCTGGTCCTCGATCGTCTTCCAACTTAAGATAAAGTTCTAAAAGACTGCTGAACGCCACTCCAGATAACATGCATACAACTGGTGTTAGTGTAAGCATTAGACGAACCATTACGCCAGCAAAGTAAACTGCACTTAGCGCGTACAAAATGATGAAAACACGTTCATCATTGATACGTTTAATGCAGTACCATAAGCCAACGGGGAAGGTAGACACAAGAATGTGTAAATCGAAGAAAAAGCTGAACCAGGTTGTTGGTTGATGTTCTGAGACAGAGGCAATTATAGGAATGTGGATTTTTGCATATCCTGCATCCCAAAGACTGTAAAATCTTCCACTCCAAGGTGCTACAACTCCTAGATTTGTCAAAATAATTAATGCTACTAAAAACACGGCTGCAATTACTGCAACAACACCTCCAAAATATTTCATTTCCGATTTGGTAAAAATTGTTCTTAAGTATCTGTAATAGCAAAAAATTCTTTTATTAGTATCAAATACTTAAACAATTTTAGAATAAAAAAAATGAACATTTTCTTACTTTAAAGTTCCTACAAAGATGAGAAGTGCAAAAACTCCTCCAGCTGCCATGTGTTCCGACGTTCTGATTGGTTGAAAACCAACAAAAGGAATTTGCATACTTAGTAAGAGTCCAAGAATATAGAAAATAGTGTAACTGACAAATAATCTGTTACTAAATCGATTCATTAGTAATAAAACAAAGACATGGAGAGGAATTAAGTTAATGATAAAAACATATCCTCCCCAAGCCGAAACCATGTAGAAGTATGAGAGGGCAGTCATTGCAGCCCAAAAAATTGATCCTTTTTTCACGGACTTCACCCATAAATAATAAGTAAATTGCAAAGCAAATATTGCTATACCCTCGTTGTCATAACTACCCGCCACTGATCTTGATATATAGCCAGGCACGATAGCGATAAAACATGCGGCAAAAAGTCCCGCGCCAGCACTCCATAATTCTTTTGTTAAGAAGTATGTGGAAATTGCTGTAAGGCCACTGAAAACTGGAGCAAGGAATACACATATGTCTCGTATGTGAACTGGAATATTCAGTGAGTGAAGAATGTAGTGGATGGACCCAGATGTTATCATAAGTCCAGGATACACAGTTCCACCAACAATTCGTCCTAATGGATACCAGGCTCGTTCGTCAAACCAGTTGAGAAAGTTATAAAATCCATGTTGAACCATATAAACAGTTGCTCGGTAGTTAAACCTGTTGAAGAAGTAAAAAATGATAAATGAAAAAAACCTCAATATAACTTGCATGCTTAGAACGAGAAATAAATCGAATTCTTACCATGGATCAAATTCATGAATTATACTTTCGAATCGGATAATAGCAAACAATCTTGAGGCAAATCCGGATATCCATGCGAGAAGAAGCACAGTAAATGTGATAAGAGAGCTGAGACCAGCAGCATTAGTCAACGTAGAAGATTTCATTTGTTTAGCGGAAGATTTTTTGTCAGGAAACATGACTTTTTTCGACCCCGTAGGATTTGCCTTGGATTGCATTTTTAATTTTTACGGGCCGAAGTAAGTATATTACCCAATTAGTTATTGTTGTAAATCATTTGCTGCACTTATGAATACCACTCATAACACCACGAGAGACACGTAGCAAATTTTATCACAACCACCACCGAACCTCCGTCGGCTGCACCAGCTAGGCTAGGACACGTCAAAAGCCGGCAAAGGCGAACTTCCTAAAGTAAAAGTCCCTAGGTTCTAGTACTTTATATTTTTTTCTTAGATTAGAAATAAATTATTTTTTAATTTGTAATGAGTTGTTTTAGGAAATGAGCTTTAATAATTGCCTTTTAATTCGTAGAATAATTAAAAATATTCACTTATAATTGTTAAAGATAAAAGAAAATATTTTTAGTTAAATTTTATAAAATGGCGCGCATTTCAAAATTACTAGTTACGACATCTATTACAAATTGGTCAATCGATCAAATTAAAATTTGAAAGTTGGAATTTAACTCATTAAGATTATCTATATAATTATTGATAAGAAATATATTTTCGAACATATTAAGAAACAGTGAAGTATTGAAAATAGAAGAATTTACATATAAATTTGATTTATTTCATAAATTAAAATACAAAATCTCCACAAAGTTATAGCTTCGATTATTTATATTAAATACAAAGTCCATTGTATACAAATTCCTTACACCTTAAATGTTTTAGCATATTTTGTAAGACATTAAATAAATTAATATCAAATAATCTAGTCGAGATTCACTGAAAAATTAATTATGATACATCTTTTTAGTAGAGACTGAAATACCCATTTGATAAGACTTAAAATAATACATACAATATCACAATTAATTTATTTTATAATCGAATATTTATACAAATTTTTGAATGGTTTCATGATTCTTGACTTTGTTTAATGATTTTAAATTATCCCACCAAACAGGCAATTCATGTGTAAGTATTAATTTGAACCATGGAGTAAGAGGAGAATTGCATTCATGGACGAATTTATTAATGTTTGCCCTAGATACCCATCTTATTTCGCTGACCTCGTCTGGATTGGGATCTAAAGTCACTTTATTTTTTTGTAAAAATAGAATATAATCTATTTCATGTTCACCCCATATATCATCATCGTTCAAAGCATGATAATGAATTCTAGTAATGTAGCAAAACTCATCAAGTTGAATTTCACTCGTAGGAATGCCAAGCTCATGTGCAAGCCTTCTACGTGCTGCACGTTTCACTCCAAGCGCATCACGTTCTTCAGCTTCACCAGGGACTTCCATTAAAGGATGGCTACAGCAAGTGTTTGTATAATAACCCGGGAACGTTATCTTCAAAATAAATAAATATCAGCTACTGTTATTTCTTCAAATGTCAATATTTTTTTTAGCTTGTTGACTTACCTTTGATTCAGATCGTTTTTGGAGTAATAAATCACCATGTTGATTAAATAAAAATACACTAAAAGCCCTGTGTAATGGAATATCTCTATCTACATTCACCTGATGACAATTTCTTTTTGATGCATAGCCTAGGGGTTTGTCAAATTCATCTACAAGAATACATCTTTCTTCTAAAGCAGCTTCTTGAACAGGAGCCACTTTCGGAGTAGCATTTCGACCAGCAGATAAAGTCAATGTTCTTACTGCACTTTTCACTCTTCCAGCAAATTTCAACATGTCTTGATTAATGTAAATTTCAATCTATTATTAACAAGATAGTAAACTTCAATGAATCTTCGGTTGAAGCTTTAAATAAACTTCTTGGCAATCTAAGTTTAAGTCTACTGAGTACAAAAAAGTTCACTATGTAGTTTGTTGTTTGAAGCTCTCAGCACATGATCCTAGTCACCTCTATCTCCATGACAATTCAGATGTTTTCAAAACACACTTGAAAGATGATGAATAACAAGTAGTATTTTTCAGAGATTAAATCCTTTTAGCTGTGAAAAAAGTATTACCAGATATTAGCGTAACAAAAAAACAATCTATTGAGTAAAAATTTCTTTTAAATACACTAAAGTTGTGCAAAAATATGCAATTCACCTTTAAGATAAGCAGTTCTAGCTGAATATTCGTCAAGGTTAGTTGATAATACGTCAGGTAACAAGGAATTTCGATGAGTGAAGGTTGTGGAATGTATGAGTATCAAGTGGGTCACAATGCTAGAATGACCAAAAGCTTATAAGCGTATCTATTTAAATCGTTTATATTGAGTTTGAAAGTAAGAGAAATTTTTTTTACACATCTTAAACCTATTAATGCATATGCACGTGAATACATGTAAATAATACGAGCCTATCAGACATGAGAATTGTTGTGATGTCACTCTTCAATCCCTCTCCATCTAACTAAAGCCATAATCATGAAACTGAGGTTATGTAGCGGAGCATTTTTTCGAAAAGTTTGTGATTATATCGTACTACATGGTTATGAGTAAACTTTTTTTAAAAAAAAAATGCAGAATTTAAACAAATTCTTAGCAAATAAATGAATGATATTTACTTGTCTATCAAGTGAAAGTGATTCGATAAATAAAATGGAGTTGTTTTATATTGAACTGTTATGTTGGATAACATAAGTGTCAAATGCGACTGTCTGTGATTGATATAATTGACACTTTTCCTGTTTGATTGTTATACATTATACCGCAGATTATCTGGGTAAGATAGTAAAATTGAAATTTTCAATGTAACTTAAGAGTTACATTCGCATTATTCACATCAGTTCTTTATGGGTAGTCAGTTGAAATAAATAACTAGGCCTTGATAATGAAAATGATCCAAGACTGGAATCGTTGGAGATAGTTTACATTTATTGTTCAGGTATGTTGATGAGTCATTTTTAAGCGAATGAGTCATGAACTTTATAATGAAGACAATTGTTTTACTAATCTAGGCTTAAATTACGCTAAAGAACAACTCGGAGATCATGTACGATACCTTCCTAGAGCAAGATGCCTGGTGTTACTGGGTTGTTTCCATAGCTGCTCTGTTATCTTTTGTTGGATTTATCGTAGCTTGTATTTGTAGCTGCAGACATAATGAAAACAAGTATGTAAAAATTATGACTAAATATCAACAATTAAAATTCGGTATTACATAATTTTATGAATCCATTGAGCGACTATTTTTTGCTATTCCAAGCATAATTATCAGTTTATTTTTTGTCATTTAAATTTTTATTTGTTACACTTTTCCTTGAATACCCTATAATTGCGTCCATTATGACGCTCTTAGTTGGACTTTATCTTTCTTCATTTATGTTTAAAAAAAAATACAAAATTATGGATTAACGTAAAGAGAAAAGCTGGATCAAGTTGATTACTATGACTCTGTAACAACAGGAGCGAGTTTCTGGGACTTGCGGGTATGGTAACAATCACCCGTGCTGAAAATGACGTTTTTGATGGACAACCAACGTTGGATATCGCCCAAGTTGTTACTCTGGATGCTGTGGATGGTGCAAAAAGGTGCCAAGCCCATGATCTGGCATGGCCGCATGACCCTTATGCCTGATGATACCATAACTAAAATCAATAACTTATTCAACATCCCTTATTAATAAATCATGAATGCTAATTAATATTTACGAATGGTCTTCGGAGACTGATCACTATTTTTCTTTTTTAACGCTTTTTCATATTTCTCTCAACTAATATTTTTAACCCAGCTCTTGTCCTTATTAACATCGACTATAATTTTGCCATCTATCACTATAAATCTTTTGTTTACCACCAATCAATATTAATTAAATAAAAATTTTTTTTTCTCAGAGCAAGTAGTGCAAACAGGAGCCTTCCAGACATTCCAAAGGATCGAAATGCTAGCGCTGATGAGAATGGCATTGGATCAGCATCGCAAGATATTATTTACGAAGCAGCAGAAATTATGGGAGATTCTTCAGAACTATATGCTACTGTTAGAGATAAAAACTCTAAACACGACAATCAACGTGCGACTCGCACAAGCTCCCAAGAAACTTCATCACTACAAGAAGATGATAGTGCTTCGCCTTACGCTAGGTTGAATTCCGTAAACTCTACGACAGATGAGCATCCTTATGCACAAGTTCAAAATGTTTCTAAATCTGAAATAAATCGACAAAACAGTTTTAGAAATGCTAGTCCACTGGATGTTAACCAGAATCCTTCAACAAGTCAAGTAAATAATCCAGTAGCTCCACCAAGAGCTCGTAGATCATCTTCGCATAATTCTTTGTTAAATATTGATGCATCAACTGGTGATATTCAAGCAGCAAATGCTATCACTGGAGGTGTTCAAGCGAATCAAGATTTACCCTATATGACACCACCAATACTGATGTCATTACCAAGACCACCACAACCTCAACATAGTGGTCCTCCTCAACATTTTAGTGGAGATTCTCAAGATTCTAAGGGATATACTAGTATCAGTGTTCGTGAACCACTTGCTAATATAATTGCACAAACTAAAGCAGCACATCAAAATCGACAAAATCCTCGACCTCCTACAGACTCACATTATGCTACAGTTTCTGATGATTCAGATGAAATGTATGCAGCAATTGATGAGCAAGAGAAAATTTATACCAGTGGTAGTGAAACTTATGCACAAATTCAGCCAATGATCAGTGAACAAAATAGACAAGTTCATGCAGAAGTTCAACCACAAGTTCATCAAGTTACTCCACGAATTAATCCTGAAGAATCATTTATATTCCCAGCTCCACAACCACCTAGTGTTGATAGTTTAAGACATGTCGCTCATGCACATTCTCGACAAGCTTCATCTTCAAGCGCTACAAGTTCAATAATTAATCCAGGATCTCCTAAACCTGAGAAACGTCAAGCCAATTCTCCTCTTCCACCTCCACCGCCTCCACTGCCACCACCGGAAGATAGCGGTGATGTTTATGCTCATGTTGATAAACATGCTAAAGTAGAGGAATATTCAAATCACCAAGGTCTTGCTTCTGGGAAGTCTGTTGAAGATATGTATGCAAAAGTAATGAAGAAAAAAAGAGATTCTGAAGAAGAATCCTGCCCTAGATCTTCTAATAACGTTCAAGGAGAAAATCCAAGCCAAGAGAAAAAAATGAATCTTGTTGAAATCAGTCGAGCATCGTGGTCTAGCCATGATTCAGTAGAAATCCATAAAAGAGAGCCTGAAGTGAACAGAACATCAAATGTTCCTATGGAAGTATTGAATACGGAATCTACTATTGAATTTAACGTTGTTGGAAGAAAATATGAGCTTGACCGTTTAACTCCTGAAGATATTTTTGAACCGATAAATAATCAGAGATCAATTGGTTCTATTGGAGCAAATGATCCAAATTATGAAATGCTACGACCGTTATTTTCAAGAGGAGAAGACTCTAAACCAATTACTCAACCAACTACAAGTATGAGAAATGGTATCGATGTCTTACCTTTTTACTCGGTGCCCTTTAAACATCGACAAGTAAGTAATGCCAGCAGTGAAGATCCAGGTTACGAGAAAGTTAGATTACGAAGACGCGTTGATCTTGATGCTGACACTGATTCCGAGCCGAATTACGAGAGCATGCCTCATGACCATGGAGAACCAAATTATGCTTCAGTTTGTCGTCCAGGGGATAGTGACACTGATCCAAATTATGAATCAGTCCACAATAGTGATCCCAATTATGAAAGTGTTCGATATATGAGCGTGACACACAAAACCAATTCAGATCCACCGTATGAGCAAGTTAATTCTTATAAGCATGATGATCAAAATATTGACGGGTATGAGAAAGTCAAACGGCAGAATGATGACTCTAATTATGAAAAAATCCAAGAAACGTCACGAGCTTTTACCGATAATACCGATACTGACGACGAACAGTATGTTCAAGTTTGAAGATTAAGATAAATATAAGGAACATGAATAGTACAAGACAACATTTAAGTTTTTGACTGCGTAATTTAAAAGATCAAAGATCAGAAAAAGTTATTGAAATAAATAAATAGATGTAATCTTGACGAAATTTTTATAGAGTATAATTATTAAATTAAATTCATTAATTTCAATAATAATTAAATTATTATTGAATAAAATAATTTATAAAAATATAACGATAATATAAAATATTCAAAAATATTTTTTAAAATATTTAATGGATATTATTTTATAAAAGTGAACATAAAATTTTTCACGTCTTCTTGTTATCTTTGCCATTTACATATAATTTCCATTAGATAAAAATACCTGGTAGAAAAAAAAAGCAAACAATAGTTTTCAGAGCATGCTACAATTTTTATAACAAATATTAATATAAGCTATAAACTATCAAAGTTTGTCATTGATTTAACCGTAATATAAAAATGGTAAAATAATGTATGCTAATAAATATAAGACTGATAAAGACTAGAAGTGAGAGAACAGCGCATCAAGTGTAAGATCAAATGCAAACAATGAACAGAAAAGAATCAATAATATAAAAAAACAATAACTAAAAACAATTGACTTTTTTGTAATAAAAAGAACTGACATTTGTAACAATACTGATTAATCAATATAATTTAAAAATGATTTATTTTTCCGTTCATCGAATTATGTAAATATATTCTTTTATCAAAGCGTATGTATACTATTTTGGTCGATAAGAAAAAGAACTAAATTATTATAACTATAATTATTTATTTATTTGAGCACGCATTCCATTTGAATACTTCAAAAAATAACATACTTCGATATTATAATGATTATTTTTTCATTTTTTTTTTTGTAAAAAAAACTTTTTATTTAAAATGCTTATACGAATTAATGAAAATTATATTATCCGATTTTTAATAAAAATAATTTTATAATAAATAAATGCTTATTAAAATTAATATAACATATATATTATATGTATAAGGCCATAAGAATTTTACAAGTGCAATCCTTTCAACGAAAAAAAAAAAAATTTTTTTTAATAATTAATATTATTTACTTATCAAATCTAACAATAATCGCGTGTATGTACAGAAGCGCATTATTTTATAAACTCATTTTGTACGTATGCAAATTATTGAGCATTTCATGAGTGTTATTATAATAAAATAATCACGATTAAAAAGTATGTGAATAAAATTTTTAAATAATAAATTTTGCAATTTTCATTAAAACTTAAAAATCATTTAAACATTGATGAAAAAATAGAAGAACAATACTTACATAACTTTCAATAAAAAGTTCATATCATAAGAACTTTATCCAGTTTTTTTTAATGAAATTGATTATTAAGATAATTACAATAAACGTCGTTATTTTAGTTAAATAATAAAAAGTGCGTATATGATCTCGTCTCGCATTTAGTTTATGTACACATACGTATGTATATATTGATAATATATACATATTACACGTAGTAAAATACGACTTATTAATATTCATTGTTACCCATTATTTAAATTATGAATTATTATTTAATTCATTAACGAACGTCGTTGTTATCGTACTATTCTTATTGAGGGCTAATAGAAAAAAACCGAGAGTCTCTTTTAGTAGACATATAAACGCCATTTACCTTTCATCATTTTTTTTTGTAAAATATTACATTGTTTAATTTTAATATGATTTTGCTGATTTGTGGTTTAGAGATTGATTTTTTCCATACATTTTACACTGTTATCTCTTTATCGTTGATACTTTACATGACGTTTTGCTTAAATTACAACGATATACTTGAATATGTATACACACATAGATTAGATAAATCTGTCCATTTTTTAGGGGTATGTTCATCTTTCTTTCTAAATTTTTTTTTTATTTACTGTATTTTCTTTTTTATTTATTTTAAGGCGCGGTGTGAGAAATATTGATTGGCATATCAGGGATGATAGGATGTAACTGTATACTTGTAAATTATAATCTTATCTTTATTTTTTCTTTTCTTTTACGATCGCAATTTTGTTAATTTTTTTCTACTACGGTCTTTTTAACATTTTGTTTTGGTTATTGATTAATTATTTGTTAATATATTTTTGTTTAAATTTGTTTTATTTTAATTCTCCACATATATAAATTGATTTCTGTAAGTGATATTTTTTGTAAATAAGTTGAAATTCGATGAACTTTTATGAGGATTTCGTTGAATTTTTCTTTTTCAATCTGAATGTTATTTATTGTCCCGCGTTTTAAAAATCTTTCGAATTGCTTAATACTGCGTGATAAAGAAATTTGTTTTTTAAATTATTTTTTATAATAATATTCACAGTGATAAATTTTTTAAATACGTGAGGCAGAATAATAAATAATTTTGAATACATACCATTTATAAATCAAACTTGAAAAAAAAAATTAAAATTAATAAATAAAACTCTTATTAACTGGGAGTACTGATACCAAGCAAATGCAATAAGGAACTGACAAAAGATCAATAAACTTTAATGTATAAGTATTCATTAAAATCGAATTTATCAGTAATATGTACATTAAGCGTGATTCATTCGGGATTATTTTTCTAATTAACTTTTTTATCATAAATAAATAATATGAAGTAACATTATGTATATTAATAAAGCTTTATCACGCAGTATAATTGATTTTTACAGATTTCTGATTATAATTAACATAAAGACGAATTCAAAAATCTATTTAATTATTTTTATTTCATCTCTTTGAGTCCACAAAAAATTTAAATAATTTTTCGCCAAACATCGACCGCCAATCTTCGAATTTAAATGTACAAAATTGCGATAGATTGTAGTTTCGCATATGTTTATTTTTTATATATTAATTACACTTGAGTTTCAATGATTTTCTTTCACTTACGTCAGTTTTAAAATTTTTTGTTTCCACTTGTTCACATAATATTATCATAACTTCACGGTCATAGTCATATGGTATTAGGAAGCACAAAATGTTATCAACAATGAGCTTCGCGGCAGTATTACGCGATGCTTAATTATCATGCCACGATTATTTTATTTTCCGTACGACTTATTTAAGAAAAAACTCGCAGAATATATAATAATATGTACAATTCGATACTTTTTCACACATCTGCTTTCCTCATATTTTTTAATAGTAATCTTATTTATTTCATCGCTGATAAGTTCATCTCATGGTGTTAATGATTTTTTTTTTTCATATTAAACCCTGTCTTTCATTAGACTCAATTTTTTAAAAACTTTGTTCGCTTTAATCTGAGCAATTGAAAAATAAAAAAATGAATAAATATTTTAAACAATTCATACTTTTTCTCATTCAGCCTAGTCGATTATTAAAATCAGCTACTCAAGCTCTATACACTTTTATTAATAATTTCTTATTGCATCAACTAATACACAACATCCACACTCACACCTCCTCCATGTTTTGCTATTTATACTAATATTACATTAAGTTATTAATATATTAATATACCTTAGATGTTGAAAAAATCGGCATCATTATATCCATTTTATGATTTTTTCTTTGTAGTTTTTTGACTTTGAATTGGTTGTTTTTTACAATCAATTTGATAAGAATCGTCACTTCTTCATAATCATTCCAGCCTCACCATTCATTTTTACAAAGAGATTTTCATCTTTTTTTTTTAAACTTCTTATCTCTCATTTTTTATAGTCCATTCACATCACAGATTAATAAAAATGCACCGCGTGATAATTGAAATGTTCATCATAGCACACTTCGATTCATTATCAAGCTTGAGACAAAAAAGCTTTGGCAAATTCGCACAGTGAGAGAACAAAAATAATAATGTAATTAGAATGTATTTAAATGACAGTTTTATAAGGAACAGTTGTGTTATACAGTTCGAATAATTGAAGTTTTTTAAAATGTCATTCAATCACACTTTAAACTCTTGAATATGTTTTTTCATGAAGAAATAGTGATGTAAGTTTTATCTATCATTCTATTTTTCATTACAGAAATTGGTTACTTGGACTGAAACATTTCTATAAAAAAATCGGAAGAATTACATAAAAACTGTAATGTTTGTGAATCTGTTATTTTTTTATTTTTACTTGAGTATGATTATCACATTATTTTTCTCTCATTCAGCAAAAAGTAATTGAACACAGTCGTTCGATATCAATAAGTCTTACTTGACAAACTGCTTGCAGCTATTTATTATATGAAGTTTTTTTTATTTTATTTCATTTATTTTTATTTAATCACTATTTCATGTTTGCTCTTTATTATTTATTAATAATTATTTAGTTTTCTTATTTAATTTCTTTTCTCTGAGTTACACTATAAAATGTGAAAATTTGCACTTAAGAAAAATGTTCAATGCGCAATGAGCAACAGATTCCAGCTTCCCCATTTTTAAATATCATACTCATAATCGTATCATTTATTTTCTGTTCTTTTAAACTGCAATAAACCTTATATCAGTCGTTAATGTTTATTCAAAATTCGTCAAATATTCAATCTTCATGGGCCCCACCAATATATATATTTTTTTATTTATCTTATAATTTCTATAAACTTATGAATTATGTTAACGTGCAAACCTACCCCTTTTACACGTTACATATTTATCGTTATTTTTAAATTTATTTATATTTTATTATTACTATTTATTTATGAATTATGCATTTTAATCTGTTTTTTCGTTTCTATATTCAGTGCGCATAAATGGTACGATTTTAATTATTTTATAGTTTAGAATATACTTTGGTATAGCTCCAATGGCAGCGATTAATGTGAAATATACATATACATACTCGAGGGTGTTATTACAGCAATATTTATCATTATTAATTATTAATAATGTTAATATTATTATTTATTAAATATTAATCATCATTGTTTTATAATTATTATTTAAATGTGTTTAATGCATTTATCTGACTTTAGAATTTAGAAGATTGGCAATCAATTTTCAATTTTACACTTTTTATCTTTTTACAAACATTTATTTGTTAATTAACTTCTTTGTCCTCTAGTATTATTGAATTTACTTATTTACGAACTGCAATAAAAATAATTGCATGACAAAGCGTAATAAATAAATGCTTTTTTATATAAATAAATTATTATTTCTAAAAAATTTTCTTCATTTAAATTCTTTTTCATGAGTATTTTTTTCAAGAGGACAATAAGAAGTATTGACAAATGCCGGTGCTTCAATTTTATTTCACCATTTCGATAAGAAAACTTCGATATCATGTACCTTAGCTGTACAAAATTGAAGATGTGCGCATTTCATACGATACTAAAATTTCAACTAAATTCCTCTACTCGTATCGCTGGAGTTTTTTTTTTAAACTTATTAATATATTCGGTCCTCAATTTTTTTCATTCAATATATCATTCCATATCAATTAATTATGAAAACTAATTATAATTATGAATAATGACTGGTCAGATGTCTGTAAATAGACCTCTTCTCTTCATTTATCTATACAAATTCTGGCTGACTATCGCCATGACAAAGTAATTCATTTCTTTAGACCCTTAACGTTAGACCAATTTATATATATTTTTTTTTACTCAATTTATTTCAATAAATGTGTCGTTTTCATCCACCATCGCGTTTATTTCTTACGTTTGCTCTGTTCCAACGCCATCGTTCAAATTTAACTACGATTAGTGGACCATTCATTCCGGATTTTTAATTTTTGATGATTTAAGGAATATATATCGCTTCGTCTTCGATTTTCTTATCATATAAAGTTTTGAAACAACGGTTTTTATCGTTCAATGTAAAATATACAGCATTTTTATTTTTTCATTTTTTTCAGTACAATGTATAAAAGGATTAAAGAACGCGTTGTTTCTACAATGATTCGCAGGTACCAGCCTACATATGAAATTCTTTTTAAAAATTGTGCAACTATTTTGTAACGTGGGCACTTAGAATGTCTTTCCTGATGTGAATAATCGAACAGTTTGTTTAGTATTTAAAGTCTGCTGCATTATATTTTATCTAAATTACGACGTTTTATATTAAAATTAATGTTATACCAAGTTTATCTACACTATATAACACATTCATGCTGAGAAATAATTTCACTTTGATCAAGAAAATATATTTGATGATGATTAACATTCCGTTAACTTTTTATACTTTTTTTTTATAATTCGACTAAAAAAATATAAATAATTTATTATTTTACAGTACTTGATAAGATTATCAATCTAAATTAGAGTTTGACTCTTAAAAAAATAAGAAAAAATACAAAATTAAGTTTTATGTAATGTTAGAATTTTTTTCCATCATTGAATCTACATATATTTCATTGATCCAACTCTGTGTTTAGTTTCGAATTGTTCCTCAGCATATTTGCACATTGATATCATAAGACCATATATAGGACACATACAAAATTTTAAAAAATGTTTAATCCAAGTCCCTGTCTGGTGTTCATCGTCGCCCACGTCCAATGATGATCCTTGAACAGGATGTAAGTGAGAACAATTTTTATTAGAAATATTGACAAAAACGATTTATTCCTTTTCATGACAATAAACTCTCCGTATGAATGGCTGTTGATGGCGTTGAATGAGCTGCTCGAATTATCATGAGCAACAATAACAACAACAATAACAGCAACAACAATTTTATTACACATTAGGCGCGATTCTATAGTCTGCGTTCCAAAGACACGCAATAACGCACATGATGCTGATCGACATAAAAGTCGATAGAGACAATGACACCAAGATGATGCTGATGATAGTCACGGGCTGTCAGGGCTATTTCTCCCTTCACCGCAAACATGCTCAATTTCACCATCACGTGGGCTCGACGGGCCCAAATGATAATGATCATTGTACTCTTCTGGAGGATTTCCTTGATCGTGAATGCTTGATGAACGAAGGTAGTAGCTATGTTGGAAAATATAATCCTCCAAATCTTCAGGCTCCGGATGATAATCATCGATATTCATCTCTTCGACGCGTCTTTTCATTTTACGATGACACAAAAGACAGATAATAAGAGCTAGAAGTACAGCTGCTGCTGCAGATCCCACTGGCACCGCGTAACTCACTGGAGGCACTGTGATTGTACCTGTAAATTACATTTTTATTATAATATTTTTTTAAAGGTTCCTCAACTTACCCAGCTTGAAAGAAATTATTTTTTTCATACACAAGTTTACAAAAATATTATTTGCTATAAAAAATATCATTATTAGAGTTAAATAAGTATTGGATTACTCTTATTTGAAAGATTAGTCATTCATATAAACTACATTATTATCTTGCAATGATTAATTAATTTATAAAATAATTTCTCCATTGGGTGATTTTTTTAAAATTATTTGTATTGAATTGATTAATTCGTGGACGTTCAATTAATTTCGCGAAATTGAATATTCCATCTTAAAATTCAATATTGCTGCTTTTATAAAATGATTAATACATCGTTATTATAAAAAAAAATGATCTAATGTCCACAATACATATTAATATTAATTGTGCAAATATGAAAAATTGTAAATGGAAGAAAAAAAAGTGAAAAGATAATTGAAAAACATTGAGATTTTGAACATGCATTATATGCTAAAAAGCAGATAAAATTTCAGTCTACAATCAGTATTTTCATGCATTCAGGTGTTTTTTGCTCAGCACATTTTGTATACCTACATCAAGAGAAAGTGATTATTCCCTTACTCCTTTCATAGAGATATTAAAATGCATAAAAAATATTATTTACGAGAGTAAATCGATTGAGAACGTCCTCGAGGTGAATAAAATCGGTGAAGTTTGTGAGTAGACTCACGTGATAAGGGAGTTCATAGCATGCCGGATCGTTTGAAGCCTCAGGAAGGCCTCAGATGGTCACGAACACAAAGCACAGAGAGAGAAGAAGCATGTCAGAGACTCCAGACAATGCTAGTGCCAGCGGGGCTGATGCTGTACCTGTGAGACACCATATAACCGGTCACCCACGCCCCAAAAAAAACCCGATTTCAAAAAACCCATCACCCTATCATTCGTTTGAGTCTTCTTTTTTATTATCAGATTCATAATTATCTCTCGTTTATCAATAAGCTATTACTATTGAAACACAGGTTGACATTTAAAGTTTAGTATTGTTTGGAAATTAAGTGTTGATTTGTTGCATAAAACTTTCCTAATTAAGGCAAAAGTATAAATTTAATTGTTAATTCAGATAATAAAGTATGCCGAATGTTAGCCTGTGCAATAGTAAGTTATAACTCTTTCTTTGGGTACCTGATGACTAATTAATGTTATTTCATGATAGCTCGGATTGTCGTGGCAATACATGCTTCGTGCAGTATCTGATCACTATACATTGATAATATAATGAAATTGTCGTTGATAGAAGATTAAAAGATTAAGATCTTTAACTTTTATCATAATACTACTTTTAATTATCTTCCTCCCTCTTTATTAATATCTCTTTCAACTTAGAATAATTTATTACCCATTTTTATGGAGAGCTTAATCATAATTAGTATTGAGTATAAAAAAAGAATTTTATTACTGAATAATATTGAATTAAGAAATGATTTATTATTAGACGAGGTGTTCACGATTTTTTTTAATACCAGAACATTTCATATCTTTAAAAAGAACATTTTAAATAATCATGACTATTGTAGGATTGTTCACAATCAAATTAAAGTTCTTAATCTATGAAAAGATAAAATGTTAGTTTATTCACATTCAATTATACAATCAATACTCATATCTTTCAGCTTTTCAAATAGCTCTATCTAATTATTTTCTTCATGTTTTCATAACTTGATACGACTTTTGTAAAACCAATTATTGTCTATTTTTTCCAAGTATTGTAGAGAATTCATTTAAAATCCTGAGTGATTGATGTGAACATTTGTGAGACTTTTTCTTAATATAGTAAAATTTTTCAATCCATGGTTGCATGAATCAGTCTCATTAAATTTATAGCCTCAACAAAGAGTATGGAAGAGTTAGTGACTGTTAGTTGACAGGAAAAAATATTTAAAAAATTCGAGAAGTGGAAAAGAGATTTATTCAAAGGCATGCTAAAGCTGCTATTCAAAAGCTCAAAGATATTTTTTTATTGAAAGTATATCCACAGTGTACTGAACGAATCATGTATTTCATATTCCAGACAAGCATGCGGTTCAGAATAAGAGATTATTATAGTGATCACACACGAAGGTAAACGAATAGTCAATCAAGGATTGAACCATTCGTCAATGAATATAAATGAAAAAAAAGGTGTGAGTAGAATAATATAAAATATATAAAATGGAAAGATTTTTAAGTTTATGCCAGATAGAGCGAAGATGTGATAGTTTCAGTGATAGTTTGGAAATGATTGGACAATTCAGTGAGACAATAAAATTCCATAGGGCGATAGAAGTTAATTAAAATATTTGTGGATGTATATATATATATATTTGATTATATATATATCATTTAGTTAAAGCTGATCTCACGATTATCAGGACTCACAGTTCTCCTCGTCAGTTGCATCTTCAGACCCACAATTCCTGACTTTGTTGCAACGTAATGTGTCTGCAATACAGTATCCTTTTTTACTGCATTGAAATTCATCTGGCTCACATTCGCTTGCCAAAGACACTTCAGTCCACACAGCTCGGAAGCCCGATTGTCCTACTGCTTTGTCAGAGGATATGAAGCTGCGATCAAGAATTTTTTTATTAATTTCTATTTTATCTGTTCTATTTACTCTTTATTTCAATTCTTTATTGCATTTTTTATAAATAACAGAAAAGTTTCTATTGGTTGACATAGTTGATTACTTGGTTTCATTTTTTTTTAGAGTAGATTTTAGGTCATTTAAACTCTGAGTTATTTACGATGATTTATTTATTGTATGTTATAATTTATTTTGAAATCCAACTACCTACAAGTGTTAAATTTTAAACGAAGCAATATACCTAAGTGCCAGAATGAAAGAGTAAAGTCAATATTTTATATTGAAAGTACAATAAAGTTTATGTCTTAACAAAGATATATTTTGTGTTATTTTATGTACTGTAAAAATGATAGCATTAAAGCTTTATTACACTTTGAAAAGATATAAAGAAGTATTGAAATGTTAAAAATAATAAAATTCTATTTATAATTTATTCATAGCCAATTATTATTTTTAAAATTGATGATAAAAATCAAATTTTATACTTTCTGACTTTTAATATAGTTTAAAAATACTATTCAATGCATGATTTAGAAAAATAAAAAAACAATGTAATAGAGAATTGATTTTACGTTGTTAAAAGATATAATTATTTTGTTTTACCTAAGCCGTATATTGTGATCATCTGACAAATAACTCCACGAAATATCGTTAGGTTTCCCACCGCACAATTCAATCGGCGTAGAGGTTTGTGAAAGCCACATCCTCAAAACGGCAGCTGGACATCCTCTGACTGAAAATTTTTTAGAAATATGGAATAAAAAAAAATCTCTTAGTAGATAATAATTCTTAAAACTTACCAGATTGTTCACCTTCCACAGAAAAATTAAAAAAATTCAATAATATCCTGTGGTAAGGACGCACACTTACAAACCAATTGCAAGTTTTGCTGGAAGCATTTCGAGATGGGCCGTCATATTTTTCAGGATAGTTTGGACTCGTTATTACTCCAGAATCGAGACTGCTAATATTTGAGCCACAATCTAGAACAACAAATTTTTCGTAAGCATCGTATCATCATCTTGAATAAATTTGATGACTATATATTTATCATCGAAACAATATAAAGGAGAAATAACAGAAGAATGTCACGGACCTCCGAAAATGGATTTAGCAACATCAAAAGTGTAACGAGCTTTAAAGCCACTATACACGTGTTCCGAGTCAGAGTGAAGAATGACTTTTAGACCAAGAGCACCGAGATTGGATTCCACAGGACCTGGCGCAGTCATTCCACAGTATCTTCCAATTAACTTCTCTGTACTATCTTGGTATATGTTGTAAATCTCTAACCAATCATCTTGGCAGGTGATTGGTCTGTTAATAAAAATTGATAGGTTTGAGCTTTCAAATGATAGTAACTCATCTAGGTACTGATTTATTACTATTAATCATATGATTTACCCATAAGATCCAACGGAATCGTTAGTCACACTCGTTCGAACTTTGAAATTATCAAAAACAAGAGTAACTTGTTCATTGCGCGTTCCCAAGAAGAGATAAGTGCAATTTGTATCGCTCGGATAATTACTTGGGTAACGTGGTGAGTTAAATTCCCCTTTTTTCCGTGAGGAACTTCGATAAGTGAATGTGCAGCTGCCGTCCGGTGCAGCGGTACCGGGTATTTTGTACTCGGTTTCAAAGCTATACCTATTGACAATTCAATTAAGAACCATTGAATTCATAGTATATATATAATACTGTTTTATTGGTTACATTGATCGATACTATAGAAACTATACTCACCTAGCTTTGAAACCCCGGCCTTGCTTGAGCTCCCCGCTGCTGAACACCATAACGAGACGAGGCCCGTCACTAACTATTTGGCTCGGATTCGTTTCATTACCGCAAAATTCATAGTCAAACTTGTCGTACGAGTCAGTTGCTTCTTGACCTTTCAGGTAGATTTTCAAGTATCCATCAGTACATGCGGATCTAGACAAAAAACATGTTATAATGAATTAAATAAAACAGCTTGTCTTTAATTGGTCGTTAAATTATGGCAATTTAGTTTTTAAAAAATTCTTGGTAACAAAACGAATATATAATTGATCACTAAATTGCAGCCATCAAGTCTTTTTAACCCTTTAAGAGTACATGAAGTGTATCATACTCCAGCTGTTTTTCATTTAAAATCGCTAATATTTCTTCAACAATTAGGGTTTAAGTACCTAACAATATTGAGGCACATCCTTTCTTTTCAACGAGGTCAATATGGATTCTCTAGTCTTTTTAGTTTACTTGTAATCGTCGCTCCAAGTAGAAGTAAAGTATAGACAATATTCAACATTTATCTTTCCCTTCTTATCCGTTAGAATCAATTTTTCAATTTAATAAATGATAAAAAAAAATTCATTTGACAGAAGGCATTTATTTATCAAGATAAAAGTCTCTCGTTTTTTTTTCTTGATCCCTCACATGCGAAAAGTTCTTCACTTTGTATGCCAAAATAAAGTTTTTCGAGAATCAATAATATTCAAGAATACTGCGTGAAAGCTCAAATCTTTATCTTTCTTGAGTGATGTGGGTTTTTTCGATATTGAATAAGAAAAGAATAAATTCGTTCATTTCACCAAATCACGAATAAAACGAATTTATTCTTCTCCTTAATCTGAAAAATAATCAAAAAGTACTCACTCTCCTTTGGCTTCTCCTTTAGATATTTCAAACATTAAGAACTCGAGTTTCACACGTTCAAGATGCTGAGAATCCTGCATACCGTAGATAAAGTAACGACACACAACCTTTGGTATGTAAGGATAAGGATAATTGGGACTGACAACAAATCCTGGCACACCTCCTTTCTTGCTCAAGATTTTCTGATCACACTCTGATCCTCGTATATGCATTCCTCCAGAATTATTTATAAAATCTAAAATAATCAACGACAGAAGATTGTTAACCTATTATCTCACTATAATTAGCTTAATTGAAATCAAAATCAAATATACCTAATTTTACAAAGCTTTCAGAAAATTCAAAAATTCCTTTAAATCCACGATTTTGTGTATTTGCAGTTCGCTGCAGTGTTACAAAGAGTACAGTAAGATTAGATTGTGAAGAATATAGCACCAAATTACGTTGCTGACCGCAATAAGTCCCAATTGTTGGGGCTGTATTATCCAATCCATCATAAACTTTTACATAGTCAAAAGGGCAGCTGTAGGTAAATTGGCAAAAAATATGGTGGTTTTAAAAATGATCGATGATAACGTGATACTTAAGTGGAAGCATCAATAACTCACTGAGGACCTCCATAAAAAAGGTCAAAGTCCCGAAACTCAAGTCGAATCCTCTGGCCAATCTTGCCGATAAACCGGTACGTACAAACAAGATCCTTCGGATAAGTCCCAGGATAAGTAGGCGATAGAATAGATCCAGTGCCTTTGACTGTTGAATTTACCAAGAAAGAACATGGTGTATAAGGCGCTGGTGTTCCGATTTCGTACTCAGCTGCAGTATTTATTAATCAATGATTAGTGACTTTAATATTGAAGAAGTGTAGCAAAAAGTTTCAGTACTTACAGGCGTTGATGAAAGCGTATCGACCGCTAAAGAGACTTGGTAACGTGATATTCTTGTCTGTATAGAAACTAAGTGCAATCCCGCGGTAGAGAGATACTCGTCTTCTCGGTGGAATAGGGCCGCAATATCGCCCACCGAAGGGTGTTTCTATCAGCTTGGTTGCATTTTCTGATCGTATCTCCGTGTAGACATCCATGTACTCATGAGCACAGCTGGAAATATCATGGAAAATTAATCAAGAGGAATATTATATTCATCACATGCCTGTCAAAGTCTTTGTGAATTATTAAAAGCTATTGGATCGATTCCAAGTTTTAAAATGGATTATTTTGGAGAACTTTGACGTGTAATTTGTAGAAAATATGGAATAATTCCAATACTAATTCACTTTTGGAGATCAGACAATTGATTGTTGTTTTTTGTAATAAATTTTGAAAGAATTTTAAGTTATGATATTCGACAAAAGAATATTTTTTCACTCTTGTTTCATGCACTACTACATCAATGTCAAACAAATTTAAACGTTTTTCCAATTGTGCATTCAAGGCTTTTCCAGTTTCCAATTTCATTCAGCTTCATGAATATTGAAACTTTCCATTTGGTCTTTTCTTCCCACTTATTTCTTTGCTGTGTTTCTCGGTGTGTAAGTAGAAAAAGTGTGATAAGATTGCATACAAGAGAGATTTCGTGATACTCACGCAGGTAATTCCCCAACAGCAGCTCCACTATGAAATTCCAAGCAGCAAACACAAATTACACATCACGTATTTACGATATTCAACACTCTTTTCACTCTTTTTTTTATGCACATAACAAATTGTTTTTTTTACCAACAACAATTTGAAGTAATGAATTAAATTCAACAAAAATCAATTCAAATATAATGATAACATAGGTGAAGCCTATTAACAAAATAAAATAGTAAATAATAATTTAAACTGAATTTCCAAAGAAAATTTAAATTCAGGATATAAAAAAATGCATTAATGCATGCGACATTGAAATGTATGGTAATATTATATGTCAACTGACTCTGGCGGAGTGCCGCGAAGGCCAAAAGTTGTAAAAACAACTTCCACCCGTTGATGAGGTGCTGCAAGGAAGGTATAGACACACTGCTGTGATTCACGTTTCGGATTAATCAAAGTAGGCGCATGAAATGTACCATTTTCCGGACCATCTTTGACACTGACAAATGTCTGGTCACACCCTGTCAAAAGAGAAACAAGACCATTGATAACAATTTTGGTTAATAGGATGAAAATATCAAAGGAACTTTGATCAGTCTAGAGTTAATATTTGTTGGCAAATAGTCAGCATCAGCAAAAAAATAACAAAAATTTGCGTAATAAATAGAACATAAAATTTACACAATAAATTATAATAATTTTTCTTGTTTTGTACGCATAAAAACGGTCCGTAGTATTTTATCACGAGAGAAAAATTTTATTTACTCCAACGGTTTTATAAAAAGTAAGTAATGTTGTGTTTTCGAAAGAAAACCACGTAACGAATTATTTTCTTTCTTCATGGGGATTCTTTTTTTAATTTAATTTGTTATGTGTAATAAGTTTCTTAGATCTTCATTGAAATTGAAAATGATTACAAAATGCAATTAGATTACATTTTCTGTTATAATGAGTTGATATTCAGTAAGTTTTTTACTATCTCAAACACCCATTCATTTAACTAAAACTATAAAACTTTGCAAATAAAAAAAATAAAAGTGAATATACTAACATTTTTCTCTATAGGATTGATAATTATTTTATAAAACAATACGGCTATTTTACATATATTAATTATTCTTAACAATATTCAACCATTTCTGTTATCTTTTTTACAAGTCAGACTCTAGATACCAATAAAATTGGAGAACAAATTGAAAAATCGTAAATTACTAGGGGAAATTTATTATTATGTTAGTCAATAACCAATAAAGTAACATTCTATAAAAACTTGAAAAAGAAATTGCCAACTTTTTTGAAACAACCAATTTATCACCTAACTAAGTTTAGCTTACTTTTGATAAAATAGACTGAAATCATTGTAATTTAGCTCGCTCTTGAATGAAATTAATTACTACCGTGCTCGCAATGTTATTTCAACAGTTTTTATAGAATATAATTATTCTAGAGCACTGATAAAAATGATAGAGTTTTTCTCGTGTATAGAGAGCAATTTACATTGATTTTTACTCCAAAGCATTGGTGGGCCGAACTGTTATCAAAGCTTCTAATCTTCATAGCTTTCTCATTTTGAAAATTGTAATCATTCACTAGCTTTCACATAACTATTTTTCAACAATGACAAGCTATGTGTAGTTTTTATCATATCAAGATTTCACAAATAAAAGCTATCTAAATTTAATTTGATAATTATCTCCATTACTTATAGTGTTATTTTTTTTCTCTTCTTTTTTAGACAATTAATAAATAATCCCATAAATGCATTGAAATATTTTTTTTCAATAAATAATTGTTGCAATATTGAATAGAAAAAATTTCAAGCGCTAACTGCTGATAACAAGGCAAAAGCAATCTACTGGTCTGACAGATCTGATAGGCCCAACTCAATTTTTCAGCACGTTACGGAATAAAGATTAAGTAAAGTCTCCAGCACGAAGAAAAATACGCTCTTTATTTATTAAAGGAGAATATTTACTAAAATTCGTCTTGCTTAAAAAATAAAACAATTTTATCAAGATTACTTATCGGGCCGTTTTTATTGCGTGACAACTTGGGCTGTTAAAAAAAAAATATAGCTCTTGTATTAACATTGAACGTGAAGATAATTAGATGTACTCACAAAGTCGAAGTTGGGCATAAAATACGTGTAATAAAATAATATAAAAAATACATAAATATATTGATAAAAATGTCAAAAGACGTACTTGGTGTTTTGGCAGTGGTGAAGGGTCCCGGTGGTGGTGGCGATAGGGATGGAACGAAGTCTTGCTGTGGCAGTGGCACATCAATTACCTCGCGGGCTGATGTTTCACGATCAAGTAGAGTCGAAGAGGTCAGAGTCGTGTGTTAAAAAGCAGAGAGAAGACACCAGGAAGAATAGTCCACCGCCACCGGGAACACACCGCACCACATTATATAATTACGTTCTTTTTTTTGTTTGTTTTTACTTAAAATAAAGTAAGGAAAAAGGAAGAGAGTTCATCAAAGATGATGACGTCCAAGCGATTGATTCGATTTGACGTCAATATTTGCATTATTTCCAACTCTCTCTATCCTTTGTCAGATTATTGACACTGACCTGTGATAGCACGTGGACAAAGTAGCAGAAAGAAGACGATGGCAGGCAAGACGAAACTACTCCCAGAGGCATGCCACAGTACCGAAGCCATACTGTGTCCTGAAATTATTATTTCAGTTTACTTTTAGAATTCAAATTAACTGATAAATTGTAAGGACTATCAATTCTCTTATCATGAATATTCGTAGAATATTGAATAACTTATGTTCGAGATCCATAAAAATTCATGAGTGTTTTAAGAAAATTATGATAGAAGAAAATGAATAATTTATATCGTCTGATGAAAATTTTGCTCTTGAACTTTTTTGCAAAGCAATGAGAACAGAATGACATCAATAATTGTTCATTAGTAATCAAACATTACACTAGAGAAAAGGGGTTGATCATAGTTGGTAATCATGTTTGCTTCAAGTTTCACCGATCAACAAATTTAACTTGTGATCAATGCATGAAATGAGTTATGCTAATTTTTGAAATTGAATTTTCAATATATTTTCTGGTGCTTAGATAGATGAAGAAAATTTTAGATTCCACTTTTTTCTATACCACTTATAATGATTAAATCCTACTGACTGATGTATTTTATTTAAGAAGGTTTTAAAATAAAATGTAAGTAAAAATATTGATGATTTGTGCTGTACTTATAGAGCTATCATTGGCTTCAGTTGCTCGACTATGGGTGCATTCACCTTAAATGATTTATTCAGTTGCATAAATCACAGATAACTGTTAATTTACTTCAGCTTTACCGAATTTATTGGAGAATTAAGAGACAATGTTTTTAATATCTAATAAAAATATGGTTATGTCAACTGAAGAAATATTAATTACATTTTTTACTTAGCTTAATAAAACTTTTTTAACTGTAATAAAAGACTTTTCTTTCAACTGTCAACAACTAAACTTCCGTCAGTTGCACAACGATGACTGAACTGTCAAAAAGTCCTTCGAATATTTGATTGCTTAGTTAATTGCATTAGCTAAGCTAATTAAAGGTTTACTATTTTCCTGTTACGAAAAGATAAATTTAATAACTACATATTGTCATACTTCACTTTGCAGGTTTCTAAATATTTTCTTCAACCACATTTCTAATGACCATAAATGAAAATTCTAATCACGTTATTTGCTAAATGAAATTTATCACTTTCTTTTTTAGAAAGTAAACAAGTCAGACAATTTATGGTATCATACATCACCTGTTATTTTGGAATAATTTTTTGTACAATTAAGGTGACTTAATTATAATATTAATTATTCTTTTAAAACAAGACGACCTTTACATTAAATGTGATTTATCATCTTGCTACTTTACCATATCGTCAGTGTCTATTCCAGGCCCAGGAAGCACGAGGAAAGTTGATCCAAGAGATCATCTAGAATACATGAATAATACTTGTTAGTATGCTAATTTAATTAAGTATAAAAAGTAACAAATAATTGATCATAGAGACTATCTTTGAATTAAATTCTTATCTCGTTAAAAAAGTATCTTAAAATAAAATCCAATTAAATTCTGATAGATAATGCCAAATATATTGCGCATATATAATCTATAAAAGTACGTGAACGTGAAGAAGAAAAAAACAACCCTTTTCAAAAACACTTAAGCCATGCATCGTAAGTTAGGGTGTAGGATTATAGAGTACCTTAACCCACCACGCCCTCCTCTGCTGTTTTATGCACGTTGTCTCTACTTGTAATCTTATCGTTAAGTACAAACACGACAAGTCACAGAGAAAATAATCTTAAACAAATATATTTTTTCACCATCTTAATATTTACTTTTAAATTTAGCATTATCTTCCTCTTTTACTTTCTTTATTATTTTCTTGATAAAATCAAGTTCTGTTGTATTGAAGTAACTATTAAATGGAAATAATTTTTTCACTTTGCACAACAAACATAATAGAGGAAATAACCTGCTTGCTACAATAATAGCAAATAATAGAAGCTAAGTCCTTACTTTAAATCAAAACGTTGTATCACAAAACAGTCAGCTTTTAAATTTACTTTGAAATGTCATATCTTGAATGTACATGAAAAAAGAATTGAATGGTTGATGAAATTTTTTTCATCTTTAACCAATTTAAAAATAAATTGCGATTTTGAGTTCAATAGACTAGTATAATTTCGCCACGCCCTAATTCTCAAAGTTCTATGATAAAATAAAATATAAAAATGAAACTTTCCAAGATAAATGGACTATTCTTCTGACTTCTTTCATTTTCTTTATAACCATTTTTCACAATTTTTTTTTTTATCAATTTGACATCTGGTTATCCCGTGGGTTCTTTCATTTTTCCAGTGACAGGAAAAACTCAGCAAAAGATATGAAAGGTAAGAAAAATCCTTGGTAAAATTTCTAGCCAACTATCAGATGGAAACATGGCCGATCCTATGGGATCACACGATGGATTGGACCATCTGTCAAGAATTCTCAACAAGTTTTGAGGTTTAAAAAAGCTCTGGGAGATGATGACGTTTGAGGTATCAAGAGACGAAAGCATGAGATAAGAAACGAAGTTATAGACGTCTGTATGTGTACAAGGATCTGCAAAGGGCGGGGTAATAGGATACGAACCGCGCCCATGCGCTTAACAAGGATGCTTTGGGATATTGGTCAATAGCTAACCATCTCTTAAAAATGTATTTAAATTCAATATAGTAATAGTTGAATCTTTTCAAAACAAATAAATATTGAATCTGTTTAAAAACAAATATTAAAATAAAAATAAAACGTACCGTGATAGTGTCCTAGGCATGTTTTTCCAAATCTTTCCTCTGCTGGAAAGAGATTGTTTTTCTAGAGCCTCGTGGTTGGTTTTTAGTCCACTGAGATATCTCGCGTGGCTGTTGTGTGTCTCACGACCACCACATTGCTACCCGTGTATTTCTGATCTGTTAATTCTCGTGCAAATTGGACAGCTTAAACCCCCAAAAATCCAAGCTAAACCATCTTGAATGCAGACGAGCGTTTGTTGGCTTGCGCACACTCCTTTCTTCTCTCTTCTACGTATCTCTCGTTTTCCCTTTTTCTGCTGCTTCCTACAACGCTAGTGAGCTGACCTCGTGTGATGATGCACTTCTTCGACTTCCGTATCCACATTCTTGACACAATAATGACGCCTCAAGGTACTCATTATTTAGTATTATTTTCAGTTATTTCAGCATCAATCTGATTGTTTTGATCATCGACTGCTGCTGCTGCTTGACACTTATTTCACCAAACGTTTGACCAAACCATCATCTATTCAAGTTGTTTATCATTATTCACTTGGCTTCTTATGGATTGTGTTGTTATTATTGAAATGTGTTCACTTTTGTTTTTGTATTTAATATACTCGTTTCAACGACTTTCCACGCAATAGATGACCTACAGAGAGAAAAAGCCCACGAACTCGTATCCACTTTGCACGTACTGGAGTCTCTCTCCCTTTAACGCAGCCTTCTTCCTTTCTGTCTCTCGAACGCGCGGGCGCTCGACTACCACCAACATGTTACATCCCCTTGCTAGAGGTCGCTAAAAACATGAGGGAGTAGAACGATCTTGAGAGTGGGAGAATCCAGCGGGAATGAGGTTCATGAACTGGGGTGGAATTTTCGTCATGGTCCACAAGGATGCAGGAATTCTTTGACTACATATTTTATTAAATTCTCTGCCAGCTACTTCAACAATTTTACTGATTTTCTTTGAATTTTATTCTTGATATATTTTGGAAAATTTTTTGACTTAAGTTACATTTTCTTTAATGCTACTAAAAGTTTAGTTATAGTAAATATTTTTTTAGAAGAATAAATGATCAAGTCTTTACAGTAAGTGGGACAGGGATGCGCAGATGATGATGCGTCTGACCACTCATTTTTCATCCTCAATACATATGCACTAATCGTGTCACAAGACTCTTTTCCTCCTTTTTATCCTTCTAACTTGATGGAGAAAATGAACTAGTGGAAGAAGACATTAATGGTAGGACAGATAATTTAAGACTTTGTTCAAATGAATGACTTTTTGATAAGGAATTTTATAAAATATTCGACTTTACACTTTTTAAAGTTTGTTTAGTGATCTCATTTTTTAAAAATTCTTTAGTCACATTTATAATAAATAGAATTTAAAATGTTCACTTAGTTACAACATGACGAAAATATATTTTTATACTTTGATCGAAAAATATTATCATTTTAATCTCTTCTCGAAGTTGACAGATTTGTCGTTGCTTTAAATGAGTTTTAGTTCAAACAAAAGCAATGTTATTAGGTCAAATTTATTTAATTATTCGAATAAAAAGTATGATGTCACTGTGGATTCTTATTATTAAAGTGCTTTTACGATAACTTCTTACATAGACTAGTTTTTTCCAAAATCAGACAACTAAATTATTTGAAAGAATTACTTGTATTAATTTTTTTCCAAGTACTGCATTATTTTTATAATGGGAGTCAATTTTTTTTTGCATAAAAAGATGCTTATAAGTTATGTGGCTTCATAAAACTTTTGTATGACTAAAGAAAGACTTTTTCTACTATAAATGTTACTTTCTTAGTGAATTGGTATATAAATTTAATGAGGGTGACTTATAATAAGATAGTGAACATCAATATATAATTAAAAAAGATAATTCACATACAACTGTTTATTGAGACATGTAGAATACATCTGGTTCATACACAAAATCTTTGACACTTTTTTTTCATTTAATTCAAGCATCTTCTAGCCCGGGACAAAAATGAAATGATGACAGGGAACGATTGTTAACAATTGTTAAATTTTATTTTGTATCTCATGTGTTTTATTATTTTTTAATATTTGACATTTTTATAATTAATATGTTTATTTTTAACTACTTCACACTAAAAATCAGAGACAACTTTTTCAATTAAATAAAAAAATTATATAAGATTGCGGCGAATTAAAAAAAGCAAAGCAATTGATATAGATGAATAATAATTAAAAGAATTAAAGAAGGAAAACAAAATATAAATTTGTGTTTAAATACAATTCATATATGCTATTATTTTCTGCGCGGAGGAATTTTAAAACATATAAGAAAAAATATTTTAGTTTAATTACGAAACTTATATAAGTTTTTTTCCTTTTTTTTTTTTAGATAATAAGAAAACATAAACTTAATAACAATATTAATATGATTATTATATATATATTGATATAAATGAGAAAATTTAATTAAATTTAATTGTAAAACTTGAGTAACGCGCATTAATTTTTTTCTAGTTTTTTATCTATCTTTATTTATCGCGAAAGAATTAACATCATGTTTCACAAAAAATGCATATTTGCAAGAATATAATATATAATATATTTATACATAATTAAAAAAACACCTCCGCCTTTTTTTTTCCTTTCCTTTCGTCCGCTCTCTTAAATTTGGGCCAAAGACTTTGATGTGTCACAATCGTTCCGACTCAATGACAACCGTTTTAATTATTTTACTTTACTAGCTCCAATTCAATAGATAGAAATTTCTTCCACAAAGATGTTCATTCTTTCAGAAATATGCCCACGCGACTTATGAAAGAGAAAGAAAGATAGGAAAAAAAAATTCATCATCTTATTAGTCTACTAATATATTATAGTATCCCAGCAGATGCGCTTGGTCGCGAGTAAATTAGGACATTTGCCAAAAATTAGAGAAAAACAATAAAGTAGAAAAAATAGAAAAGTAATAGGGCGCGCGGTCCGGGGCATCGCCAGTCACAGTGGTGCATTATCCTAAATGCGACCTTCGACCCCCTCAGGCGCTCCAAATGCTTGTATGAAATACAAATTTGTTTGCAACAAAATAGAGGACTTTGGAAGGATTCCAAGGAGGTAGGAATGATAAAGATTAAAAACTAAAAGGAACAAAGGAGGTGATTGAGGGTTGAGGTGAAAAAAAAAGAATGTAAGCATTCGAAGCGTCCGGGTTAACGGGCTAGGGTCAATATTATAACGCTAGTACCTAGATCAGTCTAAAGTCTCGTCACCGTGAGCTGCCTCAGCCTCTCGCCACTTGTGGTTTCCTTGCCCCCGCAAGTCGAACAATCTACATCATCAATAATAATTTTTAGATTTTTTTTCTATTACATTTTGCCTTTTACAATCCAACTATTAATATTTTTATACGTTTTTTTTTAGATCAATTACAATTGAATTTCTTAGTAAAGAAGGTATAATTTAATTTCAATTTTTTTTATTAATCCCTTATATGTTTGGTATCTCCTTAATTTACTGCATAAGGTATTTTTCCTCGCTTTTTTTATTTTTTAATATTGTTTATACGGAAATATTTATCATGTCACAAAAACCCACTCAGTATGATTAGCAATAGCATCCTTATTATATTGTTAATATTAATATTATTATATCCTCAATATTATGCTTTCATAAATAGGTAGGAAGGTAAAATAAAAAAAGGATTTTAGGACGTGGGTATAGTATTATTTTCACGGTCTTTTAGGTAAAATAGGTAATTATAATTAATTTAAATGAAAAAAAGAATAAATTTCACGACAATACAGATCTTGTACAATGATTATTGTTGTAAAATATGAGGCAAATAATAATTAATAAGGCAGGGATACAGGGAATTTCATTTCTTCCATCTTTGCGGGGGATTATTAATCAATCAATCATTAATATTATAATAACTAGTTGCGATCTAACCCCCTTCCATTTAATTTGATGGTATTTTTCATTATAACTTTCAATATAAAGTTAATCTATAATAATTGTGGTCGGGGGCAAACAAGATTATAATTAAGTAAAACATGAATAAAAAGTAACAAAACATGCTCATAAATAAAAAAGGGTTTGCGAGCGATTATTTTCGTTTTTTTTTTTTTAAACATTTATCGCCATATTTTTTCTTATGCTTGGATGTCAAATGCATCAATTTCTATCTACTCTTACGATGCAAATCCCATTAAGATTTAATTGTTCATTGTTAGATTATCCATGAATATTTATTAATATGTACTCAAAGTTAGTTTGATAGCCAATATTTATGATCATTATTTTTTTTTTGTTTTTTTTTTATTATTTTTTAATTTTTTTCTGTAAACTGTATACGTCCATAATTGTGCTGCATTCATTTACAAATTGTCTGATTGCATGGGGACACAAGACCAGTGAAAAGGGGGTTTCTTCATCTACTCTTTTTTTTCTTTAAACAGTTGTTAGTGCTCGGCAATTAAATTTGTTGTAAAAATAATTGATAATTAATTAATTATAATATAATAATAAACAGGGCTAATCGATTGTCAGTTGTTTCAACTCCATCTGCATTATTTTTTTGTTTTTTTTATGTTTATGTTAATTGATTGTTTTTTTTTTGTTGTCAATTTTTCTTTACATCTGAAAAATCAATTTCACTTCTCAGCGGGTGCGTGTGTCAGCGTTGCATTTTTTTTTTCTATTCCATTGATATTCCTAATATCCGTTAATTTTTTATTTTTTATTATTTTTATTTATTTAATTGCTGTCTTTCTTTTTCTCACGGCTATTATATCAGATTATCATGTAGATTAGTTTTGTATTCTTTTCGATATATTTTTTTTGTCATAATCGTTATTTTTGCATTTGCATATCCGTTTTTAGTTTGAAATATTTTTTTTGTTATCTCCAGAACAGGGGGGATGTTTGGGCTCCAGGGACAGGGACCAACTTACAACCCGCACTTACAACTCTTACTAATTAACTAACAGGCTAACAATAACAACGAGTCTCAACACTCAAAAAGTCGTGCGCTTGTATGTGTTTTTTTTTCCTTTTTTCTTAAGAATTTTTCTCATGCATAATTCCGTATACGCTTTTAAGCATCACTAATTTTTTCTCAATCTGTAACTATCATTATCAATTCGGTTGCCAGTCGAGTTCGAATTATAACAAATTCGAGACGCAATAGTCGCGCCTTTTTTTTTATCTCATTTAAAAAATATTTTGCCTTGGATTATATCCAATTTCCATCAGGCAATATTAAAAATTCATCTTAATTTTTTTATAAAAAGAAAACGCATTTTGTAAAAAAATGCGTTCAAATAAATACAGTATACAGAATATAATTTAGAGATGAATGATCTAAAAAATTTTTTTATCCATTTTTGAAATGGATACTGCCATTGAAATTCATTTTAAAATGTACAAATCACTTTTCTATATATCTCACAATTTTTTTTAGTCTCATCAATATGTGAGCAATACCATTTTTTTCTTCTCTCTTTCGCTCTCTCTCTCTTTCTTCCTTTCTCACTCTCTCTCTCCCTCTCGAACTCGAATTGATCACATCAATCGTGTATGAACTAATGTCATAATCACGATAATAAAAAATAAGAAAAAACAAAAGTTAAAGAACAATTCGCCAGTGCAAAAACATTGACAAACACTATATCGATTGTCAACGTTTTTGCAGCCGAAAACTTTCCTGACCCTTAATAATAATAGTTTCACTGACTGTACACATTATTATAGACCAACAATAGAAGGTCTAACGGCGCTTGGCGCGCACTCTTAATCTTTTTTACGACGCATACATGCACACATATCAGGGGGATGCCCTTTAATTTTTCTTATTATTCTAGACGCGCTCTTTTTTCTTGACTAACCACATATGCTTGTACAACAATTTTTCTTAGTCTTCCAAACGTCTGTTCACTAACACTCACTCATTCCTATAAATTTTAACGTTCGCTCTCTTTCACGCATTTTTACTAATCTTATCGTTCCAATCAACCCTCCCCTATCCATGCAATGAGTAGTCTTTTCTCTTTTTTGAAATAAAAAAAAAACAAACAAACAAAACATAACTCGAAAAACATTGCTACTACAACCACGAGCTATCACGCTTTTTTTTTATAACCGCTTAACTTAAATACGAACCATCACAATCCAAAATTGTTAACATATCTAATTATCACTTCAAAACATTTTTTTTCCAATTTCTTATGTTTTTCTTTTATCTCAATTAACATTTAAGCATATTTGCGCGTTTTTAATCATCCTAAATCACTCTCTCGCTTGGCAGTAAACAATGTGACAATGCAGTAGTGGTTACCTTACGATTACGATATTACAATTTATATTATTAATAATAGTACGGGGTGGGTGGGTGGTCACTCCGATGTAATAATAAAGTCCCAGTGGCACATCACTGTACATAAAAATCACAACAACTGCGCGCGGTGGACGACGGTGGTGTGGCATTTATTTTGACTCTAAATCATCTATAATTTTTTTATGTTTAAATTTTTTCGACCTCTCGCGCGCATTTACAACTCTTTTATCACCTAATATTACATTTTTACTTGACGTTTGAGAATCAAAAAGTTACATTTACAATTACTATATTAATCGCGAGATGAGAAGCAGCATCGTTGACGGATGGATGTTAAAAATTTGAAGAATCTTTTGCTCTCGCCCTTCTAAACAAAAAATTATCATTCTTTTAATTCTCTCTCTCCTTATGCAAATCTTGCGATCCTCTGAGCGAGAGGAAAACTCGCGAGTTCGGATATTAGTTTTTTTCTTTTTTTTTTTTTGAAACGATGGATCAGCGCTGTAACATATTTTTGTTCTCTATAAACATTTTTTTTATACTTTTTAAAATTTCTTTTTGTCTTTCATGAGTTTTTTGTTGCACGTAATTCGAGGCTCATTACAACGCCGGAATGCGTTAAATGTCCGTCTTTTTTTTTTTTTTTAAATTTATAATATTTAGTTTTATATTAAAATTTAATAATCAGTGTATTTCAATTCGATTAAATGAATTGGTTGCATCGCAGATAACCGGCGAAAGTTAGCTCCACGAGTTGGAAAAGTCTTGATACCACTCGTAATCATCACCGGCTGTAGCGCCTGTTGCTCCTGATCTATCCGTAAAACTGACGCCACTACCACCGCCACCGCCACCGTTTACACTCGCCAATCCGTACGTATTGCCCAGTGGTTGTTGGGCGAGGGGCTGGTTTCCCCAGCTGCTCTGGAAGCGACGTTTAGATTCCCCCTGGTTCTGGTGACCCCCGTCAAACTTTCGCTTACCTGCTATAAGAAAGAGAATAAAAAACATATGAAAACACGTTTCGTGAGAAATCACTTCAACATAACTATGCTTTACTTACTAAAGTACTAACGGTTTTAAAATGCGTACAAACTTCTTATTCTCTTTTGCTATTTATAGCTTATACCGAATTCTTCTGAGAACGGGTTGCTTTGTCATTATAATAACTAATTTATTTTGTTACTCAAATATTCAAATCTTCAACAAACTGTTCAGTCTGTCTAGAATGCTTTTATTTGGTTTTTATACATGACAGCGTCTAGACTTGATCAATTTAAAGAGACCAATGAAAAGCTAGTTTTTTAAAAGTTGCAAGTTTTTTTTAAAATGAATAATAATGAATTAGAGCAACTGTCAATGATAAAAATATTTATAGATATTTTTAAAATTGAATATACTTTAAATGAAATTCTCAATAAATTTGTTAAAGGTATTTCTTTTCAAAGGGTTATTAAGTTCAATAGTTGACGGTCCATGTTACTCTTTTTGATCTAAAGTTACTTGAATTGACTTCATTTTGATCTCTTGTAATTTAATAGCAGAAAAAATTTAATATCGATTAAAAGATTATGTTATTTACAATTAAAATACCTGGATTGTAATTTTAGCTTCTACTTTCATTTCTTCTCTTATTTTAATTTTTTTCTTTTTCAAATTTCTTCCAATAAAACTTTATTTAAATAAAAGAAATGAGCAAACAAAACTCAGTAATTCTGTTACTGAATTAGACTACTGAATTAAATAATATAAAAATAACTATATTAACAAAAGAAAACAGGATTATTGAGTTTCGTTTGTGATTATTCTTATTTAAGAATAAAAAAGTAACTCAAAATGACAATAAAAACTAGTATTTTATTCTAAACAACTGTACTTTAAATGAAACAATGACAGTAAAAGTGAACAAGAAGTTGGGGAAGATAACAAAAAAATTACAAACTAAGTGTGTGTTTCATCGTTTCTTGCCACGCAGTTCATTTGGGGTCGATGAGGAGTTTTGAAAGGGAAGTAGGAGAAGAAAGGCCGATGAAGAGGTAGAAAGTGATTTAGCATGTAAGGAAGATGACTGCTGGTCCAAGACTAAAATTATGTGTTAGGTTAATAAAAAATAGATTGTTTGAGATACAGACCATCCTCACCTGGTAAACTTCCCTTGGCGCGGACCCCCCCACGAGCGGCTGGCCGCTGGGCCCCACGGACCCCTGATGTTGCGGGGATGCGTCCCCCCCTGACTGGGCCACGGGTTTGGGGGCCACCGACCACTCGGCCACGGGCTACCGGTCCACGGCAACGGCCAGCCTATCCAAACACACCCAAATGTTACCCCATCTGCAGCTTACATATATATAATAAAACTCCTCTCATCCTTCTTTATTATTAAACCATACACAATATTGTATTTTATATCTAAATATTTTGTAAATGCTCTCTCAGTATCGTTTTATTTTATTTTTTATATGCAAAACTATGAAGAACCTTAAGCTTTCTACGCACATTGAGTTCTTCATTTTATTTTTTATTTATCTATTTATATTTAATTTATTTTAATCATTTAATATTAATAATATGTATATGTTTACTTGAATTTTAATTTAAACTCTAATGGCACGAATGAATGAATTTATTTATTTTTATTAATGATGTTAATGTCCTGTCGATTATTATTAATATGGATTAAGAAGTTTATTTGCGCGACCCATAAGCACATTTACATTGGTGGAGAATATAATAGAATAAGTAAGCAGCGGTGCGGAGAATTTGGCGCTAGGATAAAGCAAAAAATAATTAAATTACAAAAGTCATTAATAAAGCTTTAGCTTTGTAACTTCTAAACTTCTGTGATCAGTATTACTAATCGCATTAGACTTTAAGCAGGTGTTAAGCAATTTTTTTTGGTTCAATTATTAAATTATTTGGTTACTCATTTTTTCTTTGGCAAAAGCAGCGAGGATTAGTGTGTTATCCAACATGGATGACAAAATGATCAAAAGCGAGTTTATTTTGGCAGGTATTTAAGCATTACTTTCTACTGCATTGGCTGCTAAAACAAAATGTAAGTTGCGTTATAACAATAAAACAAAAAAAAAATAAATAAACAGTTAAACAAAAAAAAACAACAACAAAGCGGCACTTTAAGCAGATTTCATTTGCCAATCTATGCGCAATAAGCGTGATTATTTACTGCTGAAGCAAGCGAGAGAGCGTGGTGTGATTTGCGATTTTTTTTTGAATTAATATCCATGATATTTCCTATTTTTTACATCGCATGATTGTTCAACTCCTTTCTCATTCCTTTTTTGAAATTGTCTCCAAGTTGTACCTAATAATGTGAGTTAAAAGACTTTTCGTTAATAAAAACATCAAGGATTAATTAGTTGAAGTCTCCAAAAGATATGATAATCCCCAAGATCTTCAAGTGTTGAGCTAAATAAAATTATGAAAGACTTTTTCTGAGTCAATTTACAATAAAGACGATGAAAAAAGTTAGTTTGTAGATACATACTCATAAAGTTACTTTGTAAATAGTGAGATATTAATAAGGGAATAATGCTCAGGAAAAGTTTTTCATTTAGGGTTGAATATTAAAGACAAATACACGATGAAGCAGCTTTCTCTTGGTCATCAGGGATAATCTGAAACTTGAAACAAAAAGAGAAAGACGGAAAGAAAAAGAAAGAATAGTAGATGAAGAGTCAGTTTAAGTGCATCATATCCGAGCCACGAGACGCTCTTAATTACACTTGACTTCGTGCGTATTTAAATTAAACAAAGAAATTTAAGAGGATCTAATAATATCAATGAGATTATTTTAAATAATAAATAAATAGATTAAAAGCAAATACTTTTTAAAACTGTTAGTTAATATACCTGAGATATTCTACTCATTGTAGGATTCCAATACTTCATTTATGGGTTATAAAGCTTGATTGGAAGGATCGTAAACGGCTATTAAGCAGGTTGTGTGTATTAAGTAAGCTTCTGTTATATTTGAAGATCATATACGCAAATATGCACACATTAGGATTAAATGAAGTTCCTCTTCTGTCTAGATTTATTTCCCAAGCACAGGGAACAGCAAGATTTGAATGTTTTTAGAAGAGAGTTGCAGTCTAAATTTTCTCAGTCTCCCCTGCTTTTTTTATCTTATTTTTCTCTCGTTGAATTATTTTGTTATTAATTTTTCTTTAATATCACATTTCTTATTGCACTTCTTTTTTCCTTCTTATCATTTTCTTTTTTTGTTACTTGTTTTTCTCTAAAAGACTCTAAAGCTTTTCCCGGCTTTAATTTAGTGGACAAAATTTTGAAATGGGTCTAGAATGGCTCAGATATGATTCACGCAAGCAATTCAAAAGTGGCAGTGTGTTCGGGGGGATGTTTATTATTTTTTTTTTTGCTCTTTTAATTATGTAAGTACAGGAGACTTTGAACTGTGTATCAACTTAGTGCTTTATCGACAAAAAAACTTTTTTTTTTTAAAAATGTATGAAATTTAATTAAAAATGAATTTTAGTTAGTTAATGGAGCATTAGTTTAGCAAGGAATCGAAAAAGGAAATTTTTTAAAATATCTTCTTTCATTCTTAACTTATTTTTTCTCATTTGTTCTTAATTAAATTTTTTTTCTGCATTTGCAGATTAATTTAAATAATTCACGATTCACACAGTCTCTCTAGTTATTGTTGATATATACAATTGCATTTATTTACAGAAATTATGCGTGTAATAATTATTAATTTAAAAAAAAAAATGATTAATTAACACAAGGCGAGTGATGAGTCATCCAGCAAAATGAACAATAAAATGAATAGCATAGAATTTTATTAAGATTTAAATTAAATAATATAAAGTTATTAAACATTAATGTGTAGAATAAAATATAATACACATAAAAAATATAATTAATTAATTGAAAAATAAAAAATTAAAAAAAAAATTATTGGAAACATTTCACAATCCCTTGCGTTTTGTGTTAGTGGATTGCACGAAGCGAGCACAAATCGTTTAATTAGGCATTTTGTTAAATATTTTAATCGCGATTAAACAGGCGTGTCAGTTGTTAAATACGAAATAAGTAAGTGAATTGAAAATAGTAATAATGAAAGGAAGAAAATATGGGCGTATGAAGAGTAAAAAGTAAATAAGGATTCCGCGAACACTGTGCCACAATCAAACTACCGCTGAAGTAATTTTTAAAATTAAAAAAAAACAACAGTAATTATATCTCAAATAACAATTAATAAAAATTTTTGACTAATTTTTTGTTGTTTTTGTTGATAAAACTTGTTAAAAAAGGCGACCCACCGGTTGAGGCTGCCTGCCTCTCCCTCTGGCAGGCGGCGGAGGCGGCGCAAAATCGAAATAGTAATCTTCGTATCGATAATAGTCATCGTAATATGGATCACTGTAGCCACCTCGATAATCCCCATAACCGTAATAGTCGTAATCATAATCTATAAAAACACACATTACAAATAGACCCAAATTTAGCCACGACAGATTAATTCCAATTCAACAGGAGAAAGAAAAATAGAGATAATATAATAGTTATTACGCTCAATAATTAATTATTACTATTATTTAATTATATCAAAAATCACTTAATTTCAAACTAATAAAGATATATAATATATGTAATTAAAAACATATGCATGCCGGGAAAAGATAATTTAAATGTCGTTTAATACAATTGTAAGAAATAAATGAAGGAAAAATGAAAAAAAAATTTCTTTCGATGTTGCAAGTTATAATAAGATTTAAAAAAGAAAACGAGAGACTTTTCTTTATACATAATTTTTTACATAACAAAAGAATTTTTAAGTAACATTTTTTTTTCTCAACCTTTAACAGATAAAAATAAACGGAACAAATAATAAACCTATCACCAGTATTTAAAATGCAAGATGATTCAATTAGCATACAGATGAAATAGTAAAATATATATATATAATTTTTAGCAGAAAAATAAAATAAAATACTGGAGTAATGATTTATAGTTATATTGATGATAAAATAAATAAATAAATAGATAATGATTAATAATTAATAAATGATCTACAGCTTTGCATTCGTCAATCAATATTTGCCGCTTACCTATTTCCTTGAGAGCTGTAAAACAGATTTGTTGAATTGACGTCATATGATTTGTTTTTAATAGAATTCTAACAAAATTATCTACATACGCTCACATAAACAAAAATAAACTCAACAATAAAAACAAATAGGTAAGAAAATGAACTATTTTCATTATTCACACTACATTGAAATCCTCTCTTTTAATAAATTAATAATAATAAATGTACAAAAGGTCTATTATGTTTTCACCAAAAAAAAACCAAACATACAGGAAAAATTAAATGAAATTTACACATGCAACACTGAACCTCCGGTATTCATATAAATTATAAGACAAAGTTTATGGCCAGAAATTTTAAGTAGAGTGTAAAGTGTCAAGATGTTTTAGTGATATTGTGCTTAATCAAGACAAAAGTGCAAAGATTAATGAATTACATTTCTAAATGTTTTATCTTGATAAAAAAAAAAAGTAGAAAAAAATATTTAGAAAGAAAGTGTATTTATTTAACAGAAAATCTCGCCAATAAAAACATGAAAATGCTTTTACAGTTTTGATGATAAGTTGTGTATGGTGTGTAGTAATAAATAGATGATAAAATCTAGCCACAAAATTTTAAACTGCATAATTTAAACTTCGAACTGATTTTCCAAAGATTCGCACTTAAAAAAAAAAAGAGAAAAAAAATTCTTTCAATATTTTCATATAAAAATTAAAAAAAAAAAATTATTTGACATGCGCGAAAGCCAAAGGTTTGTAGTGAAGTAGTGAAGATTTCCCAAGAACATGCGGGATTTTAATGTTACATTAAAATTTAATCGAAAAAATTCTTTTTAAAAGAATTATTGTTAAATATATATATCATTTTCTCACTCAAATAAAATTAATTTAAAATAATGATGAAATTTTATAAATGATTATTTATGATATGTTGTTTAAAAAGCATTCACTAATCAAAAAATTTATAAAATAAATAACTAATAATATATTATGAACTGATAATAATCTCTAAATAATAATATTATAAAAAAATTCAACTTTTTTTTATGGTTCATCTTAAAAAATAAAAAATTATCACAATGATGAACTATTTAAAAACCGATACGAGAGTCTAATTGAAAACAATAACCGTTAAAAATAAAAAAATTATATCTGTAATAAATCTGTATTTAACTAATTGCCATTAATTATTCAATATAAATACCGAAAAACCATAAGGAATGCTGTACTTACTGTAATCACCGCGACCCATGGGTGGTCTCATGCTTCCGGCAGCTCCTCGAGGACCTTGACCAGATCCTCGAACTGGCATAGGTCCGCCAATCATGCTCGGATGTGATGGAGAACTTCTGTAATAAAAAGATTAACATCGTCATTGTCGTTGTTAATGAGGATTATGAAAAAAATTTACAACTAATCATGATTCGATTAATTTACCCGCCACGTCCTTGCAACATCTGCATCATTCTTCTTTCCCTTGCTCTCAGCATGTCTTCTTTTTTCTTTTTATCGAATGGTGGTTTTGCCAAAGCAACTTCTATGTGAGAGCCGCCAATTTCTTTTCCATGAAGTTCCCGCATTGCCTATCGAATTAAATTATTTTTATATTTCAATCAATTAACTAATCTTTTCTATACATCTTATTAAAAAGTCATAAAAGTTTTTTATTTACCTTAACAGCGTTATCTCTATCTTCAAAATGTACAAATGCATAATCTTTGATCTTCTTCACCCTGTCAATTTTTCCATACTGCTCGAAGCACTCCTTCAATTTTTCTTCTGAACAATCTTGTGTCAAATTTCTAACATAAAGCACTCTTACCTAAAGAAAATAATTTCATGAACATTAGTAAAACTTCTTGTTTTATTTTTGGGGTATTTTTGTTGTAGACCAAGTAAATTTAAAAGTAGTTTAAGATAGAACTTACTTTAGCCATAGTTTGTTCGTCGGGTTCCTCCTGAGGATCAGCCCAATCTACTATAATATCACAGCCCCAGACCTTGATACGACCTGTGCTGAGTCTTCTTTTCGCCAAAGAGGCTGCTTTATGAGATTCATATTCCAAAAAGCAAAATCCTCTGTTTTTCTTTTTATCATCAGGCGAACTGTAGATTATCACCTCGGTCAGGCCGGCTATATTTTGGGAAATCATAGAAAAAATATAAGCCATAGGGTTCTAAATTTTTTATAAAACGAAAAAAAATCCTGTCCTTTGATTTTTAATCTATTCATTACCACGATGCAACACGAAATAGAATTTTATACGCGGACAAAAATAATTGACTTATCTCATTCACGAATTTTTTTTTTTCAAAAACAAATTATTTTATAATTAAATAAACGAAATTGAATCATGAATAAATCATTAATTAGAGAATAGATTCTCATGACAATAATCCCGATTTTAACCAAAGCGAAAAAAATATTGAAGAATTCAATAAAAGTAGTTGAAATAAATTTGCAATTTCAAAATTAGTTTTCTTGACTTTTTAATTGATTCTAAAGTTAAATTGAGTTTGATTTCCCGTTAAAAAAAAATTGATTTCTTGTTCACTATCGACAATTCGTAGGTACACACGAGGCTGCAGAATAGCCAGGAGTTGCAAGCAGAAACGACGAGCTATTCGTCAGACAAATAAATTATTCATCAAAGTCTCAACTCAGCTAGAATCATGTTTGTAAAAAGAAAATACAAAAAACTGCTACAATAAAAGAAGCAGATCGTATGCATTTTTGCTTCGTCGTTTCTGTTTTCTTTCATCTCGTCTCTATACTGCGACTTTTGATATTCACCTCTCCTTCCTCTCAGTTTAAAAGCTATTTTGATGATTCGTCGTATCTAGTTCTTTATTCTTTATTTATTTATTTATAAATTTATATATTTCTTTACTATTTGTTTTTATTATTTAAAGTGCAACGGTTTTATCCTACTTTACTACTAACGTTCGAGTGAAGAGTAATCATATAAATGATACGAATAAGCTTCCACCAAGAAAACAAAAAAAAAAGAGGGAATAGAAAACAATCCCCGGAATAATTAACGGCTTTATGCCTGTCGTAGCAATCAAAATAACATTCTTGGCATTTCCCAAAGCTTGTTCTCTACAAAATGCACCCAAATCATTTTTGCAATCCTCATTTTGTACAAATTAAAATACTTTCTTTATACACACAGTGCACACTCCATTGTGAGAGACCAAGTGAAAAAGATATTCATAAAGTAAATATAATAAAATTGAAAAAAATAAAATTAAATAAAATCATTATAAGATAAAAAAAAACATTTTAATGACGTCCTCTCTGTGTCCAGACTCTGAGAGTTTCCATGCAAGAATAAATCCTATACATTTTAAATTACTTCGTTCGCGAACATTTCAAACTTTTAACTCTAAAATACTTGATATCATTACTAGAATAAATAATAATAAAAAAAAATTCACACTCCCAAGCAACTATTTTTTGAAAGTAACTAAAAGATAATGTGATAAATATAAAAAAAATGTCATACATTATTCTTAAGATTAAAAGAGAGTGTGTTGGAGAGAATAGAATTTGTATCAAGCAATTTTGAAGGATTAAAATTATTTACATTCAACAATTATATATTTATTCCTTTTGTTCTGAATATTAAAAGATTGATTAAGAGAAATAATTTATAAAAATGATTTTAAGAAAGTGAGAAAAGGCAAAAATGCATGTTACCACTCACGCCGGACTTGAGTAATATTTTCTACTTGGTTTTTCTTTGTAGTAAGTTTTGTTCTTGACAAAGTTATGATTATGACAAAATTTAGTAAAAGCTTCGTGTCAGATCAAAATTTTTTAGTAAAATAGATTAATATAGAAATAAAGAAAAAAAATCAATTGATGGATAAAAAATAACATATGAGGGCTGCGTGTTTTCGCCTGGCGCCCTCGTTTCCAACTGGATTTGGTTAATAAAAAAAAGCCCAATCGAAACCAAGGTCCAAGGCGAGTCTCTCTTTCATTTATCATTCATTCTTCGATCATCCTTGCTTTTTTATTCCATTTTTTTTTTCTTGCTCACAGTTGCATTCTCTTTCACCCATTTTGATTCACTCCAAGATTCATCAGCAAACACACTCAGATTTATATTCTTTCTCTCCTAAAACAATTACTTTTGCGCTCCGGTAAAACTCTCTGCCTGCAGATTTAAGGGCAATTTTCAACTTACGTGCGTGCTTTGTAAACTCTTCGAACAAGTCATCTCGGTCTCGATTCTTTGGAATATTTCCCACAAACAAGCGGTGATTGTTATAAGATACGGTAACACCAATCTTTTTGCCTTTCCGAATCTCATAATCATTCAGCTGTAAGAATAATGTGGAAGGAGAGTGCCAATTAAGCTTACTCTTTTATACTGATTCTCGCCTGCTTATTGGCTGACTCGAGCGTGTTTTTTTTTTACATTTTTTTTGTCTTTCTCATTTTCTTTTGGCAAAGGGGGGATCGCGTGAAGTGAATCTTCGAGGAATTTTTAAACTAATGAATTTGAAATGTCAGAAAGGTGGATTGAATTGTTAAGAGGCTTGTTGGAGGATCGGTAAATCCAAGATAAATAGACAACGATGGATTTGGGAATAAGAAAATTATTTAAAAGGTATTCCTTAATAATGATTATGGATATAAGAAGTGGATTTGAATTACTGACTATTAAGAATGTGAAAAAGGGTGGTTTTGGGAGTGCCTGTCCGTTTGTTAGCGAGCCACACGCCCCAGCGGTCCACACAGGTCTCCCGTACCCCCATGCTCGAGGCTTAAGTCATGAATCACATTTTTTCACATTGATTTTTTATTTTATTTTTAATTTAAACAAATTTTGGTTATTATTATGGCAGTAGCTCACGGACAATTTAAACGTATTCTCGACGAGAGGTTTTGTGATTTCTTTTTTTTTTTTCAAAAAAACTCGTATTTAATTTTTAGCATAAAAAAATAAAAGTTGTTATAAAAATAAATGGAAAATAATTATGTTTTAAAACCGGACCCATTCTCACATATCGTTATCCTATTTTTGATGTTGTTATTAATCAATATAGTAGATGAATAAATAGTAAGTCTTGCATTTATATGCAAGAAATGATACGGTAACACGAAAAGGAAATTGGTAGAAGTTAAGATTAAGTAGAATAAGTGAGTAATAATGTTGATTGTCAGAAAGAGACGAAATAAAGTAGTAGTAGCAGTAGTGAGAAGTAGTAATAGAAGGTAAAAGTCAGATCTGATAATAAATTGGTAATGATAGCTTACTAGGCATTGAATGAATAGCGCAATAGTGACAGATGTAACCGATATAAGTAAATAGCAGACCATGTAAGGAATAGAATAGTAGTGAATTAGCAGTAGTAATGGACATATCGCTAAGATAATATCCGGTTGACCGCAAGAAAATAAAATAGGTGTAAAGTTCTATAATAATAAATATAGACGAGCAATTTTTGCGTACATCGTGTAAAGCAAATAACTCATAACTCAACCTAAATATGAGAGGGAAAGAAGACTTGGACCAGAGAGGTGTTACTGTTCACTAATAAACCGAGAGGCAAGGAGGCTAACCAAGAATCGAAGGTGTCACAAATTCAATGCGATCGCGTGATCGCGTGAAGGCTCTCGATAGTTTGTTTTTTTTTTGTTCCATACCATCTACAACCACTACTTAAAAGCTACCACTCTTATATTACAACAAATGAAATAAAGTTTTTAAAAAAATAAAAATAAAAAAAAAAATAAAATAAAACAGGTAGACAGGTAGGTATAGGTAAGAGGTGTAGGTAGGTACACACGCCTCGAATTCACTTTACCTGTTAAATTACCAAATTCGTCCAAGATCTCCTCTTTGCCTTTTGACTTTGGTATGTTCCCGACGAAAAGTCGTAGATTAGGAACGCTAATGTTTACTTTCAGACTCTTGCCGGGTTTTATTTCGTAATTATCGAGCTGTGGGATGAAGAAAAACACACACATGCCTAATTTTGTTCCAATGAATGCGTTAAAATAAACAAAAACGTTGCGAATTAATTCGCGATTAATTTAGGAAAAATAAAAATTAAATAACAAAAAATTAAATTAAATTTCAAAATACGAAATTTTTAAGTATCAATTGGTTGTTACCCAGGCTCGTTTACTGGCTTTTGTATTGAGCCGGGCAAAACGTGGCATGCGATTTTGTCGCTCGATTCTTCACAATAAACCGGCATTCGCGTTTGGCATTCCTGTAAATAAATTTTTTTGCCTCCGCGAAATTTTGGTATACATTAAGTCACTGTCCAAATTGCGAACCAATTAGATTTTACCCTTAACCAATTATTATTTTTTTATTTAACTATTGCTGCCCTTTCTTAATTTTTTTTTTTTTACTCATTCTTTTTTCGTTCAGGAAGGTTCTCCACTCCCAATTTTGCCCACTGAGCAAAGAGGAGAGCTGGAAAAAGAAACTCATCCACAGGACATGATTAATAACATCTGTCACTGTTATCACGTATCTGGGAGTAATTGGAGATTGTCACTAAGTGTAATTCAAACATGAATGAATGTTTAAAAGGGAAATATGAATAGTCATGTGCAATCTATCTATATACATATTTACATTCTATGCATATAAATACAAAACACATGAATAAAAAAATATATGTGTATGTGCGTCGATTGTGTAATTTTTTGTCGATGGATCCATGGATATTGACGTTAATTACAAGTTCTAGTGTTATCAGTATTGATTAATTGAAAAATAAATTGAATAATATTTGTTTTTTGACATGGAACCATTAACAAAAGTTCATACATTCATTTCTTCGAATTGATTTCATTCAAAATTAATTTAATAAAAAGTATACTAAATTGGAAAGAATATTGATAATTATTTAAATGAATAAAATATCAAAGAAATGCATGAATGAATAATAATAATAACTTTATAATAATTATGATAAATTTTTTTGTACAACAGAAAAATAACTCAAGGATATCCAATTGGTCCGTTATGGCAATTTGTTAACTACAGGATTAAACGAAAGTTTGATAAAATGTTATGGATGAAACGTTATAAAATTAAAACCTATGGAAACTCTGATATGATAGAGGAAAGAAAGAACATACCTCTCTAACTGCTTGTTGTGCTGCTTCACGATTAGTAAAAGTAATAAAAGCATATCCTCTGTTGGTACCAGACATAGGATCCATCATAAGCCTCAAATCCCAGATTTTTCCACACTTTTCAAAAAGTGGAATTAATTCATCTTCATACATGTCTTTAGGTATTTTTCCACAGAATACCTTTTGCAAGTAGAAGAGACAAAAAATTAATTTACCATTTTTCCGTTAACTTAAAATTCATGCAATTTAAAAAAATTAGTGTGCTATTCTACCTCACAACCATTTCCAGGAGTAGGTCCTTCCCAATTTGGAGGCGGACCACCATATTTTCGTTGACCAGTGGTCACATCTAATGGGTAGCCGGTCCTTTCGAGTATCATCTATAACAAAGTAGTAAATGAGATATTTGATAATGATCCTGAAAACATATAATAGTAGAACGCATATAATTTACCTTAATTTTGTCTTCATCTGGAGCTTTGGGAGTTGTACTAGTTCCCGTACTCTGGCCTGCCCTACTTTTTTGTCTATAGGTCTTCATAACGCCACAAAGATACGCGGATTTATTTGACACATGTTCAAGATTGGATTCCAAAAACTGCGTGAGAACATGTAGCGCTCCATCAACAGGAAATTCTCTGAGGGCGTCCAGAGCTCTCTCGTCGAGGTCGACATGAGCAAGTTTACCAGTTTTATAAATTTCATCTAATTTAGCAGCCACTTTTTCGCCGAGTCCATACTGAATAAGCTTTGCGTAATCCTCCGTTCTTTCCACGTACTCCATTTCCTCCTTCGACTGCTTTTCTTCCATTTTGAGTTCCCCATTTCCTTCGGCCATAGCTATAACATACATTTTAAACGTAAAATTATTATTATTCATTCTATTTGTGTAAAAAACTGAACGTTTATCACTGGTACATTGTTATCAAAAGTAATAATTCACAACAAATAACAAGGAGATAAATAAAAAAGTGATTTAATTTCAGAAAAATATTTTAAATAAACTTTTTACTTCGTCTGACGGCAATCTGTTACTACTTTGTCTGTCGCAAATTATTAGATATGTCCGTAACTACTTTTTTTTCTCCGATGTCTCTTTTCTACTGTTAGATATTTCAACTTGTAGGTTATGGATGACTTTTTTATAATCTGAACGTCAATAGTAAATCGACGCACTTCAAGACCAAGTGCATTCACTTGCATTTTTCCGACTACAACCAACTAAATAATAATCCGATATATTTGACATCTTCACTCGATAGAAAATGAACGGAAAAACTAATACATTATTGATGTGAGATAATTCGATATTATTACAGGATGAAAATGGCTAATTATATGATTATTAGTAGCGAAAAAAAGATGTAAGTACCCCGTCGACGAACTGAGTATTTGTCTAGAGGATCGTAGACTCCCTTTCCCTCTTGCTCCTCCTTCCTTAGCTCGGACGAGCGTCACTTTTCCCGCGCTCGCGCTACGAAAGTGGGAAAAAAATCCGGTCAAACCGCGCGTCAACGAGAAAACTTAAACACACACGAGTTGGTCGGGCGCGGACTAACACCTTAACTAAACGATTATATTAAAATACATATATAGAGTAGATACGTTTAACAAAAAGCGCGATTATTGCACGACTTCAGACACTATCCCGAACAACGACGAAACATGAACAAAAAATATAACCACTATACTATTTTACCAACACACATTAAATTCAAGTATTCACGTTCGTTTTTGAAACTCACTTAAATTTAAACTAATGAAATAAATGATAAAATAAAAGTAAAAGCTCCGGACTTCTTTGTACATGCACGTTCTGTGCTTTGTTGGAATGCAATTGCACCGTGTGCACTCTCGTCTGTTGCCTCGTTGTTGCGTTTCACCTGCCTCGCCGCGCGAGCGCGTCTCCGCGAATTTCACCGGTCCTGTTGGTCTGTGAATCTGTCTGTCAATTTATCTATTGTACAAAAATTACTATATTAACGTGCAAATGTAACATAAAAAATAATAATCCCTATTACCTTAATAAACAATAAATTGCACAAATTTTACACTCCTCTCTCCGTCTCCTGCGCGGGGAAATGGCGACAGCGGAGAAGAGGAGAATGGCAACGAAGTAGATGGAGCAGAGGTGCGGCGACGTAACGGGAGAGACGTCAAAACGTGATCGCGAACTTCTACGGGGTCCACAAAACGACGCGCAAAGAGATACGCTCGAACCCAGAGGCCCCTACAGTCGACACAGCAGCCGTCGTCGCCGCCGGTTGGCCATTTTCATGTCGGCCTGCTGCCTCGTCAAGCACGCCTTCTCATTGGCCCGTGCGAAAACCCCAAGAAGAGTGCAAAAGTAAAAAAAGAGAATACTGAGCGCGTCGACCGAGCGAATATGACTGAGCAGGAGGGAACGAGGATAAAAAGAGATGAGAGTAAATTAACAGGCGCGCAACACATGCAGTCTGGGCTCTTTGCGAACAACGAACTGGGGACCCCGTCCGATGCACTCGAGGCCAAATTTCTTAGCGTATTGCATGCCGCGGTTGAACCTCTTTTTCTCTTTTCCCCTCATCCGCTTACTTCCCTTTTACCACCCTCTCACCCCCTCACGCGTCGAGACGTTTTAATGCACTTCTCTTTCTTTCTTACAACTAACCAAGCTTTGAAATTCGTTGCGTCTCTCGGGTGCAATGAAATTATCCACGATTATCACCCCGTGAGAACCAATCTCGACCTTAACGACTCTACTTTATAAAAATAAGCAAAAAAATTTTTCAAACATTTCTTAAGAAAGTGTTTCGTATTTTAATGGTAATTTTTTTTCTGAAACACAAGCTTTAATAATACTGATGTAAAAAAATTTTCAACTTTACAAGTAGTTGTTGATTTTTCGATCGCAGTACGTTGTGCTTTTTATACATAACGAACGAAAAATTATTTTAACAACAGAACTTTTATTATTTTCATTTTATTTTTATGAATTTTTCGAAATTATATGTAATGATAAAGTGCAATTTACAGAAAGTGAAAGTATTAAGTATAGATTGAAGGGTCTTGAAAGGCGAGTAAGCGTGTAGTTTAAAGCGTGCGTCGATAAACAAGAGAGTCTGAAGTAGAAAAAGACATAGCCAGACGGTGAGCGAGAAAAACGATTATTCACTCGCTCGCCGTCGTGTCGCTGACCGGACGTATTTGCACATAACCTTGCAAAAATTGCAGACGTTGGTAGGAACCGACTGTGCGAGTGAGAAAAGGAGAGGGTAAGCTAACGATAAGGATAAACGAATTCGCCAGACGGACCTCGCCACTTCTAAAATTAATGGTAAAGAATTTGTGCGCGCGCAAAAAAAAAAAATTATGCACTTTGTGTCACAAGTCAAAGTATTTAAAATAAATATACCTGATTCAGTGATAATTTATATTGCCAAAGTGGTTGAATTTTTTTTCCAGTTTTTAAAATTTTTTTTATTATTTTTGGCGGAACAAAGCACCCAAATCAACACACTGCAATGCACGATAATAGTCACGAAATTTCAAGTATTAACCGCGGTATGCGGTTCATATTAAAAACACGATCGACGATGCACTATATTTTTATATAATTTATAACTTCAAATAAACAAAAAAACTATAAACTTGAAATACTTTCAAACTTGTAGTCCTTTGGATTTTTTTCGTCCCAACTTCCTTTTTTCGTTTCCTTTGACGAATCACCAAAATAAAATGAACAAAAAAAAACACTGATTTTAACGTTGATTTATCCAGTTGACAAGTTCACTGGCACGTCGAAGAAATTAGTAAAAAAATCTTCTTATCGTTGAGTTAGAAGATGAGATGTAGTCCTCCTCTATGGTTGAACGATGTTTGATGATTTAAAACAAACTTTTGTCTAGAAGTAAAATATCCAGGCACTTGCAAAACGTCTTGATTGATAATATTGCAGTGAGTGAATGTGGCACAAAGTCCGGGGCACAGCAGTGGTGTTTTTGGGTAAATATCCTGCTCTTTCGTGTGGTGCCTACATAGCCGTGTGATGCATAAATTGGACTGTCGTCGAGAGAGCGGTGCAGCGATGCAAGCCCCCGCGAAACGAAACCAGTTTGCCCGCTTGGACTGCCACGACGAGGCCAGGAGTTGCGCCCCAATCCAATCCGATTCAACCGTTGCTTCTCTTTCGCGGTATATGCGACGAGCCCCGCCTTTGTCAGGGCCGTGCCAATCGCTTATTCGCACCTTTTAACCGCGAAAAATTCAGTCAGTCCAACCTCCTTACCCTTCCAACTTTCTTCCCTTATATCTACAACTAAAAACACTTTTTAAAAATTTCTATTGAACACTTCAAAAAATATATATTTCACTTCACACCAGGAGTTTCTTGAAAAATTTTCAACTTTTAAAACTGTGTATACTTTACTGACGATTAATAATTTGTTTAAAGGTTTTAAATAGTAGAGTAATTGGAAGAATAATATTTAGTATGAGATGATATATATTATTTGGAGTTAAAAATTGAATTTTAAGAATTATGATGTTGGGTTAAAAAAAAGAGAAAATAAAAGAGTTGAAGTGAGGAAGAGAGGGTGACGCGGAGAATTCCTGAGACAGTCTCTTTCTTTCTGTCTTTCTCTTTCTCTCTCACAGACGTGTGTACGATTCGCAGAAGCCTGACCTCGAGAATAAAAGGACCGCGTGCTCGTACTCAAACCCGCGTGTCGTTGTGTCGTCGTCGGTTAGTTCATTCCCTCTTTCATTTTTATTTCATTACATTGTTCTTGCCACGCATCCGCTTCTCGTCTCGACGGGGTTACAGAATCGCTTCTCTCATTTTAGGCAGCATACCATGTAAAATGGGTTCAAAAATCTTAGTTTTATGAATTATTGGTAAATTTTAAGCCAGCCGGTGAACGTAGAAGGGTGTAAATATGATCTACAATACGTAAGAAGGTAAAAGAAAGTCGATTGATAGCCAGACCAGGCTACAAGCGTGAGTAGTAAGAGAAACCTTAAGTAGTTACAGCCGGCGCATCTGCTCAGCCAAGACTCGAGTAAACGATACGGCCCTGGCCCCGGCCGTGAGTTTCGTCTGGTCGAGTGTGCACCCGCGTCCCTCAGAACCGAGCGTGAGAGGCGAGGAAAGAGAAAGATAGAAGGAGACCAGAAGGGGAAGAGAAAAGGAGTGGAGACCAGTGAGGAAAAGAAGTAGAAAAAGACGAAAGGAAAAGAAGTAGAAAAAGGGCGATGACGACGGCGGTGGTGCGAGCACGCTTGCAGAAACCTGTTCCCGTCTTTTCTGCTTTCCTCATGATTATTATCGCCCGTCGAATAACTCCTCCGCTGCAGCAATTTGGAGAATCGTCAAGAGTTTGGAATAGGTACTCTACTTTTATCAAAAAGTTCATATCAACACTAAAAGTGTTAGTAACTGCTGAATTTCAGATGATTCGCACGCTCACTATATGCAAACATGCATGACGCCCGGTACAATGCATTTTTTTTGCACCAAGTAAGTGCATTGTCGTGGGAGGCTGAAATTCAAACGGCCTCCAGAGCTCGAGGCTGTTTGATGCATTCTCTTTTACTATTGACTCGTTTATTCACTCTCTTTTCTCTCGTCTATTTCTCTTCACACTATAGTCAAAGTACTTGCTTAATCATTCGGCAAAATCTCTCTTGTTCTATAAAATTGTTTGATCCAACAAAGCCTAAAAAATAACTATTAAAAAGTGGAATGTTAGAGAGATGTACTGAAAATTCGGTTATGAAATTTTCAAAAAACTTACTTAGTCACACAATGAAATATGTTCTCAGAGTAAAGAATGATACAATAGTCAGATGATAAATAGTGCACGCTGGAAATTTCTTTTATCTTCTTTCTTTTCTTAGATCTCCAAAAGTAAAGAAAGCCTTTGGGAAATCATGCTCACACGGAATCGCAAAAGAATCAGCAACAGGTGTCAGTTAAGAGCACATACATAAAGAATTTAAAAGATCCGACGTGCTTCCGGCGGTAGGAGGGGTCAGTCCCCAGAGCGGGGGGCCGCACAAACTTCTACATGATAAAGAAACGCGGAGTACAGCTGTCCCCCGTATCCTCAAAAAACTCGTCTGAATTTTATACACGATGCAACGCACTGCGTTTCGTGTTACGCGTACTCTCATTCTCCCTTTTCCTTTTTCTTGGCTCTCGTCAAAATTCCCTTCTATCCGTCTGTCGAGTCGATGTGTGCGTGTGAAATTATTAAAAATAATACTTTTTAATGCCAAATTTAGTATCTAATGATCTTTTTTAGAAACTCCAAAATATCTTTAGCTAATTTAGACGTCCTCTATGCAGCCTTGTAATAAAAAGTCAAAGCTAAAAAAACAAAATAAATCAGAAAAAATAATTGTAATGAAAGAATCAATTGATTACTTACGTTTGTAATAACTGTCAAGAGATTACACAGGCGCCGTTAATCTTTTTGCGAGGCCATCGACACAAAGAAATATCTTTTCAAAAATAGATCTTCATGACGCGAATGTGTAGATTATTTCAAATTATACATTGCTATCTCTTTTACTTTCTTTTCAAATTGAATTTGATTTCGTGTTCTAATATAATTAATAGAAACGTATAGATAACATGATGGGAACTCACGTGAGAATCTGTCTCTAATTCGTATGATCTTGAAGAAAATATGGGGAGAGAGGATCGAATACATTTGTCTACAAATGCTGAAGAAATATCCGATTATATTTAAGCAAATGCACAAGAATAATATCTTCATGCCCACCTCCCAAAAGCTGTATGCCATCTGCACTTGTTTCCCACGTAAATATCATAACCCCTGAAGATACAGGAGAGACACAATGAGAGGACTTTTCTCAGGAGTTGGTGTTGTAGGCAACGGAATAATAAACAGGAACATTAGTGAAACTGGACAGACCCCCAGCAACTCGTCTCATCTTTGTTTCTTGGTTCTAAAGCTTTTTGTTGGTCACCAATATTATTGCTCTCTTTCTTGCAGGACATTCAGAACTTGTCTGTTATGTGGTGGCTATGAGAAAATTCTTCACTTCTCTTTTTTTTTTGTCTTGGTCACCTCTGGTAAACAGGGAGAGGCCATGAACCTGATGAACATCAGGAGGACAAAGGTCTGCTGCACCTCCTCCTTTTCCATAAAGGGTACGGGTGGACGATGATTATGTACATAAGAGCAAAAGAAAGATAAAAATAATAAAAAAAAATAGGGGGTTCTGATAAGGGGTCGCTAGACTAGGGTGCTATTCTCATCAGCATCACAATCACTGCTTAATGGTTATGTCCTTTCATATTAAGTCACTGCAATTATTTTCCTTTTCTTATTGTTTTTTCTTCTTCACACATCTTTGGGAACGTTTATCTACTTTTATGAGTGAAGTGTTTTAGTTTTCTTACTAGCTTTAAATATTTTTGTGGTTCGAAATAAACACGTACATGAATACTCGATTGTAAAACGAGTTCGTAGCATGTTTATAATAGGACTTCGACTTTTTTCAGTTTCCTAGGCGTAACAAAGTGTATATATTTTTCTTGTTATATTTTTTTTTGATGGATTTTAATTATACTGAAAATTACCTTTTCTATTTTAATAATTTGTAGATGTAAAATATCTATTTAATTGTGGCGGGAAATATTTATGTTAAGCATGTGTACTCAGACTAGGTTAGGTTAGACCGCCGCCACCAGTAAATAAATCGTTCAACAAATATAAGTAATTCATTGATATTGAAATACTACTCCAAAATTTATATTAACAAAAAAAATAATTTGGTTAATCATATTTAATGAGATTCATTTAAGTAATTTTGATTTTATTGATGACACATAATGAGTAATCATCAGAATTCGGGTGGGGCACTATCGACTTATCGTTCGACTAATCGAACGTTATATACTCGATTCGTAATAACTTATTAGTATTTTTCATGAATATTAATGATTTTGTAAATTAATTTAAATAAGAAAAAGTATTTTTTTATAATTCACATACTATTTTATGCATTAAAGAAATAAAATAATGATTAATTACTAAAAATTAAGTATTAAGTATATTGAATTGATTATAGTACGTTGTTGTGACCGATTACATTTTTTAGATTGATGATAGATCCACCAGGGCGTGTTTACTTGATGCGTCCACGTTCTAGTGACGCTCATATAAATATCAACAAGTGTATTTAATAAATATAAATATTTATATCAATAAATATGGTGCATAACTCAAAATGCTAGATTAATAAGTAAATATTAAAGTTAAATGTTCATTTAAACTAGGAAAAAGTGTCAAGAATTTTTAATTCCATTTAAACAATGGTGCGTTTAATTGTGACGGTAGCTTTTATCGTCACCTATTCCTGGTTGGGCGTTGTCGGACAATATGAGTGGCAAAGAAGAGATGCTTTTGATGAAATAAAAATGAAAATGGATAAAGTTACCATGGATAATTGTGAAATTCAACATCTGGAAGATCTTTTTTTGCCAGAAGATTCAGTATCTCATTTGCCTGACATTAAAGAAATCAATATCAATCCAGTGTTTCCCAATAGAACTGCTCTTCTTCATCTTCACAACATGGCTTTGAGTAGATCATTTTTTTGGAGTTATATACTTCAATCTAGATTTATCAGGCCAGCAATTAATGATACATATGATCCTGGAATGATGTACTATTTCTTGTCATCAGTAGCTGATGTGTCAGCTAATCAACATATTAATGCTTCAGCAACTTATTTTTCACCAAACATGTCTTATACTCCAAGTTATCGAGGATTCTTCAATAAAACCATGCCGAGGTTTGCACCAAGAGTTTTCAGAGCTGATGATTTTAATGATCCAGTGCATTTAGAAAGAATCTCAACAAGAAATACATTTTATATAAGAGATCTTGGTGCTTATCCTTCAGAAAGTTCTAATCAAGATTATACTCAAGAAAATTATCGAATCAACGAATGGTATTTATTTTTTTTTATATAAATAAATATAATGTTGAATGATAATTATCTACATTGATTGTTCTTAATATTTAACTTATTTCTAGGTATAGAGCTTGGTTACCAGATAATCCCAATAAAAGACATGACACTAAAACGACATATCAAGTAGAAATTCGCTATGCTAACAATACAAATGAAACATTTTCATTTCATGGACCTCCGGGTACTATAAATAAATTTTTTTACTGAAATAAAAGTATATTTAATTAGAATTGGTAGCTTTATAATTAATTATTTTAGGTGCTGATGAAATTCCTGGTCCTGTGAAATGGACAAAGCCTTATTTTGATTGCCATCGTTCGAACCGTTGGTTAGTAGCAGCAGTAGTACCTATTGCCGACATTTATCCTCGTCATACGGGTTTTCGACACATTGAGTATCCAACGTAAGTATCAATTTTTTGGGATTTTCTTTAGGGCTAGTTGTAAGCACCAGATGTTCGTTTGTCCGGGTGTGCTGGTAATGTTCTTCCCCAAGTCGAAATGAAAGATTTTTATTGCTCTGGATGTCGTTTATGTATATACGACACCGTCGTATTGATCATTCTTAATGAATTCACTGTGAAAGAGGTGGTTGCAGGGGGTCTTGTGATGGACCCTGTCTTCGCAATCCCAGTCAAACAGGTACAGGACAGACGAGTCTTTAGAGGGTAGTCAGTAAAGAGAATAAGAGATTTATAAAGAAAAGGAAGAAGGAAGAAAAAATGTCGACAGTGCGAATAATATGACTATGTGGATTAAATGCTAGGAAGGATTAAGATTTCAATGCTGATAGAAGCATTGATTATTCTTTTCGCGACTCAATTTCTTATGCCTGAAGAGCAGTCGAGTTAAATCCACTTCACTGAACCCACAAAATGAATTGACTTCAACTTTAAACCAGTTCTTGATTTTAAGCATCATTTTTGTGTCTAGATACACCGCTGTTACCGTGATGGAGATGGATTTCGAAAGAATTGATATTAATCAATGTCCGAAGGGTTTAGGAAATAGTGGTCCTAACCGTTTTGCTGGTACTGCGAAATGTAAAGAAGAAACAACTGAGGTAAACCTATTATATGCTTCTGAATATTCAATAAATTTTTTTACTGTTTTATTAATTGGAATAATTAATTTGTAGTGTGAACCAATTCATGGATGGGGTTATCGAAAAGGTGGTTATCAATGTAGGTGTAGACCAGGATTCAGATTACCTGGAGTTGTACGTCGACCTTATTTGGGTGAAATAATTGAAAGAGCTACTGAAGAACAATATTATAATGGATTTGATTGTACTAAAATAGGATGTAGGTTCTTGTGTTAACAAAAGTTAATTATTTTTTAAGGAAAAAAATTCTGAACATAACAACGAATAATTTGAATTTTTTTACTCTACATAGGGGTTCAAAAGTTACCTGTTCAATGGGAGAAAGCACCAGAATATATACGAGAAAAATATTTAGAAAGATATTATGAATATCGAAATTCTACAGAAGGTCCTGAATCTCTTCAATCTCAAAAAATAAATATTCACAACGTTATTAAGTTCATTCGAAGTGTTAATGCAAAGAATTGTGACCGGTAATTATAAAACTCTTAATTGTAATTATTTTTTATTGAACTATCAATTGTATAATGATTTTTTAATTATATATTCTAGTTATGAGAAACAACATTTGCAACTTCATGGAGATATTGGCTATGGAGCTCAGGAATTTTTCGAAAATGAAGCTAAGATGGCTGTGAGATTAGCTAATTTTATTAGTGCCTTTTTACAAATATCTGATCCTAATGAAGTTTACTCAGGTAAACGAGTACCTGATCGACCTCTTACAGAAGATCAAATGATTGGCGAAACATTAGCACTTTTATTTGGAGACACAAAAATTTGGGCAGCTGGTACTTATTGGGAGAGAAATAAGTTTACAAATAGAACATTCTTTGCTCCATATGCCTATAAGAAACAATTAAATACTAGGAAGTTTAAAGTAGAAGATCTTGCTCGTCTCAACAATACAGGTAGATTTTTTTTATTAATAATAAAAAAAAAGAAATAAAAGTAGATCCAGATGATGCAGCTAATTCATCATCACTATGATTAATTCAGGAACACTTCTTTTTTATTAAGATTTCATTAGATTTTATTAAATGCAAATGAGACAAAGATTGATCACTATCATAACTTAATATTTTGAACAGATAATTCTATGCTTTGACTCATTTACATTGTGTAAAACCTGATAAAATTTTAATAAAAAAAGAAAACATTTTTGAATTAGTCATAGTAGTGTTGAAGAGACTATAACATCAGGTTTTATTTTTTCTGATAATTTTTTATCAATGAAAAATATAAACATATATAACTTGTACTGCAATTCTAATTTTTCGTTTTAATGAAACAGATGAAGTTTATATAAATCAACCATGGTTCAAATTTTTGCAACAACGATGGGCAACCAACTTTGATGATCTTGAGAAATATTACTTGAAGCTCCACGTTCGTTTTAATGAGACAGGGGAACACAGCAAGAAATATGAACACTACCCGACTTCCTACAGGTGAGAAAAGGAAACGAAATAAAGAATAAAATAAAATTCTCAACCATTATCTCGGATATTACGAATCTTGAATACGTATAAAGAGATTATGGTTTCGAAGTAAGGGGATAGCTTTTACTTCTGTGCTGTAATTTATTTTAATGCGTTGGAACGGGCGGGTTGTCTCTGTTTAGGGCGGCAAACCTGAATCATGGACACTGGACCACTCCGTACTTTGATTGTAACGGTAAGGTGAATAACTGGGTAATTACCTATGCATCCCCATTTTTTGGCTGGGATACCTTGAAGGAGAAACTGGAATTCAAGTGAGTATTGCTATTCGTATTGGTATAAGTTGTGAGTATGATGCGTACTCGTATGTATGAAGTTGATGTGCCAGTAAATTGAGTGTGAGATAGTTTGTCGGAAACCAGTCTGCAGGGGGCATTTGAAGAAAAAATAATACAAAAACATATTTAATGCCTCGACACTTTACAGGGGCGTCGTTGCTGTAACTATGGACTTGCTTCAGTTAGATATCAACCAATGTGACGATGATTTTTACGTACCAAATGCATTCAAAAACACCCACAAATGCGATAAGAAAACATCTTATGTAAGAATTTTATCAGTCAATTTACCATAAATATGTTCTTACAATTCAAACTAATAATAAAATTTGATTATATTCATTTTCTACATCGTAAAGTTATTGTTATTAAATTGATAAAATTTTACAGTCTAATATTTTCTCATTTTTTCAGTGTGTTCCAATATTAGGAAGAGGATTTGAATCAGGTGGATACAAATGTGAGTGTAAACAGGGTTTTGAATATCAATTCGAGGATCCGATTACTTATTTTGATGGCCAAATAATGGAGTCAGAATTCATTAACGTAGTCAACAACAAAGAAACTAGGATTGATATGTTTAAATGCCGTTTAGCTGGTGCAGCTTCTATTCAATCAAGTTTGATACTCATCATTGCAGCTCTAGCATTTTTTTATCGTTATGTTCGACATTAATAATCTGAATAACAATGATCTTAAATTATAAATTTTTACTCAAAAATCCAACTCTTAAAAGAAAATTATTATGAGATTTAAAGTTGGTAAGCTTATAGCTTAAAAAAATAAGATAATTGTATATCTTACAATTTTATAATTAATATTTTCGATTTTATATTTTATATCAATATTCCGTCCATTAAGAAATAATAATTATTGTATACATTCCGACCAGTATAATTGATCTATACATGATCGAATTTGTATAGATATATTTTATAGAGTTGTACAAAATGGATCGCAATTATAACTAAGGAATCTCAACTAATGTGTCTTAAAATTATTCGTAAATAATATATAGATTTTATATTGTTTTTTTTTAAATTATAATAAAATACAATGGATAAAAAAATTTCTACAGATAGTTGAATATTTTAATATAACTTACCAATAACCCCATTTGGTGGATGATTTTCTAATTCTAATGCCATTCTTCTGAGATAATTAATTCTTGAAATTCTACTAAATTTGAAAAATATTTTCTAACTATTAAAGAAAACTGAACTTAATTATTTATTGAAGTAACTCTTTAACTTATATAGCATAAAGATTTCATTGAATCTGTTTGAGTTAATTGTCAAATAAATTTGTTGAAAAAACAAAAATAATCGTTGCTAGTCGTTTTCAGGATGTCTGACGATCATAGATATAGGACAGTATAATAAATAGTTATCTCGAAAATATATAAACCAATTAGACTCATTATTTTGAAGTGAGTATTTTAAATAAAAAAGAATTGATACAAAAATGATGTAAATGATAGAAAAAATACACGAGTAAAATAGTAAAAATCCAATCATGATTACACAATTTATGTTAATTGAACAATTTGACGGAAAATTTATGAAATCGATTGTTTGATTTTTGTTGATTTAATAAAAGAATATAGTTGACACATTTGTAATATCAGGCTAATTTTTAATCAACTCTTTTTTCGCATCATAGATAAAGATTAATGAAATAAATATAGATATGATAATGTACTATTATTCAAAACACTAACAGTTTCCAATATTTACAGTGAGATTAAATAAAACACAATTGAGTTATATCACATAATTCTAACAATTTTAGAACAGTAGATACAAAAAATATGTATCTGAATGGTGATTTGGTCGATTGGTAACAATTTGAGCATCGTAATAGCTAATTTTTTTACTCCGTTTTTGTCTTGTTATCATTTAAATAATGATAGTTGATAAATCTAAAACCTTGAACAAGTTGAGCACCTTCATTAGTGAAATGGCAAGAAAATAGAAGTAGATTTCTTGGCTGTACTTTTAGAGCAAATCGCATAAACATTGCTGAGTAGAGACAGAGAGCTGCAACATTAATTGTAAAATTTAAAAAAATTATCATTGAACTGTTTCTTAATAAGTCATAGCTTGATAAATAAATTATCAAAAATTTTTTCGCAAGTCATCTATGCAAATAAATTACAATAAACTAATGAGAGAATGAAATTTTTTTCAATAATGAGAACAAACCAAAAGTCATTTTCCCACTAATAAATTTAGGGTCTCGTTGAATATCAGCGATAGCAGCAATTGGAATTCCCCAATTTGCAATAGGTCCCCAAAAATGAGTACTAAAAATTAAAAGTCATTCATTTAATATAGTTTAAATATATTATTTTTGCATATAAATGAGTGAAAAATAATTATACTTACCTCATAAAGTACTCTCGAGTTTCTTTACTCGACAGTGATTTGATTATTTTATTCATTTTGTTGAGAATTTAGTTGGATCAATAAGTTATAGAAATAAAATATTTGTAATTGTTATCATTTATCCTATCATATAAATAAACATAAAGATTCAGGATAATATACAACGTATCCTGTCTTTTGGTATTTACAACTAATTAATTCATAAATAGAAATCAAGAGCAAGGTGTCTATTTTCATGAAATTTATCGCTCCGTTCGATCGTCATGACATCTGTAACGTCGTCTAGTCGTTCAAATATTTAAATTGATCGAACGGTGAAAAAATTTTTTGGTATGCAGAAAATGTATAAATTATTTATGTTAATTTAATGAACAATAAGCCCTTATAAAAGAATTCACTATTGTCAGCTACATCATTTTAAAAATTTATGTTAATGAGAAATATATCGTTAAGTATTGTTTGATAATAGTTTAAACCGAAGTTAATTTTTCCAGTTAAGAGTACTTTGATTTTATTATTACTGAATTTTTAGTTACAATAAAAAGTTTCATCCCGTTCTTGTTTTATAATTAGTAATTTTATCAACCAGTTATGTCTGAATAGATCCTGAATCGTTTAGTTGTTGAAATGATGCTGAGAGATTAATTGGTTAATGAGTAAGTGTTTTACTTATTTGATTGTACTTTTGATAATATATATTTTTAAATACTAAGTTGACCATCATACATTGTTAAATGTTGATAAAGGGAAAATATAATTTACAAAAAAAAGACATAAATAAGCATTAGAGATAGTTTAATTTAGAACACACATTCAAAAATATGTACATAAGATTTCTTTATATATAATAATATATTAAACCACCCTAAACTAGTTTATATTTTATGATTCTTTCATTTCATAAAATAATTACAAAGAGGGACGGGGAGCATAATAATAAAAGGAGTAAGAAGGGTAATAAAATAAACGATATAACAAAATGTACAAGTGTTAAATTTGAATTTGTCTATACATAATTCAATCAAGGGCACATAAAACTAAACAGATCTGCTTTTGCATTATAATATTTTTATCAACGTTATCATTATTCTTATTCGATAACCTGATTGTTAATTTAATTTTCTTATTCATCTATTGATTAATTGAGTATGACTTTGTCTAACTGAGCTGAGTTGATTTCTCAAATCTTGTTTAGATAAAGTAAAAAAAATGCATTGAATTCATTTAAATGAACTGATCTTAATTCATTCTCAAATCTTTAAATAATCCTTCTTTTTTGCATAGAATTAGAAATTTAAAAAAAAAAAACAATTATATAGCTGTTAAAAGATTAATTCTGATGAATGAATTGATACAGTTAATAAAAACAAAAAAGAATTAACTAAAATTCATACAAGATCATCTCATTAATTTTCTCCAGGAAAATCGTGCTAAATTCCTTTGGTACGAATGATCAATAAAAATGACAAAAAAAAGAAGAAAAAAAACAATTTAAAATGACTTTGACGTTGTTAAGTTTACAATTTATGTTGTAAATTTTTATCGACAAAATATTTGATGAATTGCATTTATTAAATATCTAAGTAATGCTTCATTAGAAAAAAAAAATCAGAAAAGTGAGAACAGATGTTAAGGCACTTTTCGTTTTATGATTTTGCACCGGTTTAACAATATATTACACACATACAACGGAAAATTTATAATAGTAGTAAGAATAGTAGTAGTGATAATAATTACGATAATAAAATAGTAATGATAATGATAATGATAGTAATAATAAAATAATAGCAATATTAATAATAAAATTATTATAATAATATTCATAATAATAATTTTAGTGACATTATTATTAATAATTATAGAAATACCAATAGTTAAACAAATACGTCTGTACATGGTACATACATTGCAATCCGTTTTATTATAAACTACCCTCAATATAATTCATTTTGATGAGCTAACGAACAAATTATGATATATGAACGCACATCAAAGATGAGTAATTGAGGTTTGTAAACTTTTAAAAAGCTTATTTTGCCTACTTCGAGGTAAAGGCACTTTATTACACATTACGAATCATTTTTCTGATCCTAGTAATTGAATCACACGTTTTGTACATGTTGAAAATATATATATATATATATATGTATGTATATATAAGTTTCGTTGTTTGCACAGGGCTTAAATAATTTTCTATAGAACACTAGTATTTTTATTATCATTAATCATTCATCATTTCATTAATCTCATCTTATATTTTTATTTAATGATTAGTTAATCATTTAATTAAGATTGTATTGCGCACTAATATTCCGCATTTGATTGTCAGTGTAGGCGGGTATTTAAATAAAATTCATATTGATGAGAGAGAAAACAAAAACCAGCTGAAAATCGATAATATTGTTTAAAAATAAATCGGTTATTACAAGTCGCGTAAAATCTAAAAAGCATGATAATTACGCGATGAACACATCACATTCATCCGAAAATAGAAAGATTCTATACAGTGATAATATTGTTCATATAATTAATGGATTGATTGACGAATGAACTATTTAATTAATTAATCGATTGAAATAATTAATAACAATAATTATACGCACATCGTTTGATATATAAAAAAAATTTAAATAAGAACCGAGTGTAATTTATAAGCCACATTATTCTAATTATCGGCAATATCACAGTACTCACTTAAACACACAAAACGCGCACTTTCTTCCTTCGATGTAATAATTCGTCTGTCCAATAATTGCTGATAAACTCACTATTCAATTTGTGTGTTTTCCACGTGCTTTTTCTTTATCCCTCAGTAATGTTTCGTTACCTCATTAAAATTACCTTTTTACTTCAACTTAATTAATTTTTTTATTTCACCACATTCTTTAACAGAGAAGTTTTCCCATTGTTTCTTCAATTTTTCTTCTTGTTTCACTTTGTCAGATGAACAAGAAGTTCATATGCGTTAAAGCAACGTGAGTAAAATTAACGTCAGAGAGACAGTAATCACTTTGTACCTACTTACAAACGATGTTATTCTTCATAGTAATTTACACATCGTTCATATATTTTTTAAGAGGGTAACTCTTAGAGCCAGTTTTAAGCCTAATGTCATACATAAACCGGGCCCTGATTATCATTGTCATCCAAACTTATTCGACTAGGATAAGGAGCTCCACCACCATCATCAAAAAATCGACGAAACGTAAATTCAAAGAACCCATGAAAAGGTTTTCCGTTGTCCAAAAGTTCATCAGATTTGTTCGAATCTGAAGTCTCGGAGTTTCGAAGTTTATCTGGATCCACGGGGTCAAAGTTACTTGTGTCTGTTGGATACTGAATGCGCGGTATGTGTGGCGCGACTTGACGACGTAAGCCCTTCTCAAAGTCAATGCTCTCGAAGAAGGGATGACTCTTCACCTCATCCGCATTCTTTCCAAGTCGACGGTCCGCACCTACACACAGCTTAAGGATTAAATCCTTGCCTTCAGGCGAAAGATTAGCCTGCTTTGGAATATGTAGAGTTGTTTCCCAATTTATAACCTACAAAATATCATTTAAAAATATCAATGCTTGATCTTCTGATAGATAATTTTTTTTTAATAGCTAACATACCTTATACTGCGTTTCAGCAGGAGAATTGGCAAGGAAAGGTGGCGATCCGACTAACATTTCATATAAAATTACCCCAACACTCCACCAATCACATAACTGAGTGTATCCCGTACGCTGCAACACTTCTGGAGCAATATAATTTGGAGTTCCAACTAAAGAATGTGCTAAACATCGTTGATGTTCTCTGTGTCGTCTTCGTTCTAAAGGTTTCAGTTGAATACAACGACACTCATTATTCCAATCATCAGCTGGGTCCATTGAATCCTGCTTACCATGACCTGTAAATAAAATTTATCAGAGGTATGATTAAAAATAATATTGTATATTTGAATCCCACTGACTAATTAATATAAAAGGAATTAAACTAACCATTTTGCTGGTAATACTTGGAATTGTGAGTCCAGCGGAATCCCGTGCACAGCCCAAAATCCGTAAGTTTAATGTGTCCATCACGATCAATAAGAATATTATCTGGTTTAATGTCTCGATGAATAAATCCCATTTTATGGACACTTTCGACAGCACAAGTAAGTTCGGCGATGTAAAACCTTGCTAACGGTTCTTTAAAAATACCATACTTGATGAGCAATGACATGAGATCACCACCTGGTATATAATCCATAACAAAATAGAGATTATCCTTGTCTTGAAATGAATAATAAAGCTTGACGACCCATTCATTGTCAGCTTCAGCGAGAATATCTCGTTCAGCTTTAACATGAGCCACTTGGTTACGATTAAGCACATCAGCTTTTCTTAATGTTTTCATAGCATAAAACTGATTAGTATCTAGTTTTCTAACTAGCGTCACTTCACCAAATGCACCAACACCAATCGGTTTTATTTTAGTAAACATTGTCTTGTCCATTTTTGCTCTTTTTAATCTAATATAATTCGATTCCTTCTGTGATAACATTTTCCTCATTTGACACTGTGCTTCAGCACTAAGGCCTATTTTCGCCATTTCCGTTTCTAACTGCAACCTCCTATAAAGTCGTTGTTTATGAGACTTGAGAACATTCTCCACGTGTTGCTCCATAAAAAATTTAAACGCTTGAGGAGAGTAATTTCGAACTTTACAATCTCTTCGCTCTTCCTCTTTCTCTTTACTCATATGCTTTCTCTCAGGAATAGGAGATTGATGCTTTATTTTATATGGTCCACCTTTGGCACTATCAGGAGACGGTGGATGATTATTATTGTTATTGTTACTATTATTATTATTGATATTATTATTGTTTCGATTAGACACTGATGTGGAAGCAGTTGGAGGAAGTGGTGGTGTATGATCTGAATGATGTTGTTGACAACTTTCCACGGGTGAGTACTTTCTTTGAAGTGGTGGATGATGAGCTACAGGGGATGATCTAGGAGCACTATTGCTTTCTACTGTTGATATCGACATAGCATCATCTGTTGGTGTTCCATATGGTGGTGGCGGAAGGGGATGATGCATACTGCGTTGAACCGCAAGAGCTTGCATTGTCGTCGCATAACTTGGAGGTTCTGTCGTAGGAACACCAACTGGTACACCCAAACCTATTGCTGTAGGATTGGCCGTAGTCGTTGGATTATTCACAGGAGGATATGCAGGTGGTAAAGGTTGTTGAGGTTGTTGTTGTTGTTGTTTTTGTTGAATCGATGAGGCATACGATGGAGGTGGTGGTGGAGACGTATTAGATGTAGAGATTGGTTGAGGAGAGGTAGGAGCAATAGCAGTTTGAAGAACAGGCTTTTGAACCTGGGTACTTTTAACAGACTGCATTATAATAGGAGGTTGAGTCTTCGCTTGTCTCGCTCCCCAAGCTTGAAGTGGTGTTGGTCTAGCCATAGATCCTTGGGTACTAGGTGGTACAGTTGATACTGTAATAGGGCTTGGTGATCCAGCGGATGTTGGCCCTGAATAAATACCTGAAGATGGACTTTTCCGATAATCTTGTGATTGAGTTGGACTTTGTCGATTTTGCATCGATGCACTGTATGAAGGTGGTTGAACTGTTCCAGCTGTCGACGATGGAACAATTGGATATGGCGGGGGAGGTTCAACTTGCGTGTTAGTTGTTGAATTATTTGACTGATAAATGCTTAATGCTTGTATTTGTTGACTTAATTGTTGTTGCACTTGTGGACCATTTTGAACAATCATAGGTTGTCTACCATTCGAAGTACTGCTAGCACTAGCAACAGGACTCGTACCACGTTGTGGAGGATTCACAGATCCTGTGACAGTAGTAGAATTTCCTGGTGTTGCTGCTGGAGCTCGAGATGGTACTACAGGTGCTGGTGACATTCGTTTGAGCATCTGTTGCATATTCGTAGGTACATTTGGTTGACTGTAAGGGGCATGCGGTGGAGGAGGTGGTGGTGGTGTCGAACTACATCTTGGTGGCGGTGGAGGTGGTGTTTCACGTTCAACAAAACTACTTGGTGAATATTGACGACTTAGTTGAGGATGTGGACTCAATTCAGTCAATCTTGGACTATCCGATCGAGAACTACCAGCGCCACTATCTAATGCTGGACTTCCTCGTTGAAGACTTAACTCTCTTTCGAGACTTGGTTTCCTTATTAACTTTGTATTAAGTTTTCCTAAACCGTTGAGAGGTTCACCTTGAGCTTGTTTTAAAACTTCTATAGCTGCATCTAAACGCCAGCCTGCTAATTTCAGGGCTCGCATCCCGATTTCCTAAAAAAATATTGAATGAAATTAATATAAAGCATATTGAAATAGTAACAATATAAATATTTTCAATGGATGATTTAACTGACCTCTGAATATCCCATTGCTAAAAGCTGAGCTAACGCTTGACGTTGTTCAGGTTTATCAACAAGAGATCCTGATGCTCCTGACAGTCCGCTAAGTCCTGAAGCTGAACTCACTCCACTAGTTGTAGAGAGAGTGGAAATTGTACTTGCGGCACTGGAACCTACTTCCCCCGTACCTCCGATATTAGCGAAAGGAAGTAGAGAATTACGAATCTCAGCTAAAGCTTTTTGGTGGTATCCAGAGCCGCGAGTGCTTGACTTGCTGACAGCAGATGGGTTCATAGTGGCCCATGCTAGGCCCTCTGGGACCTAGCTCCAATCCAACAGCAGCATTAACCTATCTGAGCCATCCATCAATCAATCAATTATTTTCATATTGTTTCAAGCAATTCATACAAAGAATAAAATGAAAATAATAACATAGCAGAATAGAAAAGATAGACATTATCAATGAAGGAATAACAAATACTTACAGAACAATTGAAATTGTTTTTTAGTCAAGCAAGCTTAGGTATTTTGAAGACATGTCTGTTTATTAATAAGTCTTTCTCTATTTCAATAATTTCAATTGTGTTTTTAACCAACAATTAAATTTATTTACAATTTCTTGTTGTTATTCTCAAGTTGATTGATTATTTTAAATTTATCATTTATTATATATCCAAGAGAATTTTTCCGACACTTTGAAGTATTCGTATAATCCATAAGTTTATGATGAAAAAATGAGTTGTGCTTTCTGTGAACAAAAAAAGAACAATTCCATGGATAAAATATTTTTAAAATGAGTCAGTTTATCATAAAAATTAGAACGAGTCATTAGAAACAAAGGTAAAAGTCTAAATACGTACAAACTATTAAGCACTATTGATGTCCCACAAAATTCACAGTCAAGAGAATAGGAATGCATTCACACATCTAACCTATTCACAGATAACTTGAATATCGAATAATTATGCTTAGAGTTGTCCAAAGTCATCGTTAAATTTAAAAATTAACTCAGATTAAGTAGAATCCACAGAATTGTGTATTATCGTGATAATATGTCCCTTTAAAGCCAAGGCGATGCCAGTGTATGGCACTCGAGCATATTCCGTTTTCACGTTTGCACAGCGGGTAAAAGACGTCCAAGTGGTTCCCATAGAACGCACCCTCCACTATTTTTCTCGTAGCAAAATTCCGCGTCTCGACGATCCTCGGCCGTAATTATACCCGCGACAACAAAGAAAGATACGGCCGTAAATTACTAAAGTAACTGGCAGCCATTTTGAAGTGCCACATTCCTACACCGACTTGACACTCTTTTTCGTAATTTACGGTGAGCATGAAACTCACCCCATCAACTAAGCTAATGGTATATCTGCAACCTCTAAATATTCTAATAATTTGACCTTTATTTACATCATTTATGAATCATATTTTATTTGTTATTCTTTTTTTTATGTTTTTCATGAGTGTTATTTTTTTAATTCAAATATATTTATGATGTCGTTTAAAGGAAAGGAGGTAACAATGTTTAACCTTCAATTATTTTTGGATTTTTTTTCTAAAAATGAAAAAAAGCTTTACATTTCCAATATTTGCTCATCAGTTTTTTTTTTTATTAATAAATACAAATTAAATTGAATTTAAAATAACAATAAAAATTTATCAACTTCAGAAGTGATTTCTACTTTGCCGACTGTTGGATAAAATTTTTTACAATAAATTTGAATTTGTTTTTTTCTTACATAAAATTATAATTTATAATATATTTGATAACGAGCAATAATACTGCGTGACATTATTTGTTCCAACTATTGAAAGTTTTTCTCCACTCATATGCATCGAAAGTTTGATGTTTCATATTCAAACTGATGCAAATCTTTCTGTTATGACCAGACAAACTAATAAGTCTGTTAAAACATCGTCAAATAGTCATCTGCATGAAGCGAGTGACAAGAATATTTTTGGTTTTATCTCCTAGCTCGAGTTTTATCGAGCTTTCAAAAATTTTTATTTTTTTCCTGGTTTGGTATTCCTTTTTGGTGGAGCACCCCATCGGAGTGCTGTTGAGTCCACAGTTAGCCGTGGTCTCTTGAATTGGTTGCTTTTTATATGTTCTTCAACTAATTTTGGCGTCACACAGATTACATGTTGGCCTTTCCAGTATTTTACCATGTTCATACTTTGTAGAGTTGATATGATATCCGTTTGTGAAATACTTGTCATTTGACTATAATAATAACCATAATTATTATTATTGAAAACTAATAATCATTATAAAAATGAGTATGTAAATGAGATGCTAAATAATATTTAAGTAAATATAATAACGTTCGTGAAAAATATTTTTATTAGACTGTTTTAATATTTACCTGAGATCTTTAATACTGAGAGTACCTCTAAAGTCTCTCAAAATTTCTAAAAGTATCCAACTCCAGTAGCTACGATAAGATAACTTTCCAAGGTCACTAAGTGGTTTTTCAGGGCTTCCAACTGTTTGTTCGATTCTACTTAATTCATAGCTAAAAGCGATAAGTAGTTTTCCATATCCTTGCCTTTGAAAAGGTGGAAGCGTTAAGATACAAGCAACATTATTACCATCAGGAGATTCTTTTTCCTGAAAGATAAAAATTTAATGATTCATCAAAACATATTTTACTATTAAAAATTTTAAAGAATAGAAATGTATATAAAAGTAAATAATTAACCTTTGAGAAATATCCAACTAAATGAGCCCCATGTTTATCAACTTCACAAAGAATGTAAAAAAGAAAGGGTTCTACATCGAAATATAATGTTTTGTGATCTAAGAATAATTTAGCCAGAAGACATAGATTTTGACAATAAATTTTATGCTCTCTTCCATCAACTTCCCATATCGACAAAGTTCCTTTACGATATATTTCTTTGCCAACTGGTTGTCTATGCGTACATTCACTCATATGATACCGATATGTTTTCTCCAATCGCATGTATTTAAGACAATATTCACATATCCATAACTTTGGCTGTTTGCCATATTCTTCAGGATACGGGCTAAAATACCATGTGTCAATTTCATATTTACCTGTGGAAAAACTTTGAAAATAATCAAATCCTTTTTGTGTCTTACAAAAGTTATATTCATATGGTAATTTGCGCTCACCTATTTGTATCCTATCAATATATTTAACTTTAGTGATAGCTTCGTGTTCTTTTTCAAGTGCTGCAGTAGTAGGATCCATTTCTGCGTATGTCTAGAATACAAATAATATTAGTAGTTTATTTTAAATCGATAATAATAATATACAATTAAATAGTTTTTGATAATTACTCACTTTTTGTATATGATTAATTTCATCGTGCCTTCTTTTTTGATTTCTTGTAATTTTTCTATCCGAGGAATCACTCAATAAGTCATTTGCTGGATTATGTTCACTGTTTTTCCATCGACTGTCACTCATATCAAATCGACTGGACATAATTCTATCTCTAGGAACCCATTCATCTAATCTCCTGTTATATCCTTCATAATGTACATAGTACTCATAATGTGCTTCTCCTTCATTAAATCGAGTTTGAATAATTTCTGCTGGATCTATAAACAATAATAATCATATTGTCATTCATCTTTTTCCCGCCTATTTTTTCTGAACCTTGTATGTTTTCAAGTTATTTTTCTGTTGTCTGTGGTTACAAATGCATTTATACTCTCAAAATATGATTTAAAAGCACAAAAATATCAAAATAAAGGAGATATTGATAAGGAAATGATTGTTTTATTATATGGTGTGGAAAAATAATTAAAAATATAACAAAGAACATTCTCAAGCTTAGATGTCTTGCAATAGTGACTAAACGTGGAACTTACGCCAAGAGTCATCAGATCGCCGAACAAGATAATGTTCTCCAATATCCAAAGGCATTTCTTCAAGACTGTCAGCATCATCTCCAGAACCTTTCCCACCATTTGTAAGTGTATTTTCTCTTTTTTCTTGTTTAACTGGAGTTTCTTTAGCATTTACAGAGTTATTATCTTTACTGCGTTGCTCCATTTCCGCCATCTTGAACTGATGCAAACTTCCTTGAACCCCGGAATCGAAATTGACAGCGCCACAAAAATGATGGACCACGCACTCTACTGTTGGAATTTCAAACTAAAATATTTACGATTAACGCCCTCTATTTAGATATGATTAAACTAAATAAAACTATTTTGCGAGGGAACGGTGAAAGATTGCAGCGATTATTTTTGCAAGAGCATAGTAACGAGTTTAATGTTGTTACTTACTTTATTTTGTTAATAACAATTAAAGGAAAGGTAAATACGATTTCTTTAATGTAGGAATTAATAATTTTTATTATTCAGTTTATAAACAAGACTAGTTATTGAAGGCTATTGTTTAAGTTAAAAGGAATTATGAAATTACGGTTAATTAAACAAAAAAAAACCGAATTTAGTTATTGAATCTTTATTGTATTTACAAACTTTATTCACATATTATCATTATAATATTAAGGAAAATTCACAACTATTTAATAAAAATCCATCTAGCGTTTCTCTGCATATATAATGACAATATTAGTCGTTATTAATTAATTTAATTACCAAATTCACTATTTTTGATAGTACTCTTTTTTCATTTGTTTTTAAATCTTAAATTACAGCAACTACACCACAAAACAATCATGTTTGACACTCTGAATTGACAGAATTATACAAAAAAGTGGAAAAAATATAATTAATTATGAAAAGTACTTGATCAAGAGACTATTTTTTCACCTAATGGCTGTGGTCTATATGGATATCCCATGCGTTTTTGTTGTTGTTCATACAATCGTCTTTCACGTTCTTTTCTTCTTTGCTCTCTTAATGCTTGAATGGGATCAACATCATCTTCTATAGTTTCTTCTTCCCAACCAACTGCATTATCCTCCCATGTTTCAAGTTCATTCTAAATTTTAAAACAAGTATTGAATTGATAGAAATAAAATTGCTTGTTTCATGTTTTATTGAGTTTATGTTATCTGGTCTATTTACCGTGGGCACTCTATCAGTAGTTACTGCAAAGTGGGAAAGATTAATGGATGAATCATCAGTCTTTGAATCTTTGATAAGGAGTTTTTTCTGTCTGGTAATCCTTGGTACCATATCCTATAAAATTAAAATACTTTTAGCATGGCAATATGTTTCTTGAATTAATAGAAATTAAAATGACAATCATTTCTACTAGTTTTTACAAATTAATTTGAAGGGAACTATCAACTGTCATAATATGCATACCTCAAAAAAGTTCACTTGAGATTCTTGTGCAGATTCTGCAGGTTTAGCAACTTGTTGTCTGTAAAGTTCTATTTTAGTTTGAATTGAATTAATGGAAGGCTTGTCTGATACTACAACTACAGGGTTTTCATCCCATTGTTCCCAATTATCTTGCTCCTAGAATAATTTAGAATAACACATTCGTTATAAATTTGAAATTAAATTTACATTTGCAACATGTTAGTGATTAAACCCACTTAATTTTAAATAATCAACATTTTATTTTGGTTTCTTACTATTTTATTGTTGACACTAGGTATTACTCCAATGGTAGCCAAGGGAATGGAATCACATGAAGATCTCCTTCTCCTTCGAAGACAGCATAAAGCACGTCTAAAGATGCTCAGGAGAAAGACAAATAAAGCTTTAAGTCTGTTTAATAAAAACTCGATTGCCATTACCATGAATTTACAATGCTCAAGTGTTCACTATGTTCTAACCTCTATTTCTAATTTTTGACGTGGATAGATAAAAAACGTAATGGCTAATTCATTTCTGTAAGTTAAATGCAAAATTTATTCTTTACAATTAATTATCACATTCTCCACAATCAATATTTATTATATTTGTCCATCAATTTAAATCGATCGTTTATTATTATTGCGAGTACTATACATAATTATATTATATTGTGATGTCAGAGTCGATTTTTATCTTTCGATTATTATCGAGATATCGTATAAATTCGAATTGGGAATTACTGGTAAATAAGTTATGTTATCGTTGGAAAAAAAAATTATTAGTCAAGGATATGTAAATAATTTATGAAATAGAAACCCAAATTTTCCAATTATTTAAATCTTTTTATTTGTCTCATATTTTACAAAATATTAGATTCTTAAAGTGTACCAATAAATTTAAAACAGAGTTTTTTAACATTTAATATATGGGATATACACATATTTTCCGTCCATTACGATTTTCACAGCATATTTTCTCATTTGGTACATAACATTCAAAATCATAAGTACATCTATCAGCATTAATTGCATCTGATATTACGTTTGGTGATGGACATTGTGGGACATTATCTGAAATGACAAAATTTTTGAATATTAAGAAAAATCGTTCTGTACTCATTATTCAAAAACTATCATTATAAAAATAAATAATACTACTTACGAGCACGACCATTTATTGTTTGAATCACAATAAATAAAGTGAGCAACACAATTAATATGTTTCCTATAAAATTATACAACATGATTATTTACAACTTTAAAAAACATTGTAAATATTAAGTTGGCTGAAAAGTTCTGTTAAACTTTTTTAAAAACTTTAGAATATGCTAGCAAAGTAACATGTTGTACATGGACCAAAGACATTGAAGACCTTTTTGATAGATGAGCCTATTATGGCTAACGGTGACAATTATATAATGCTCATTAAAATTTCTTAATGAAGATATTATTTCAAATAAACTTTTTCTCTTAATAATTAGAAAGAACTGATTAGCCAATCTAATATTTTATGCAATAATCGAATCAAATATTTTAATAAATAAATTCCTATACTTACGATTCATGTCTGTTTTCTTGGAGGTAAATTTAATAAACCTTTTTAGCTGCAAATTTTATATTAAACTACTCAGATAGATGTATAAATACATCCTCTTATGCTTTTTTTTTTATCTAACATGTATTCTTACATTTAGTTAGAAGTAAACAATTCATTTATTTTAGCCAATTGAATAAATAACGATTAAGTTGTTATATTTTTAAATGTGGCGGAACACTAAAATGTTTTATTTTTAGAGATATTTCAATTCAAATTAACATATTTAAACATGTAATATAAAAGATTGTTTCAAATTTTATTTTCTGAAAACATTTTTTTCGTCGTTAATATCTTTATTGATTAAAATACATTTTTTTGATAAATTAATATCAGAATAAAAAATATTACTTTTTAATTATGTACGCACACATTCTTCACGCTTAGTCTTAGAATTGAATATGCATTTCTCATAACGACTACATTTTCTGTTACCACAATAGGTTTCACCGTTGGAATCCTTGTATCCGTTTCCTGTATTAACTGGACTTGGTGCAGCACAAGATTTGGATCCACATCTGTTCGGACAGCATACTTGATTGAATGAGCATTGAAAGTCTGACATACAGGTAGGCATGCATTTTGATATAGTGCTTTTTAGTGGGCAAAGTCCACCTTTTGCTGAAATGTTAATATTTTGTTATTATAAATTTTACAAATTTACATGAAAAATCCGTTTTTGTCATACCCCCTCATAAAATTAGATTTTATTCCCTGCTTCGTTACAGAGGCAATAAAGTTCCACTTTTGTCTTTACATAAAATGACAAAATCTAATATTTTGTGACAATATGATAGAAAAATGTATTTTTCATCACGAGAGTAAATATAAAACACTTTAATCCGCGAGATTTTATCTTTTATCATTTTTGCTGCGGATAAAATGTTTTACTTTACTCCCTTGGTTCAAAATGTACTATTTACATGCGTAATGCAAAAATTAGTATCATATTTACTTACACAATCCTTGAACATCAATTACTCCAATAACAAGTATCACGAAGAGTAAATAGACGATGGTTTTACCTACGTAGTGTGGAAAACAATTTATTGTTAATCAAAAGTATAAATATTTTTTAATATTTAAATGTTAAGTTTTTTAGTTAAGGATTTTAATGTTTAGTAAATTATATTATTATATTATTGTAATAGTTTTCTCAACTACGCAAAATAACTAGTTTCGAAGGACATACTAACCTTCCATGATAATAGTCAAAAAGTAGAAAGTTTACTTCTTCTATTCCAATCTCAAGTTGCACCTTTCAGCTTCAGTTGATTCGTTCTGACTAGGTTCCTTATTACTGATGTACTCCCTCCAAATTTCTTATGAGTATACTACAGTTTAGTTTTCTTATTCATCCAGTTATTTTTCTAACAAACAAGGACGCCTTTGTAACAACGTAAAATAACAAGTTTTGAAAATTTTCTACGATGATGGTCACAAATTAGAAAGTTCGTTACTTTTATTTCAATCTCAAATCACACGTTCTTTTACCTTCAATTAATTTTATCTGACTAAGTCTTTTATTTGCAATGTACTCCCACCAAAACTCTGATAAGTATATTATGGATCATCTTTCTTAGTAATCAGGTTTTTAATTAAACCAAAAAATTCTTTTTTAATGCATTTTTACAATTTATGCAAATAAATGTATGAAAATAGATGGATTTAAACCAGTAAACAGGTTGACACAAAAAATTTAAAATAATTTATATAATTTTGTAATCTTTTTCTCAAGTATATGCCAGAGTATTATTTCATGATGGTAACGACTTAATATTGCTCTTGACCGCGATAAGCGGCTTATACGAATGTCAATTGACTCATTTTATGAGTAAGTGTTATTCACATCAATATTCGCACTGTATATTTTTCTGAAAATTATTGCGTGCTTATTTATAGAAAAAGGTAAAATAATACGTCAGCAAAAAATTAATTGGTTCATAACTGGATAAATAAAGAACATATTCTAGAACTTCGTATCTGAGGAAAATAAATGAACTATCGTTGAGAGGAATAAAAAACCTTCATTGATATTCAAATAAAACTTTTTTATTTAAAATTCACCCAACTGAATTCAAACAAATATTCTCGATAATAAAGTTTTGAAAAAGCCATTATTATATCCTTAATTGACAACATCATAACGATAATAATCAATTTTCCAACATCCATACACTCCATTCCTGTTCATGCAACATAACTGATTACTTCTACAATCAGAATGGTAAGTGCATGCTCTAGTATAGGAGTTGAATACAAGATTTCTAGATGGTGGACATTTTCGCCCGAAAGAAGCTAAAATAGGAAGATATTATTTGACATTTTTAATAACTATAATATAGAAGCAATGCTTTTCAACAAAAAACTGTAATCAACAAATATATTATTCTTACCATCTTGAGCTGAAATAAATTGGATGGTCATCAGGACACTCAAAATGAAGATTAATGTGTAGCCTATATAATTTTAACATAATTAAAAATTTTGAAAATATAAATATCAAGATTTTAATAAAAGTAGTTGAAGGTACTTACGGCTCATGCTGAACTTATAAATCACTATCTCTTCTCCTTCAAACTGGAATTAAAGCAATAGCTTTCGTTGATTTCTGCTTAATGATCCAAGTCCATTTTCGTCTGCTTTTATAGGACAAATTATCTTTGCTATTGGACTATTTTTATTCTAAACATGTGGATCTCTATTGTATAAAATTTAGTTGTTCAATAAACTGACCTAGTTTGTCTGTTTAATTAGTATTATAATAAAAAAAAATTTATGACGTATATTTATAGGAATAGTATACTATCAACATTTGCACGATCTGTAAAAAGATTGAATTTAAATCAATATATTGTTGTTACATTTGAGATGCCTGTTTTGATAATGATTAATAATCGAAACTTTTTAGATTTTTCATATTCCAATTGTTTGAAGTATTTGTATGAATAGAGGGTTCTAAATTATCTATTTCAATCTTACATCTGCGAGAGGTATATTACTTATTAGTTTTTATCAGTATAGATATCATTTTAGTTTTTTAGTCTTTGAACGTTATTCATTTTTACACCACTATGTACGGAATGTCAGTAGCTATCAAAAATCCCTCATCCTTGAGCTTGAAAAGGGTATGATCTATTTAGATGATTAAACATCTACTTCATGTAGACAAGGCGAATTTAAGATTAATTGAAAATATTTTTATTACTACGTAGATCATGAATTTATAGTAACAGAAAATACTTTTTTCATAATTGATTTTATTTTAATTTTACCTCATATGTTATAATACAATAATTATAAAATTAATTAATTAATTTATGTGATTTAATACATTTTTCATTAATTATTATTACAATATAAAAAATTAAACATTTCTTGATTTTATAGTGGTTAAATACTAATAATAATAAAACTCTGTGCATCCCTTCACACCGTTTCGGTTGAGACAGCATATTTGATACATGTAACAATCTCGATTGGTCCAACAAGATGATGTATAAAGTCCAAATCGAACTTCTTCTGGCGGTGGACACCGGGGTGGATTAACTGTAAAAAATTAATATTATTTAATAATTTATTAAGATATAATCATAAGATTAAATTATTATATAATATGGTAAATCATCATTTAATTTATGTAACTTCAGTTATCAGTGATGGTCTATCTATTAGAAAGTTATGACAGACGAATTTTGAAATAATTTGAATAATATAATTTTAACTCACGATTACGGGCATTTATAATTTGAATAAAAATCAATATAGTTAATCCAGTAGCAATAATTTTTCCTGAAAAATAAAATAAGAACCAATGTTCTTTATTATTGTTCATTCAAGAATTGAGTTATGAAATAAAAGATCAGCACGTACCGATCATGATGATAATGATGTCTGACTATTGCTTCTTCTTTCTTTGCTTCCAATAAACGAAATTGGACAATAACTCTAATGACTTCAACAACTTTATTTAAAACTGGAAATCTATATTATATAAAATTTGATTATCTGTTCTTTGTTTATTCATAACCTTTGGCTGACGTGTACATGTGTACCCCTTTTTTAGAGTTTATTTATATTGCTAATTGACGTAATCTTAATAACTATAACCATTAATCAAACTGTTACAGATAGCACCAGAGTGTCCAACACACTTTTTATTTTGTATACATAGGTGTAATTGATATCGATAGTAATAAAAGTAATAAATTAGATGAAAGCAATCGAATATTAATACTTCTAAAATATTCTCTTTGGAATTATCGATTAAAAATAGAAATGCTATGATAGTAGATGAAACGTCTGTTTTTGGTGAAACTCTTAGTCATGTACTTGAAGTAAAAGAAATTTATAATTATTAATTTGAATATAGAAAGAACAAAATCAACAATCAGTTTCTGGTCTTTGAAATATCAAAAAGTTTTTACATATAAGAAAAATAATATTATTTTTATGATTGAATTGTTTGATTAAAAAGCAATGATCAAAGAAAGAATAAATAATTCTATTTTTAATCATCTTTAATTCTTTATTAGAGACGAATTTAGTAGAAAAATTATTAATTTATGCAAACATTAGTTTTCGTTTGTGAGCTTTCATATACACTGAAGCATAAATCTATTTATTATGTACATTCTGAGTACCAAGGTCTTGGATTTAAACACCTTGCATTTAATCCTCTCATAAATGGTAATCATTGCTTATGAATCATACAAAAATGCATAAAATTAAGTGAACACTTTGTAAGAATACTATTTTATTTATTGATTGAAACCATACAAGTATAAATATATGTTAGAGCCTTGATAACAATAAATTAATTTCTTGGAAATAAAAATGGGTTGTTTGGATTGAACTTATGAGTTCCAGGAGAAATGTTGTTAGGCTTCGTTGTAGTATCACTTTGATTGATATGAGATTCGATGTGATTTTTAGGAGATACATTGGTTTCTTTTGGCTCAACATAAGGTAATTGACAGGTTAAAGCACCACACCGGTTTTTGCAGCATACTTTTGATCCTTGGCAGTCACTATCCGTTGTACATGTTGATGAACATGGTCGTCGACCAACAGGATTTCTAGGACAGGATCCCGATTTCCCTATAAAAATATCATTTCATTGATGATCAAATTACAGTGATTAAGTAGTCTGAAAAAACTTTTTCAATGCAGTACAACATTATCCTGAAATAATCTTCATCTTTGCTAATTTAAACTAGAGTTTTTGTATACCATTAGAGACTAAAAATATTCAGGTGTGATATTAAAAAACATGTAAACATGTAGTCCGGTTTATCAACTAGGATATTGATTCCAAAAGGAACTTGTAAATTGCAATTATGAGGTTAAAGAAATTTTCCAATCAATCACTATGTTGAGTACTATATAATTTCCATTGCTATCAAATATGATTAAGATCTTCCTATTTATTTTCTGTATTTGCATAAAAGATTGGTCACGATCTTCATACAAAAGAAAATGACAGACAACTGTTAACGATCGGATATTATTCCATTCTTGATAACAATAAAGTTTCTAGATAATTTTGTATAGGTCAATTGAAATTTTTTTAGCAATAGAAATATTTTTAAAATTGTATAAAATAACTTAAAAGCTTTTATCGTTAATAATATTTTAAAATAACAATAGGACGATAATTTTTAATGTCTCTTATGAGCCTTTAAAAGAATTGATATTGAAAATTTTTCGAATTTCACGAAAAGCTGATACAGCTTATCTTTCATATTTATCTTTTTAACTTGCTTATTACATTTCATGTTTAATATGTAATTTTCTGAAAGCAATTAATGTTATTCATTTCACTCTTAAGCTCATTAAACTTTTCCTATTATTTGAAGTTTAACATTACAAAAAAAAAATGTCATTAATTTTAGAAATATTATATTTTAGAATTAGGTGGTTTAAATTTTTTAATATTTTTTTATACGAGAAGCTAACTTTATTCTGATAAATTACTTAATTTTGTTAAAATAGTTCGGAATTCTATTGTAATTACTCACCACTCAGAGACTCGTCTCTAATTGCTGGTTTAGAACATGTAGACCCTCCACAGATTGTTGGACAACATTTCTCCATACCCTGACAATGTTCATCAACAAAACATGCTTGAGAGCAAATTTTCGTTGATAAAGGAGGAGGGCAAGATCCAGGTTTTTCTTCAAAATAAGTTAATTTAACAAACTGAGAATAAGATTGAGTCGCGATTAATGAAATTATTAGTATCTTAGCAATTATTTGAAGCATTTTTGCAAATTTGCAATCTCGTGTCTATTCGCTAAGAAAAACTCAAGAATTCACTAATCTCGCGGTATTCCTTTACCTCTTATATACACTTCCCCTCCTCCGATGGAACTTGTACTATAAATAAATAACATTGATGAAGGGAAAATTCAATTGTAATTTAATCATAATTTTATTGTATAGAATAAATATTGTACATTGTATAAAAAATACAAAGACGAAGGTTTTGTATTTTTAAACCTTTACACATAATTAATTGATATAAAATGATTTATACTTTTTCATTTAAATAATTATTTGACAGTTAGAAATATTCTTACATTCTATCAGTGTAACTTACTTAATCCTATAAAGAATTAATACATAATAGAGTATGTAAAATTTTTGAAATATTTTTCATATCTCTATTGAACATTTCAAAATCTTGGACTAAGTATGAGTCACTTGCTGATGAGTAAGAATATTTTTCATTCTATATCCTAGAATGTAAACATATAAAATATTACATTCTATTTGTGTGATGATATTAACTTATAAATAACAAATAAAATAATTAATATCTAACAATTAAATAAATTTACAATTTTTTTTTGTTGATAAAAAGTATATAATCAGTTGATTATATTTTATTTGATTGATATGGTTAATATATTATGATATATGTCCGAATTATAGTTTATTGACTTTACATTTAAATAGAGTTATTCAAATAGATGGACTGCATCATTCGGAGTAAATTTGTTCACTTTTTAGCTGCAGCAACTGTAAATAATAATAAGATAAATATTTGAATAAGTTATTTGTAATAATTTACACTTAATAAATAACATGGCCAGTTTGATTAATTCTGAAGATCTTTAAGTAAGAAGCTCAAGAATAAATAATGAAAACCAGTATGTAAATGCATCAAGTGTGCACATATTAAAAATAATAATATTCGTTAGTTATTCATTCATGTAATATGAATGGATGAAAAATTTACCGTGCTATCTCATAAAACACACCTCTTCTTTGCATTCAAAATCAATATTAGTATAGAACAAATGTCTCATGAGGACTATGGAAAGTTTCAATAGCATTCAAGGTAATAATAGAGATCTTCATTTCATGTGTGGCCAAGTTAACCTATGATATTTACCTCGTGGTGGAACAGGCGGTGCTGGTGGTTTTTTAGGAATCATCCCGACAACTTTTGGGTCTTGATCATACGGTTGAATATTCATGTATTTGTGAAGCCGTGGTGCATCTACAACGTCCACGTCCAAGGATATACTTTGTACGTGATCTGAGTTTAAATGAGTCCCTTGAAAGCTTTCAGAATCATTCTGTTCTATGATTGCTTGATTTTCGTTTATAACCTTCACAGACTCGTTATTTTGTATTTTAGAAATGTCTAAGGTCGTATCGTATTTTCCATTATTACATGGACTATCATCATTGTTATTATTATTAATATTACTATTACTATTGTTATCGTTATTTTTATTAGTATTATTAAGATTATTGTTTTGGAGATCATTTAAAGGAATATTTGCAGGTGTTATGTTAATGTAATCGAGAGGAACATGAGTAGGAGGAGATGGTGGGGTTGAGGGGATCGATAGATGATTCATTTCTTTGATTTCCTTGTGATTATCAATGTTTTCGTTGATGTTGATGTGATTTTGCTCTTTAGGAATGCTTGTAGAAGCAGGAAAAGGATGGTCGCAAGGCGAGCAGGGGGTTTTTGGTTCAATTGCTGATCCATCTGGATTGTAAGCTGCAAAATTCGTGTTCATTATTAGCAAATCGAGAGATTAAAATTGAAAGGAAAAAATAATAAAATAGAAATTTTTAATTAAACTTACAATGAATTGGCAATCCGGAAACTGGGAAAGATATATAATACTGATCAGTAGATCCAGCGGAATTATTCCGACGATGTTCTTCAGAACATTGGGAAGATGATCGTGGTGAGGGCGTATAGCGCATCGGAGAATATCTGCCAGTAAATGGTTTTGGTGCTGGTGGGATTTCGTATGCCATCATTCCACTTTTGTCTTCTCGTATATTACGAAGCTACAAATGAATATCATTAATTAGTTTTTTTATTAAATTGTCTTTATATACATAAGAAAAATCAATACTTAGAAAAAAAACTACTCACTCTTCTGTCTTCTGTGTCAGAATGAGTTCCACTGTCACCAAGGCTAGTGCCACTGCACCCACTGATAATACTCATCCGTCCAGATGATGAAGAACTTGATAAACTCTGTAAACTTAAGCTACTGATAGGTCTTCGATCACTTAGACTTTCATTAGATTTATCAGTCTTGCTATTTGTTGATGCTGTATCATCATCTTGGCTATTAGAGTCTTTAGGTTCTTTTTTAATTTTGCTGAAGAATTTTTTTACCCTCTCAAAAGGTGTTGGAGTCTTCATCTCTTCTTTTAATTTTTTTTGTATTCTTTCATACTCATCTCTCATTGCTGTTAATTGCCTTTGTTTGTCTTTAAAACTCTGTTGAACATCATTACGGTTTCTCCAATTTTCAACTAATCTTTCAACTTCACCAATTGTAAAGACATTATTCTTAAAATCATTTATTATTTCTAAGAGTTCATCCTGAGGTCCTGGTGGATCTCGAGATTTATTCCCTTGATTAGAAAGAGACCTCGGTAAACTTCCGACATTTGACGAGTTAGAGTTACTGTCTTCTCGACTGATTGTGTTATCCTTTCGCATAGATAAAGCTGATGATGGTTTCAAAGCCATTAGTGGAGCTGTCACCGGTGCTGTAATTGGATTCGGAGTTTTAGGACCTAAATTAAATAGAACTTAATTAATACCGATACAAAGAGATAAAATAAATTGTTTATTGGGCTTCTTGAGGCCAGGAATCATTATCTTACCAGCAGGATGCATTTTCAAGTAGCCCTGAAGTGGTAGATTCAAGCTATTTGCATCAAAACCTCCTAATTGATTAGTAATAGACCCAAGGACAGGAGTCGGTGGTGGTACAATTGAATAATTCATCTCGCCAGTGGTTGGCGAGGTCGGATTTGGTGGTGGCAGTTGCGGTGGTGTATTTGTTATCACAGCAGTTGTAATGACTGGTCGAGCAGCAGGTGGTACTAAGTAAGCCTCACTTAGCGGTCGTGGTTGACAATAGTCTTCTTTGTCTTGTTCGTTAGTGTCTGAATTATTTGGTGGTGTACTCTCATTATCTAAAATAAAAAACAATATCGAATATAATGGAATACTTTAATTAAAATATTTTTCAATGTAAGACAAACATAATAAAAAACTCACTCGCTCCAGAACCAGATGTGTTTTCGCTGATAACTTTTAAGTAGCTGTACATGTTCGTGAACTCATTCATTTGCTAGCTCGTAAATTAAATTTATCCAGAACATAAAAGATAAAGAAAACATTAGTTAGATTGGATAATCGATCTCGTAGGTGTAATAATATAGAATTTAAGGATTAAAAATAAATCAAGAGTATATAGATAATAAATAGATAGACGTGTACCATGTAGCCACGAAGTTGATGAGCCAATTTAGCGTGTCCAGCTTGCTCTGCTAGATCTGCTGGTGTAAACTCTGAAACATTTTTCAGGTCACAAGCTATTTCACCACCAGGACAGTCTAGTAATTGCCAAGCAAGTTTTTCTAGTCCAAAGCGAGCTGCAAAGTGGAGGAGAGTTGGATATTCTTCCGGACCTAGAAAATGAATTTATATTGGAAAAATTAAATTTCTCAATAGTTTTATAGTAAAGCTTACCCAATAATAATCCTTTACGAGATTAATAGTAAACAGAAATTTTACTGTAATAAAAATAATCATAAATTTTATAGTAAAATAAAACTTACTGATAATATTTCTTTGTAGAGGAACTGATCCACTGGGAGTAGCCAAGAGATGAAAACGTGGAGGTAAATTTTTTTGGAATGCATGGACCATCCAGTTATCTAATTGCTCTCGGTCTCCAGGATTAAACCCAAAGGTCTAATAAACAATGAGGTCAGTAATTAAAAAAGATGAATTAAATTAATGTAATGAATTATTAGATAATTATTCAACTAAAAAGCGGACATTATCAACAACTCTAGAGAAGAAATGATAAAGTAATGAGCAAGGGGAAAAAATAAGAGATTTTCTTTAATCTTTCAATTTATTTTTAGTTTTAATCTTACCTGGCACATGAACTCTAGTGGATTATCGTGTGCTCGAAGTATCTGGTCAAGTTCTCGAAGTCTACTTTCACATTTGACTTGACGGACTCCTTGAGGTTTTCCATTAATGATAACTCGCACTCCAACAAGCATTGAAACTTCTAAGCATCGTTCAGGAATCGAAAATTGAAGGGTATAGGGATTCCGTTTTTTCACTTGATTTATTTCTATTCCATCACCGCAACGATCCACAATTACGTTAATGGTATCTTCTGGTCTCAGAGGATCATTTAGGATAACGAGTATTCTGTTTTGGCCCTGAAATAAAAAATTACAAAGAAGTTGAGTGTGATTTCGTCTACCCAAACTAACAACTCTCTATTTGGTAGCCGTAATACTCCAGACCAATTTATTTATTCCTAGTTAGAATTATCGATCTTTTATAATTGAAAAAAAATACACAGTTATAAGCACAATATGAATATTGTAACTGGTTTTAGTCACGATATTTTTAATTTAAGTCATTAAGCTAATTTGATATATTTTTTATTTTTAGACTTTTAAAAAATGTGGCTAAAAATCATAACTATCAAGCGCAATCAAATTAAAAAAAAAAAGTTTTAATGCACTTATGACTTTTAAAAAGGATTATAAACACATTGGGCTCATATTTTAAATCATTTAAAGTTCTTTTTCAAATGTCACAATAAAAAAAATCTTCAAACAAATATGAAAAATATAAAGTCTTGAGCTTTTATTTATTTTATTCACAAATAAAAGCCTTGTTAACTGATGTTATTTCTACTAAATATTAAACTTCTGTTACACCATCAGTGAAAATAAAAAAGAAACTATAGAAAAAAATTCAAGGTTTTGCTTTACCATTTTAACTTTTTTCGGATGAACTGAAAATGTCGTTTTGTCACTCTTCAAAGCTGGGGCTGGAGCAGTTCCTAAAATAGCAACAGCAGCACCAAGAAATTGACCAACAAAAGTTTCATCTTGGTCCTTGACAAAGAACTTTTGCCACTGGGAGTACGAGATGAGGGCAGTCTTTTGGCTTTCAGTCAAGTGTCCATCATGAACTCCAAGCATCATAGCGAGCACACGGTCTGGTGTCAGTTGTTTAGCAAGAGTAGATGCTTGTTCAGGTTTACTGGAGGCTTTTTCAAGTAAGATCGGACAGACAATGATAATCTGCAGTCTTGCTTTGGATATTTTCTCTTGTGTTGATGATGAAATGGTAGCTGCATCTTCCACTGTTACATGTCTGACTCTGTAAGAGCAAAGAGCTTATTAATGGAATGTAAATATAAGAGCTAATGCTATGCAGACAATGCATGATTTTAAAGAGGCACATTGTTGATAAAAGCAAGAAATTGGAAGTTTGAAAAAGTATGAAAGCTTGTTATATGTTTGTAACATAAAACTGACTTGAAAGGCGGGCGTCCCTGCTGTCTGCTGATTTGCTCAAAGCAGGCGGTGAGGTAGTTGACCCAAAGCGTTGATGCTTCACTGTCTTTACTAGAAATGAATATCACATCTTCTCTTTCTTCCATGAAACTTGCATTTGTACCCTCTAGCTTTGTACCACCGCTTCTGCTTCTGGAACCTGTAGATTATAATCCACTACTGAGTAAAAATTCAACAAAAAAGAAAGATGAAAGGATAAACAAAGTGAGAGATTAAAAGCAGATTAGTCAATCTTGTAGATGACTTTAATGCTTTTATGTTTCATATTTCACTGTTTACATGCATATATGTAATCAAATTCAACTTGCATTAAATTTTTTTTCCTACATGACAAAGAAAAATTTTTCTTCTTTATAATTTACTTTATTTTTTCTTTCATATACTTAAAAGGGATATAAAGAATCATACAGGAAAGAAATGTACTGAAGACTTTTATAATATGCTTTTAATGTATTTAAAGTGATTCATACCATTGTTATTTACATAATTATTCAAGAATTCAGTATATTTATGTAGACATCTTTTCACTAATTTCTAAGGTCTTTAGTAAAGATAATAATATGACAAATGTACAAGCAATGCGTCAGAAGCGATTATCAATTCATTGAATATTTGAACAAATATTTCAACTCATAATAAGACTTTCATTTTATTTGAAATCATTGTAATGAAAAATTTTTATGTCAATATAATTGAAGAATATTATAAAAAACCAAGACAATATGAATTAAGAAATTACAAGTTAATTAATAAATCTTTTTTCCAAACTTGAAAAATAGTAATAATTCACAATTAAATTACAGATTAATTAGCACAGCTATGAGATTTCTTATCATCACAATGAATAATAAAGTAAAAAAACAGTTTGAGGAATGCTTGGGGTTGATTAATTTCTTCTGCCACTTTATCTTTCATTTTGAGGGTGAAATAAAATTCCCAACGGATATGCCACTCCCTCATAGATACACACGTTAGGTCATTTAACTTTAAGATAATTGAAACGCGTTTGCTTTTAAAAAATATTACACGGTTGTTGTCATGAAATAGATTATTTAACAAAGTTAAAAAAATAATTTTCATTAAAAAAATTCAAATAAATACTTAAATTGTTTATATTCATTAATAATTAATCTTATTATTTTTTATTAAGACAAATGATAAATTAAAGAGTATTAATGAACTAGAGAAGAATAATGAATGTTTGTTTTGGTTTTTTCATTTTTCTTTCATCTATTTTTTTATTTTAACTAGAGTTTAAATTGCTTTCTTGCTCTCTTTGCTTTTACTGTCATTCATATCAGCGGCAGATGCGTTTATTTACTTATTTCTTAACAACTGGCAGGGAAAAAATATTGTTATTTCTAGTGTGGGAGGTAAAAGATCCCCCTGGTTTCTCATGTATACATTTCACCATGACTAAACGTGCTTTTTTCCTTTTGCATATCTCATTCGTTTGTCGGATTCTTGGGAGTTAAGTGGGATTGCGATTTATCGATAATTCTAACAAAAGATTCATTGTAGTGTCTACTCTACTATACTCATTGTACAAAAAATTACTTTGCACTCTGGTTTATCATGCGGTTATAGAAATTATATGAATGGAATTATCTTTATAACAATTTTTTCAAATATAACTTAGAAGTTTGATTAATAATAAATCACTGCCGAATTTTTCGACTCAAATTCTTTATCAATGAATATATTCTTTCTTGATTTATCAATATTAATTGTGAATAAAAATATAAGAAATATTTATTAGCTCAATGAATGAGGAAGAAGATAATCACTCACGCGTTACTAGACCAGAAAGATCGAGGAAGTCCGGTCTTCTTCGTCTTCTAGATCGTGGAGTTTCACACTTAGTTATCGTTAAAATGCTTTCAGTTGATGAATTCATTGTAGGCAATTTTGTATTATTTATTTAATTAATAATTAATTAAAAAATAATTATAGTAATTTTTTTAAATTGTAAAATCACTGGTCTTAATTGATTTGATCACGTGAATCGAAAACACACCATCAGACACTGTCGTAAGATTCTTTTCGTTAAACGTTTAATCAAAAAAATGAACGAGACGTAAAGTCAACTCCGGATGCGGAGTCTCGACTGTGGTTGATGAAGACCCTGATGAGATTCCACCCGCAATCCAAGTAAGCCGTAAAATCGTGACACGGACCGTTCTCTATTGTTTGCCGAGACCAGACTGGCTACTGCGAATTGGGTGATGTCCATAATGATAAATTGAGTCGTGTGACACGCGACTGGAATAATTAATCAAACACCGGTAGTGCATGTGTCTTCTTTATGGACTTGTGTATGTCATTGGCAATGCGTCGACGACACTAATTAATTTTATTTAATAAAATACACGTCTCATATCATTATATATATGTATATATATATAGTAACGATTAAATAATAAACACTGTAGATCCCTATAATAAATATTCTAATCTTTTAAATTTTATCAAATTTTTTTAAGTGTTTTTGTGAGTGGAGTTTGCTTTTATGGTAGAGTCTAAGATCACAAATTTCCCTCTCTTCAAAACACTATCATTTATTTGTTTCCTCTATGCTTAGATTCCCTAGAATTAATTTATAAATAAATCTGTTAAATAGAAAATAACAATTTATTATTTTCCCTGTTATATTAATTTTCAAGATTTTTATCATTCATTAATAATTATCAGTAAACGTTTAATTAATAATATTTGAAATTTAAATTTTCCTGTTCAATATAATTTAATAATTTTTTTATTTTGATTGCTATTAAAAAAACTAGATATTCAGTACCAAAAATTCCATGCTCCAAAATGATTATTTGTCCTGTTAATTGTTTATTTAATTAATTCGTATTTTCGATATGATTAACTGCTTAAATAGTTAATTAAATAAATAATAATATCAGCTAAATTTACAGTATGAGAGATAATTCCAACTAAAGCAGTATATAAGATTATGTTATTAGTATTAATCTAGCTTTTGTGTCTTCAGCTGAAGATATATTTAATTTAATTAAGAGTTGATAGATTTATTTACCAAAATATGCAATGCTTCTTTCAGCATAGCGATTTTCTTCTCGCATCCGCATGTTCTCTCGCGTCACACTAGAAGACACTATGTGAAGATTTCTCTAACGATCTCTTTACTGTCTCTACTACTATCTCTCTTTCTTCAGTTTCTCTGAACTCCAATGAGCTAAGAGCTTCTGCAAACGGCTTGCATCTCTTCAATTGAAACGAAATGAGGCAATTAAAGTTCCAGTACAACAGTTGCTTTCTCTTTTATAATCACATCACTCTTTTGAGACTCTTCAAATTGCTAATTGTTAAAACATTCGCTGTTAAAATACACTGCGAAATTATTTTTGCTCATGAAAACTTTCAATTTCTTTTGACCTCCATCGGAAAACAAAGATTGATTGTTTATGTTTGAAGATATCACATAATTAAAAAAAAAATTTTTTAAATCAATTTCGATCACAGTTCTTGAAGAAAAAAAAAATAAAACCAAAAACGTCAATAATTGAATATTAATGAGATTATATTTTTCACAGAATGAACAGCCCACGCGAACGTTACACGCGGAATGAATGGCTTGAAGCACGAGGACCGAAGGGTCGAGGAAGGGCGGGAGCAATGAGGCTCTTTGAATGGATGCGTGCGCAGTTGTGAAGCTGCGCAATAGATCACTGAGTCGGTAAGTAAGTGTTTTTTCAAATATTTAAAAATTTTGACTATCATTAAGATAAGTTAAGCATGAAAAATACCAAGAATAGACTTTAAAACATACCAACAGACTAAAGAAAATAAATAATAGATACCAGATCTACTCTCTTTGCAGTAGATAAAATAATAGATTCTTCCAATTTTCCTGTCAACTCTCATCATATCACAGAAGCCTGTGCAAATATCTTTCACTGAGGATGAGTATTTTGTTTAAGTTGGAAACTTGTGAAAATGTCTCGAGACGATAATATTGTATGTTGCTAAATATTTTTATTGCTCCAATGTTTACTCAATATGAAGACCCTGGATTTAATGGAGTTAAGAATACAGTGAAACTATTGAGGTCTGCTTCAAATTCCCCTAAATATTCTCTAAACTCCTGACCATATTGGGAGATATTACTTCCTGTCGTTCTTATTACTTTAGGCAATAACGTTGAGGAACGTAAAAATGTCTGATGATACTGGACAACTGTCTCATATTTCCGCCGACTCGGCTCATCGTTTGATGCTTCGGTTCATAGCAAAGATAAGCCGAGTAGAATGTAATGAGTGAATATGTTATTTACATAAAAACAAGAAATCATAGACTTCTTTTATATTCTTTTTCATTTTATTTCTCGCGATCTGTTTTTTTCTTGATTCTTAGTTTCAGTGAGATAGGGTCCAAGGGTCAAGAACTTTAGAACTGTACGTTTGTAGACTAACTTCTCTTGTCCCTTTTGGCTTAACGCAAAAATTGGCCACGTTCAATTAGAGAATTAGACGGGTTATGAGTCACAGTCTTTGAATGTAGTCTGCGTTTTAAAGCTTAATAAAGTTATTTTTTATGTGGATTTGAAAAATGTTAGTTTTGACGTTTACAATGGTGATTAACAGTAGTTTTATGTTAGTAATAAGTTATTTACTACCTTATTATAGTTTCTTTTTTAGAGATGTGCTTTGAGAGAAATCTTTGTACAAATAGGGTCAGCAATTAAAATTGATCATGAAAAATCATGAATAATTATTTAATATTTTCAAAAATTAGTAATATAAACGGCCAAAATAATTTTTTTAAATGTCCAGTAGACTTTATCATCAAGTTTGTTTTATAGCTTTATATCACTTGGAGAAAAATTTCATTCAATTGAAATAAATAAAAATAAATATTTGACTCCAAAAGTCATAAATTTTGTGTAGTTCGTATCTTGAGGTGTAATAACTTAATTTTTTACTTAAAATAAGAGAATTGATGTTCAAGTTTATGAGAAAGTATTTCAAAAACACTTTTATTTTGAAAGCAAATTACTAGTTGAGCTACTATAAATTTTTTTTTCAATGTGTATAAACCTCAAGCGTCAACATTTAAGAGTTTCTATTCATCAAACCCTAAAAATCTAATCTTCGTGTAATTAATTAATTATCAAACTAATAACAGTCATAATGATTGAAGTGAGTACTTAATTTTTTGGAAAGTCTACTGTACCCAGTAGTCTCATAAATGAAATAATTAAATGAAACAAATTTTTTCTAAATTGTCTTAGGATTTTTTGCTGTAAAATGAGTAGGCATATGTTTCTTACGATTCATATCTGGGGATTTCTATAAATATAATTCACTCGACGTAGCTAAATATGAGCGGCAATAAAAAGGCGTATTAGCTTCGTGCTCAAGTCGACGCTCAATCTGTCGTGATTTCATCTACTCTTTTTGCTCTATAATACCCACAGTCCACTTGATACTTTTACACTATTAGATACAGTAGGCTATAACTCATATGTACACCACCATGACATGCTCAATGTGTACCTACATGAGAGCAAAACATTCCTCATGCTCATCCAGCTGAGAATGATGAAAATCTTGATATTGGCAGAGGATTTTGTTGGATTAAAATTCCTCTGTAACTGCATATCATTTTCACCAACAAAAAATTCCCATCATAACATTTATATTCATTACGACCGTTAATAAAATCAACGTCATCATCATCGTGAATAAAATGAAATAGAATGACTATGTGATGACAATATTTGTATAGAACTCGGTTAATTGCCAATTATTAATCAATTTAATGTAATGAATTAATTCATCAAATTACATAAGTGTCTAGTGAATATCATTGTGATCTAAATTTAGCAATTAATTTTTTTTTTTAGATTTTTAATTTAAAAAAAAAATCAATGCATGGTCAGTTAAAAAAATTACTACCTAGATATTTTTAAAATAACATATTCATCAGTTATTCAATTAATAATAAAATTCAATATTTTTCTGTAAATTTTACAGAGAATTCAATTTATCACTTACGAATATCGTAAATGTTATTTTAATATTAATTTCTTTACACTTTATTTTTAAAATTTTCCAAATTATTTTTCAGGTCACTAGAATTTATTATTTAATGAAAAGCATAAAAACAAATCTTCAGCTCTAATTAAATAAAAATTTTAAATTAATGCTAAAAAAGTTTTAATTAAATATTCATAATAAAAAGTTGGATAATATTCTGGTTTGGAATAAGAATACAAAATAAAAGTCATAATCAGAAGAGTGATGTAACTCGTGTTTAGATACTGTGAAAAAATATTGATATATTTATTTAGAAGTCAAGGTATGCCCCTGAAGTTGAAATATATATTTCATCTTCGTCTTATCGATTTTTGATGCTACTCAGCTTATCAGCTTATGGAATTATCTATTTTCACCGAGGTAGGTCGAGAAATCTCTCTACAATCCCCACAGATTGAACACAATTTTCCCAGCATTACTAAGTAGACAGTGCGTGGGTGGTGTTTGTCTACGCCCGATGAATAAAAATTTCAAGTGGAAAAAATAACAGAATGAAGAAAAAAGGAAGAAAAAAAAATGGAAAGATAATGAAGAAGCAAATAATAAAGACGAAAACAATAGAAAGTAAAGGTACGTCATGATTACCTTTTACCTTTATCCTACTTTTGTGTAGAATCAACAATGCTGACAATTAAAGATGTAAATTTAGATTTATACAATAAAAAATTATTTTTATTTATTTTTTTTTCATTGAGGGAAAAATAAATTTTGTTCATAGCTAATAAACAAAATATGTTGTATATAGAAAGAAAGACAGAATGATGAGTTAAAGCCATTACTGCAGCAGAAGTGATACTTAAAGTGCAACGATCGTTGTATAGTACTTTAATGGTGAGAAACGAAAAAAAAGACAGAAAAGTATAGGACACATGATGAAAAAATGATCTTGTGACATCGTGATAAAAATAATGAGTGAGCTTATAAAAAACAGAAATAGTCTAGGGTGTGTCGACTTCTGAGAGAATAAAATGGACTGAAATCTCGTGATTCACAGTCGTTTAAGACTAATATTTATGGCGAGAAAAAATTAATTTAATTTATCATTTTTTATTTTTATAAAATTTTTCTTCTGGGAATGTTGAGATTTGAGGGAACCACTTATGTAAAAATACCCCAATTCCACTCATAAAATACTACTCGTATACGTTGTATACTATTTTTTCAACGTTTTATAAATTGAAAACATTCATCAAAATGTTTGAAGAGAAATTATTACAATAAATATTTTTTTATAAATATTATTTATTCACTCTTGAAAATTTATCAACTTTTCTAAATATCATTCAAGTGAAATTTCCTTTGAAAATAATCCATTAATATTAATAATTTTTTTCAAACAAAATTAATTCTAAAAATAAAAAGAAATTAAAATGAATAAAAATAAGCGTCTGATTGCTGCGAAAATGATGTGATAAGTAAGTGCAAATGGATTTGAGTAATTGAGAGTTAACTTCCGGTTCTCCGACAAATCTCCGGTGCCGGACATCGTGGATTGAGCCATCAAAGCTTGTTACATGTTTGCGAAGTGTCCAACGATAGCTAGACATGTACTAGTTTTATTTGAATGATAACAAGGAAGAGAGCATGGTATATTATCAAGGCTTTCTTCTTTGTTGTTATCCACATTTGAATTTATTCTGGTTTCATCTCCGGAAATCATGTTTATCCGTTAAAATTGTCCTTTTAGTAGGTTGGAAGTCGTTAAACATTTTATTATTCCCTATTGCGAGATGAATTATTACTTAGAGAGGTATTGAAGAAGATTAAAGATTCCATAGACGAGACTTCCTTTAGCTCTTCAACGACGATGTGACCGGAAACTACCTTTCCATGAGGAAGTTTGCGACACGTGTCACTTTTGATATGACATTAATTATAATCATTTCACCAATTGTTAGCTTTCTCCAGTGATGATAAAAATATCTCTTATTGTCAATCAATAATCCATTTTCCTCTGCCTCTCTTTTGTTCGGAAAATCATTCGAAAAATTAACATAATTTTTATCAAGATAATTTCTAATAATGTTTCAGGTTACTTTGAATGCATAATCGATTGGTGGCCTATCCATAATTTTTAGTTATAATTCTTCACACGAGTCACGTCTACAAGAGAGGAGCATGCGATCCGATTATCCAACGGAAGTTTCTTTCGAGCGTTACCTCCAACCATCTATGGATATGCATTTCGTAACAGTTCAAACACAATTGAATTTAAATCAAGTTAATCAAACATCTATATATTTTTTCTGGATGAAATAAAATACTCTCGTTCTATTTTCCATTTCGCCGGATATGTCGTTCGCCTGTTTCATTCATGAATGTAAACATATCCACATGCACGTGGTGATTGGAGTTCTTGTACTTTCTACCCTAAACTCTTGTGCCTGGAAGTAAGAGCGGAAGTGCCAGGGTTTATAAAGTCCATAGGACGCACGTGTTACTTACGTTACACTACTGTGTTGCTTTATAACCAGAACCTGCACAGTTTCCTCTATGGTTTTTAGTAAGAATTTCAACAAACTTACTCCAATTTCTCGAATTCTCCGTGACTAATATCAGTCATAATAAACAATTATCCTCTCTATCTAAAATTAACCCCCATTCATAACTGAATTGTTTTTGAGAATAATTTTAGTTGATATTGTTGGTGGATTATATTATATTCTCAAAGTTTATTTTGCTGAGTGATAACAAAATTGTTTGATGTTGACAAAGACTCAAATGATTGACAGAATTTAATTATAGGTTTATAAAACATTCAAATTTTAATTAGCTTTTTTAATTATCTTCAGTATGAATTAATTAATCAGAACGACAGAACTTCTAATTATCTGATTAGCAATCAAGTGATTAAAAACAATAGAACAGAGTTTTTTTATGAAACTGCTCATTGACTTGTGAAAAGACTTTGCTGAATAGTTGAAATGATAGTATTATTCCTCATGGAATCAGTTTATTACTTTTTTCCAACCTTAGTTTTATAGAAGTTAACAACTTTACTTGGTAGGAAAGAGATTTGGTAATTGATTACTATTGAATTTATTTTTCAAATTATTCCACATCATTTGTGATTGAATAATTGGTTGGAATTGACTTTTATCAACTTGTTTGAGTTGAACATACCCTTTTTGAAAACTAGAATGAATATTCAAAGATCAGAAAATAATCATCTCTACATAATTATCATTCAACTCATATCAAAGCATTTCTTTGTAGTCATATAAGATTTTTGTCTATTTTATTACGTATTCCTATAGTTGAATAATTTACAAATCTTCTACAATTAAAAAAACTTAGATCTAAAATGCTTTTTCAAAAATAGTGTGATTATTAGTATCAAACCCAAGATTATTTTCTACCAACCTATCTCTCCATTTACAATTATTGTGCTATCCCCAATTTAATTAGTCTCACGGTTTTCATCACAAAGTCACTTTAGTTGAAACTCTCAGGCGAAATTCTCTCAGTACATAGGCTTAGTTTGCAATTTAATATTTAATTTATCTATTTAGATTTTCTAGAGGGTAAGACTAGGAAAGAGCAGTGGATAATAGATTGGATCGATGCTGATGGTAGTAGTGAACATTCAGTGAATACTAACGATTGAGCTTCCGGAGTTGTTAGAGATGAGAAAGAAATATTCTATACCATCCACCTTCTCCAATCATTAGAAGTGAATGCTATGTTTTATTTATGGTTCAATAAGTCAACAATCAACGTTCAATTCATTTAAATGAAAATCTTATTATTCATTGAATCCTTTTTTTCACATTTTAAATCACAAATTCTACACTCAATTGACCTGCAATTAATGATGCTTGATAACAATTGCATAAATGCGGGCTTCGACTTAAAGGTACTATGACAGAAATTGCTTCCTAAATCATGGGAACCCTCACAAAGCATAGAGTAGTAATACTGGGTCATATAGTAAGTGGGTTATCTACATGCCCATGTGATCGTCAGGGGCTTTCAGTTGTACCATAAGGGTCATCATTGAATTTAACGCTAGCACTAAGTATAATAAACTCAACTACATGCTTCAAAACTAATTCATTGATTTATTAAATTGTCGATTGAAGGTTTAGTTCTTGAAACATTGTCTTTCATAAAAGCAAGGTAAAATCACACAGAGATAAGATCAAAAGATGAGCTTGCAAAAGAATGAATAAAATTTATTTGATCAATTAAATTGAAGCTTTTAATTCTCAACAACTCTTTCTTGATGCTACATCAATTTTTTGATTGTTGGAAATGAAAATAAAAAAATATATTCATTAGAAGGTACAGTAGAAACATGAATGAGTGAAGCAATTTGTATCTTCTTAATAGCTGTACATGTATCTGATTGGACTGGGCATAAATGTATGTTTCAAGTATGATATATGTTATCTTCATGTGAAAATTTATGTTAAATATAGTTTGAAATGGATTATCAAACTTATCTTATTTTTATGAACATGGTAGTTAACGTTGTTATTAATGTTTTTAAGTATATGATCAAAATAGTATACATTTTTCATCATTTCAGTTTGCTTAACATTGGTATAATTATCGTATTCGTATACAATGTTATAAATTTCTTTAGATCAATCTTGAAAATGAGAAAAAAATTTATGCAGTGTTCATGTTTCTTTACAATTTCCTAATTACAGCTATCAACATATAGCAAATAAAATTCAGATTATTCCATTTTAAGTAATTATACGATTTTAATTCAGCTAATTTTTTTTAATATTTAATTTAGATGTAAATTCATCCTACGGGAAGTGAGGACTTGATCTTTTTGGCTTGAGTTCATCAGCTTGTATTAATGATAAAAAAATACTTCATCAGAAACAGTAATATTGTAGAATTCAATTAGTTTAATTTTATGTTTGATTATAATCTTAAAACATACAATGAATTTTAGTTTTTTTAGAATTCTCGAGTGATTTCGAATCCTTTGACAGATTTGCTTTTGAAGAATATTCAGTCAATGCAATACTTATTTATGAGTATTCAAGCAAATACTAGCAATTATAAATGAATTCTTCTTCCAATTGAAAATAAAATTGGAATTTATGATGCATAAAATTTATTAAAGTATAAAAACTTAATAATGAGTTATGATAAATATTTATTTCAAAATAATCAGTAGGTGATAAAAAAGATCACTTACCCTTCCTGGATGATGTTCTAGGCTTTTTTGCCTTCCAAGCATTTTTCGTTGGATGAACTCCATCAACTTGATCAACAGGTATAGGCGGAGCAATGGTGTCTGGTTCTTTGAGAACAGCATCATTTTGTATAACAGCCTTGGTAAAAATGACAGTACTTTGTTCCTTGCTGCAGAAGGTTCCAATTGAGTGCCTTCTGTTTCCAGATGCCCCATGGGTTGGTAGAGTAGCTGATAAGTTATAATACCTCGCATCATTAACACCCAGGAAAACTTCACCGGTATCATCATCATCATCGTCATGGTCTTTATATCCATTGACTCTGCAATTGACTGCATCCTCACCACAGAATATCATATCATTAGATAAAAGTTCGCTAGCGGATTTAAGCACCCTACGGCGAGTTGGGCAGTTTCTTCTATCATGATCTGAATGTGAGTGAGATCTATGAGGAAGATAAGGAGAAGGAGGAGCAATATCACTTGGTCTGGGGTTGCCTTTGAGAATCTGAAGTGTTCTTTCAGTCTCTGCATTAGAGCTCAAGGACCTGAAGAGACTCCGGAAGCTTCTTCTTGGACCATTCGTATTGCTCATCTGTCGAGGCAACATAGGCTCACATTCTTCTATTGAAGAAATATTCCTGTTATTTTCTTGATGAACCGTAACTGTTGTTACACCCATCGCTGAATTTGATATGCTTGTTCCCATTTTGCACGGTTTTTTCTTAAAAAAAGTTGTAAAACTCCGCGCACTACTTGTTACTGATGGTGATACTGATAGCACTGATAGCTCGGTATCATCTGAGGGCGTAATTGAACCACCCAGTAAGGAAAAGTAAGATGGATTGTCTGTAAACATAATAAATAGAAACTTCACTGAAACCGTGATATTATCATTGATTCTTATTTGATCTATTTTTTAAAAATGTATATTTTTCAAAGAAAGGTTGTTTATTTAACTTAATTATTTTTATCTTTTTCTCAGAATAGATCTTTTTGTTTATTCTAGAAGTTTACTATAGAAGTTTTATCAGGGCCAACAACTGTTGTAATCACTCAAAACTTCATGCTGTTATTGACAAAACCAACTTGTATTGTATTTATTTAAAGTTATTCACACTGCGAAAATTTTATTTGCCCTCAAGGCCTTTGTATATTAAATTTAATGAATTGTGCGTAAAGGACAACAGTAAACTGCTGCGGGTAAATATTTTAGAGGGCCTCAAGATAGTCCCTGAGGGTATGCAAGGCCGAATGTAAGATGAAACCAAGTGGGGATAGACCGGACGTTGCATTTCTGTCCCCACTAGGACATCTCTTGAATCATTGCCACATTGAAATATAACGAAATAAGTCACGAAGGAAGAAAAAATATATATAGAGTTACCGGAAATGCATTTTACCAACCCCAAGATTGCTTTTCTTCGTAGCTTGCGTTGATCGAAATATCAAGGAAGTAAGGTGATCTATTAGGGTGGAGATATTTGGTGACAAAATGAAAAATACATGAAAGTTAAGACGAGATCTTTTTCTTCAATTCGTGCGTTGAATTTTGTAGTTTTTTTTAATGGAAGGGAAATAAGAAAAATTGGTTAGAAGTTTTAAATAGAAGAGTGGAAAAGTTTAACTGATCAATTTGATCCTTGAAGAGAATTTGAGATGTAATTTAAGAAAGAGAGGGATGATGATGGAAAATCTTTGATAAAGGTCGTGTCAAAAGATTTCATCATTTTGGTCATTTTTTTTAAGTTTAGCATGTAAAGATAATATTTGAATACAAAATATTCTGAAGGGAAAAAAGTATTATTTTAGTTGAATATTTTTTATATTAAATTTTAAACTATAAAAGAAATAAATAAACTGTAATGGATACTTGTCGAAAAAAAGCTTTTCAAAGTTTTTAAAAAGTTACATTTCTTCCGAGTAATTATAAAATATTTTTAATTTCTTACAATTCAGTATTTTTCTATGGAAATAAAGTTTCGTTAAAGATTACTCAAGATTTTTCATCTTTAAATAATCCATTAATTTTTTCAGAGTCTCATATATCACGGCAAAAACAAATGTTGACAATATGTTGCAGAGAGGACAAAACCAAATCATTTGCATTGATTAATTATTCAGAGATTTTTTTGACTGTTCAGTTTACTGTTTACTTAGAAAGAAAAAAGGGAGGAATAATTTTTTTTTATTATATCGAAGGTCTGATTCGTCGTATTTACAATTTATTTATAATCTTATGGAAAGTCAAGAGTTTGCTGTTTGATATGTGAGATGCATGTAACACTGAACAAGAGGTAAATACCGACAGGTATAAGATGGAAGTGTGTTGTCAGTAGCCAATCGATGGGAAAAACATGAAGCGGGATCTTCTCAGTAGCTGCGGTTATGCGCTAGCAACGTGATTAGCATTCATAGTAGTAATTTCTTGAGCTGAGACGTGGGTGAGAATTAAATTACCAAGAATGGGAATTAAACTTACCAAGTGCCATCGTTGTTCCCCTTGATTTCTTATTCATGGGACACTTCTTCGTAATTCTGAAAGAAAAAAAGAATTTTCTTATAAATATATTCATATCAATGAACAACAAAACAATCAATTTAAGAGTGAAATTACAAGATTAATGGTATGATTGAGATGATTACATAGTTGCATTGATTTTAAAGCTATTTAAGATGGAATTCAAAGCAGATTCAAGTATATTTGATTGAATGAACACCGAGGTAGAATGAATCTTTCATTCATATCTAGAAATAGATGTAAATATTAAATTTAGCACGGATGCACAAGTGTCGCGAATGTCTCTTAGCTAGATTTGATCTAGTCCATTCACGTTTGGCACCAACTTCTCTTCCTGCTGTTCTTCCGGCTCATTCAGAATTGCTAACTGCACCCATGCATTTATCTTATTTATTTAATTATATAAATACACACTATAAAAATACTGATTTAAGAAATATAAAAATAATAAAAAAATCTTGATTACTTTGATGAAATTGTGATACGATCTAACAATAAAGATTAATATATTCAAAAATATGGTTAAGAATAGTAATTGAGAAAATCGTGCTATTTAATTATTTAAATCATGAGACTACTGAATAAGTAGACCATGCAAAATTGGATGAATTCTAAAAAATTCATTTCTTGCAATTATTGTCATTATTTCAATTACCTATCTTCCTCATTGAATTTACATAAAATTTAATCTCGAGTTAACTTAATTAATTTATTATTCGTTTACTATGTAATTTTGAATTATTGGGTTGAGGTTTAATCGAAAAATGAACTTTTTATTCAATACAGTCAAGTTAATAACTAAAATTAAATATAAATAATAAAATGAGTATACATTTATTTATAATATTCCATGTTTTGTTTAGATTGATAAAAATACTATTTATTTGCTTCAAAGAAACTTTGAAAAGGTTAATCTCAAACAAATGAATAATTGATTAAACGTCACTGAAGTTTATTCTTTTACAGCAAAAAATTTTATCTGTTAATAAGATGAGAATATTTTCTTCACGATTGTTGTTGTTGTCATTTTGGTTGACCTGAAATTCTTGAATCAACTTTGGAGTTTGTTTAAATATGTAGTGCTATGCTTTGTTTTAACAGTAAAGTTTTTCTTGATTCGTGCATTCCTGAATTAACGAAGCATTCAACAATGGACAACGGTGCACTTTTCGTTCTTGGAATTCGCTCAGGAGTGCGGTAAAGAATGTAGGTACACAAAAGTATACAAGGATAAGAAAAGAGAGCGAGAATAAAATAAAAATAAAAATAAAAAAATGTCAAATGGAAAGGGAGTTAAGCGCGTGGAACTATTTTCGGATACACGGGGCTGCTGCATATGAGAAATTGACTTTCGTTCGCATGAATGCAAATTTTGCAAACACAAACTGACTATTAAATGTTATCAAAAATAAATTAAAAAGGTTTAGTCATTAATTTAGACAGTAAAAAAAATAAATGTTTTGTGTTTATTTTATTGAATTTCTTGATTCTGGTTCTCGTTAAATTATATTTGTTTATACATCATCATGCTTGCCAATATGTTAGTCAGGTTCTATAAATAATCGTTAATAACCAATCAAAAAATTCTTCGAAATGATATTTCGTTAAAATTTTTTTTGATGAATGTCTTTTAATTTTATTTCATTATTTGCTTTCAATTGCTAATGTCTTTTCAGAACATTTGCAAATCTATTTATCATCAGAATTTTTAAAATAATCTTTACCGGCACTTCAAATATTTTTGCTATTTATTACAAGACTCTGCAATTTATTGATGTGATTATTTTATTGAACAAGTAATTTTTCAATCAATCGTAATCCTATTATGTCCTATTTAAAAATCCTATAAATACTTCACTAATAATATTTCCGTATAAAAACCCGGAAAAACTTCTCAAATTAAAATGTAATTATAGCAAAGTTCAGGAATGTAGAATCTAAATTTGAAACTTGATCTTTTTTTCCTCATTGCAATCATTACTTAACATTTTTTCGGTCCTTCACTAATGAAAAGTGGATAGATTTTGAAGGGATGTAACGGCGTGCTCAGCATGTGCTATTAATCGACGGGCGGATGCACAAAGACAAAATGAACTGGTGAAAAAAGAAAGACTAAAAAAGAATAAACAAAAAAAAAGGAAGAATGAAAGTTTTCTGACATCCGGATTGACAGGACAGAGAGAAAGTTGACTCAGGACCCTCGAGAAAGAGACTCAGAGACCAGAATATTGGACAAAGAAGGAAAGAAAACATTGCACCTGCGCTTCGGCTTCTTTTATTTTATTTTTTTATCCTCCCACTATACATATAACTTCCGGTGGAACGCGTGCCCTTATTAACTTAATTCGCGCACGCGTCATGCCTTCGTAACTTCTCCTGCATCATGATCGCGTGAACTGCAAGTCTCTACCGATTAAATTGAATCAAAAGCTTGGTGTAATTTTTATGCAATTAATTTCCTCCTCATTTCCTCTGTATTAAATCGCCAATGGTTTAATGTGACCATCAACTTTTTTCTTTAGAATAATTATTCCAATTGTTAGCTTATCTTAATTGAAGATAAATAAAAAATTGTTACTATTATCAATTACGACTTTTTGTGAAATAAAAAAATTCTCTTCAAATTCGCTTTTGAGGAATTTCCTCTCTTCTTTTCCCTAGAGAAATGATGAACGAATGTAATGGTGCAATCACGGGGAAAATTATATTTAATGGCAGAGCGATTGGATTGAAAGCGCTATACTTCAATTGAGGTAACGAGAACGCAGTCCCACGCGAATCTTCATTCAAGTTACTTTGAGTTTTATAAACTTATTAAATATTTTTCGAAATGATTGTGTAACGGTTTTTAACATTTTTCAACTAAACATTATCCTTCTGTTTTAAAAAAATGTGATTAAAAAATTAAAATAAAAATTGACATTTGGCAATTTATTTAATGATTTTTATCATTGTTTGTAAAATAATAAAATCCGTTTTATTGTACAAAAATAGTTATTTTTTTATTGTTCTTATTCAATTTATAATTTAAATTCAATTAAAACTCCAATAATTGATACAATTTGATTTAAACAAATTATTTCATAAAAAATGGTTTTAAAAATAATGTTATACTCTATTTTATAATAGAGTATAATTTTTATTATTATGAAAATATTATACTTCTAGTATTACTTGAAAAATTTAATTTAATATGTATCTCATATATTGAATATATTTCCCTCAAGCTAAAAGGCGAATTATCCAACAATCCTCTGGTTTCATTTATCCGATTCTATCGAAATTTAATAAATTTATATGCAAAAATATTTCAATTGGATTTATAAATTATTTCATTCAATCTCTGATTAATAATTTCTGAGTATTTAAAACGTTTATTTAATTCATTTTTTTTTTAAACATCAAGTAATTATTTTTATCATTATACAAAAAAGATTTCTCAATAATTTAATCCATGTTTATTAAAAAAGGATGTAATTTTTTTCATCAAGAACTAAAAATTTTATTTTATTAATTAATTCTTAATTAATAAAAGAAGAAAAAATCTATTATGAAATGACTTTTACACATAAGGTGTAGCAGAAAACGAAGATGTAAGCAAAGGAGAAGAATAAGAAGAAGAAGAAAAACGTTTGGTTCCCCTCATTTCATTCGTCTCTGGTACAATAAACATGATAACAACCTAACTGTCCCCTATAGGGAGGATGATAATCTCGTTTCAATCATGGTAAACTCTACAATAAGAAGACGAAAACACTGACAATGCAAATAAAAGTGACAAGAGGAAGACGTTTAACAACGTATACAAACGATATTAAATTAATAAATAGTGAAATTAATTTTGATTGACTTTTAACTCGTTCAATAGCATGAAATAGATTTTTTGGACTATAGAGGTGCTTATATTGCATTGGTAAACCATCTGGTTGCGTTCGACTGTCAGTTTGAATCTATTAATACACATGTGTATTCTCAAACCTTCTTCTCACTCAAATACTCGCGTGGATTAATACACTTGAAGAGTTAACTTACCTCTATCATCTGTCAGACTTAAGATTAATGAAGTCTTTTCTATAAAAAATCAAATGATCTTATCTATTTTTATCAGACTCCCAAAAATCCCGGCATTTTTTTCATGTCATTTTCATTCACTTACTTGATTACTCATGACCTTTAAACGAAGAAAAAGTATAAAAGCTTTGTTAAAGCTTTCAACTTTATGAAGCATACCAAGCACTTTTTGTATCCATTTTTATCATAATCTTCAAATTCCTTCTTTTTTACTGACTTTATTTTGTACGCAGCTTTAGACCTTTAAATTCAACAAAATAACTCTAGAAGCTTTGCTTTCTTTTAGCTTTTTAATTCCTTCATTTGCGAGACAAATAATTTTTGTTGTTATTCTTAGGATGAAAAATTTCAATTATGACAAAGTAATAAAGAAAACTAGAACTTTTAAAATTACCAGATGCTTCAAGAATATGTTTATAAACATTTGAACAAACGGTTTGGAGTGTATTTTTAATACTCCCTAAAAACAGTGAATTCCTTCTTTGTTTTCATTAAACTATTCAATACATTCACAGTGGCTTTTAAATATAACACAACAACGCTGAAAGCTTTGTTGGAACTTCTAAATTCTTTAAAAGATCAGTCAAATTTCTCACAATTATTTAAATAAACTATTTCAATCTCTATAAATAGTTAATAAATTGTTTATGTCTTTTTACAATATGAAATTGATCCAAGGCATTGTTGGAGTACCGAAGGCAAGCTAAACATCAAAGATGGTGTGTTTGGAATATCTAAGATAGAATTGTTTTTATTTTCATCAAAGTTTTTTTCGAGATTTCTCAAATTTCTAAAATACTTTTTGTTTATGTTATTAGATTCTTTGGTGGATTTTTGGGATAATGAAGCTTCAATCATACTCAAGATGTTGTGGAGTATTATTACAGAATGGAGAAGAGCAAAGAAGGTGAAGAAAACTTTCTTAAATATAGTAGAGATAAAAGGGTGTTGAAACTCACCAGTTGAGCAGTACTCTAGAGATCGAAGTTTGGAATAATCTCCTTCATTATTTCCACTTGGCCAAGTTTTGGAGTTTTAAAAACAAGTGTTGGCATCGTGTTATTGATTGCTAACACATTCAGCTAACATTGAAACAGTCAACTTTTGAAAACAGGTATTACTTTTTTTCCTCAATTGTTATAACATTTATCCAAGTATCGACTAATTTTTGGATAATATTTTGTTCTATTCATCTGCTAGGTCTAGATGAGTGTCTCGCGTGGTTGCACCAGAAGAGAATACAGGGGCACTCACGTTCACTCGGCACAGCACATGAAGAACTGACAGACGGAAGAGGAAGGGAAGCTAAAGGGAGCCAAGAGCGCGAACATATGAGAAGAGAGGATAGAAAAGACAGAGAAGAAAACGTTGTGCTTTAGACCTCTTGTTTCTGCTCTCCTTCTCACACTTTTCTGTTTCTCTTCTTTACCTTCTTCCCTTTCCTCCACCTTCTTTCGCACTCCTTCTCTTTTTAAAACTACTGACTTAAGACCGAGGGGTCTTGCAAGCATCACCGCGTGTGCCCACCCATTCACCCACGCATCTGGCATCCCAAGACCAAGACGCGCCGCCCATGCGTGGCATCATCAAGCTACCGGTCCTATAAGATACTCGATCATACATACGATCATTTAGGCGGGACGTTTCATCGACCTGTAATTAATATTTAATAATTAACAGTAATCACTATTATTATATTTTAATACTAGATCTTCATTATGTGACTCAATCTTACAGACTTTTTCTCATTGCCTTTTGTGAAGACTAATAATAGAGTTATATAATTACATGAACGGACTTAAAAAGGGTACTGTAGTTCATTGTTCAATTTTTATGGGCAAAGTGTCACTTAAAAAGTTGTTTTAAGAATTTTTGCAGTTGGATTTAGTCTTGTTTAAAACTCTCTGTATGCTAACTTATTTTAACTTTGAGTTGAGAATTTTCTAATGAACTTGATCGTAGAAGTAGTCTTTTTTTGATAAGAATATTTGGATATCAGTGATTAAGGAAATGACCTTATTCATCAAAAGTTTGGGAGTATTTTCCATTATATATTCATAAAAATGTTATGGATAATTAAATGGAATATATATTTTAATAATTTTTGTATTTTAATGATAAGATGTATAACATTTTATGGATATTTTTCATAAATATTAATTTATTTAATCTAGAATTTTTAAACTAAAAGAAAAAATAATATATAAAATTTATATTATACGAAATAAGGAAGCTACATAAATGCATAATAATTTTTTAAAGTATCTTCATTTCAAGTAAATAATATTTAAAAATATGAAAATGATTTCCTTATCAACTTCAACTTACATATTTTATAATATTTTGGTTAAAAATTATTTAATAATGAAAGAACATAAATTCCTAGAGTTAATCCACAGTAACGTGTTCTTAATTATACACATACTATGCACGCACTTACAAAAGTTAAATTGGAATCTAGTTGCAGAAGAAAATAAGCGTAACAGATTGACAAACAAGGCCAATAATAATTAATTGACCGATCTAAGAATAAAATACTATCATTTGGTATTAGCATTTGGAATAATATTTGTTTTCATTCTTTCATGTAACTTTGATGAAGATATGTGTGTCAGGAAATGTGTAAGAAGGATAAAAAATTATATATATTTCATGGGGCGAGCAAGTGTAAAAAGCGAGGGAAGGATGTTCTTGAAAATATTGGCAAGGTCGAGGGTGCATACTCATGCGTGCGTGTCTATCGTACACATGTGCATCCGCATATAACAAACTAAAGTTCTTTTAAGCGTACATCATTTATATTATTTTTTCCAACGTTTCTATTATTTCAAACTCATTTTTTAACACTTTATCTCTACCTTTGATCTATAGTAAATACATTTCTATTTATAAAATATACAGATTTAATTATTTTCTTATATGAGTAAATAAAAAATATTTATATAATAAATAGAGCTTTACCTAAAAATTCATTTTTAACTTTAATATTCGACTTAAGTAAAGCTAAATAGGGTTACTAATACGCCAGTTAGAGCTTTCAATCTTTCAACCCGTAGACAAAGTGTCTATGTGGAACCTTAAAGTGTCCAAGAATGTCCACTGTGTCTGTTGAACACGTGTCTGTCGCATGTTGGCGCGAAACTACAGCAACAAACTCTACCCTCGTGCAGCCTAGACCTCAAACACTTTTGCAGACGTCATTTTGTAACCCAGAGAAATGGTAATATTTCTTCTACAGACTTTCATTTAAATTGACAGAAGATTATATTGCTTATTCTTTTTTTTCAGATTAATTTGACGCACAGAGAAGACACAAGAATGAAGAAGAATTATTCCAGCACAGTAGATGGAATTACAGATATAACGATATTGGATAGAATTTAAATAATTGCTATTTAATTACTTGCTTCATACAAGAAATAGAGTTGTGTAAATTACACTAATAAAATTTACGACGTTTATTTTTATTTTCTTTACAGTAGCTATTGTTTTTTCATTTACTGTTTTAATTAATTATTATCATTTATTGGTTCTGGTTTATAAAAATCAATAGTCTTAGAGTATTCATAGAACTTTTTTTTTATAATAATAAACCTCAAACAGTTGATCATGTAGTATGATTTCAAAATCATACGAAAAATTGCTTTTTTATCTCCAGTACTAGTAATTTATCAAAATTTACCACATACTCTTTTCTTTATGTAGAAACTAATTTATATCGCACGGCAGGATGCAGAAATACTTCGAATTCGTAATAAGATCCTTAAAAGTAAAATAAAATGAATATGACAATTTAACGAGATTATAAATTAATTACTTTTTGTGCTTATTAATTTACGATGTTTTATTTAATCCCACTGATACGCCTACGCCACACTTTCAAAAGCATTTTTGTATCTATTATTTGCATAGAAATTATGCTAACTGTTCATTCTACTCGCTAATTTTTACGTGCTATGAATAGAAAAGGAATTAATTCAAGGTCATGGCTATTTAAATTATTGAATCATATCAATTTATTTTGTTTATTAATTTTAGTCAAATCGCAATTAGAAGAATCGTTAAATAAATATTGAATTTCAAATATGAAAACTGATATTCTTTTTTCTTATCCCATTTAACTTTTAATCAGCTTAATTTCATTTCTCATAAGTTAAGTGTATTATCCTGTAATCGAGAATGCATGAGCATTTTTTTTAATGGAGTATATACATATACTATAGTTAGAAAGCTAATTAAAATCGATTTTTAAATTATAAATTCTTTAATAAACGAGAGTATTTACGAATTCAATAAATCATTACTAATATAAAATATGATAGTAAAGAAAATATTGAAAGAGGAAATAAGTATTTGTTTGAAATTTAATTAAATATTAAATTTAAGATGAATGTAAGAAACATAAATAAAAAGAGAAAATAAAATTGAGGTAAAAGTGGATAGATTATTGCAGAAAAAGGAAAATAAATTTTGTAAAAGAAAAATTTAATAACAATGAAAATATTTTCTAGAGGGATTTTATTTTCTTTCTGATTGAGGTAGGTAAATAATATTAAAAAATTTTCCATTAATGTGATATATTTCTATGAAACTTTTTACTTTAAAATATCATACGTTAATTATAATAAATTTAATAAAAATACTTATTAATAAATTTATACGGCGTAAATAGTTAATTTAAAGCAAAATAATGTTTTTTTCAAGAAATCCAATGAAAATGTGTTATTAAGTAAAGTCAAGGTGAAAACTTCAACACTTGATTAACTCGAAAAAAAATTTTCTCCCTAACAAAAAATTTCAATAAAGTTAAAACAAATTCCGGATATTGTATAATACTTCCGGATGATTGACTTTAGATTAAAAGTGAAATGGAGACAATTTTTATCTTATAAATGATATTATCTTGATTGCTCATCATCTCAACTTTTCCACGCAATTATCTAATGGAGCGTGAAAATGAAAAGGAGTCAACGAAGTTGATCGTCCTAATTAACGTTCAATTGCATCAATAATCTCTTATAACGTTATAAGTCATCAGTCTCTTACGCAAATGGTCGTCGATTCGCTGATGATTGACCATCACATTTGTTATCATCATCTATCCATTGACTTGATGATCATATCATGCTTCACAATAAATTATTATATTCCCCCACTGTCCAATCTACTGCTTGATTTCTATTTTATTTTTCAGAGTCCCCTGGATACAAGACCAAGCGATAACAAACCACAGAGTTGCTCTCAAGGTCTATCTCTCGAAACGAACGCAAGTGAAAGTCACGTGGCAGCCAGTTCTCGTCGTCAGTTTTTCTTCAGGTGCTCATTGATGCATTCGAGTTGCTCCAGAGTGTTGTTTTACATGATTTACGTGTCTTGAAACAATATTTCATTATCACCCAAGTCAAAACCCGAACATATTGAAAGATTAGAAGAAGATCAAAGTGAGTATTAATATTTAAGTATCGATTTTAGAATCATCCAAGTTCTCTGTAATTTTCTTTTGTAATCATTGACATTATTCACATCAGCTTCTCGTCGTTTTTGATCATTGAGAGGATGTAGGATAGAAAACAGATGCTGAACTGCGCAGCTACAGGATTTAACGACTGACAAGGAGTGCGCTCGCGCATCTTGGATTTCCCGGGGAATCGGGACTTTCCGGGCCTCGAGGCGGCTTTTTCTTCATCATTTGCCACATCGCTACGTACTTGTATACGTCAAGGCAACAGGTGAAAGCTAAATTCAAGTATATTTGTACCAGAAGAGTGAAAGAAATATTTCATTATTTATAAACTTGAAAATCTATATTTTGAACGAATATCATTGATAAACTTTATTATTATCTTTGTGTTGGTGATTATTAATTACGTCATTCAGCTTTGATCAAGAAATCAAGAAATTAAAAGAATAATATAAACAAAATGAGCGTCGAGGATGCGATTAATTACAAACCAAGCGAAGAAGAGGATTTTTATAAGCTTTTGGGATGTGATGAATCAGCCACGGTTAGTTAATTTTATTTTCCTTACTTTGTGTAACTATTTAAACTGGTTTTTATTGATAATTAATTGGATGGTAGTGTTTAATGATAATGTGAATAAACTATTTTATTTGTTTCATAAGATTGAGAAATGTTGATTTTTAAAAATTTAACATTAAAGGTCGAGCAAATAACGGCAGAATATAAGGTTCGCGCCCTTCTATATCATCCAGACAAGAATGAAGGAGATAAAGAAGCAGAAGTGAAGTTTCAACAGCTCAAGGTGAGTGTTACGTGAGCATAAAAATTGACGGAATAGAAAAATATCTGTGATATAATAGAGTATACAATTTTATTTCATTTTTATTTCCACTTGATGCATAATCGTACCAATGATATCAATCTATCTCTTTGAGACTTATTACTCAAATGATCGGTAATTTAGTTCTATTTTGATTCGTTTCAGTATGCCAAGGAGATACTTTGCGACTCGGAAAAAAGGAGCAACTACGACAAGTGGCGAAATAGTGGAATTGCTATTAGCTACAAGCAATGGGTTGGAATGAAAGAACATGTTCAGCAGGTTTGATCTTTTTTCAATAAACGGAATTTTTTTTATTTCCCTTTGGTGCTAATGGGTCTAATTTCTATATATCTATATATCAAGTATACATAGAAAAAGTGTCAAGTGAAAAATGATAACAAATATTAAATTTAAAATCAACGATTCATGAAAATAGAACATTTTCAAGCTGATGTGTTGATTTTCGAGAGTATTTGATTTCATTTACTTCAATAACTTTTCTAATGAATTTTAAATTGTTGTTTGCGTCTATTATGACATTGAATTATTGTGTATCAAAATATAAAGTAAAATAATTTTTACATACGTTTTTTTAAAAAAAATGCAAAATACTATCGGACACATTTTAAAATAACATGTTATTCATGTTAATGAGAGGTTTAATTTAATTTATAGTCAATGCATTGGAGTACTCCACAAACGAAAAATCGAATGCTTCCGGATGCCGGTGGATCTCCAGGTCACGTTAGAGGTCAACCAGCTAACGCTCATAGGCGTGCATCTGAAGGTGGTGCGAATATTCATTTTGGACGTCGTCCTGACTTAAATTGGGACTCCCAGGCAAGCAGCGATGTAATCAACAAATTCCGTCATTACGAGGTCTAAAATTTAACTTAAAAAAAGCGAGCTGTTGTTTCTATCCTAGACCTAATGCTGAAATAATGGCAACGTGATTGCTCTCTAAAGCCTCCAGTTCTCCAGCCGCCAAGTGTCAAAATGTTACAATGAAACAATAGAGAAGATTACATATACAAAAACACTATTAGAAGCGAAAAAATGAAAAACTAACGGGAAAATGATTGATTAAAAAAATAAATCAAATGTTAAACATCGTTATATACATGTATATTTATCAAAACTGTGCACTCGTGTAAATTCTTGTTTTTCAAATCTCGTTTTTGCCAATGATGAATCTCAAATGGACAAAGTTATGTTGAACAAGTATTATATTATGTTGATAGAAGATGTCTATTATCGTTGTATCCTATAAAGAGTTTAAACAGAGAGATATATATACAGTTCAAAATATCTTACATCAATATTAAAAATGATCCTTGCTCACTGAGGCAAAATAATTACATGTTACATTTTAGATAATTACAGTGGACTACCCACATTTGCATTAAATTACATAAATAAATTTATCCATGTTATTTAGTGATTTAATTCAACGAGATTTAAATGTTCAATGTGTCGTAATGAAGCCACAATTACTAAATTCAATTAAATACCAAGCTCACATATAAATTTATTCATTGATTACGAAAGTCTATTGAACAATTTCTATTTAATTGAACATTTCTATTTTAATCGAAAATGTGGTTTAAAATTTATTTGAATGCTAGCATATACGAGTAGGGATCACTTTTGATACATAAGAAAAAAACTGCGTATGAAAAAATTATCAAAATATATATACACAAAAGAATATATATATATATATATAAAATAAATGTATGTATGTAAAACCATGGCTCAAAATGTATTTAAAGCCATGGTAAGACATGTCTAGTGGACCACAGTTTCACGAAGATGAAAGAATTTAATGTAAAATATCACACGGTATTCCAAAAGCTTTTATCATTTATAATGTAAAAATTATTGCTGTAATATTTTTCAAAATAGTCGCAAAAGAATTAGTTTTATATTTGGTCATGCTCTCATTTTGGTCGTTTACTCAAGTTTTTCATCTTCTTGACCTCGTCTCTTGGAGATTGACGACAGAAACGTTGCCTCAAGACAAAATCTGATTTAAAGCATTCATAGCTGGTCCTTTGCTATGATATTTAGTATGCTTCATTTCAAGATGTGAGTTTTTAAAATTAGAAAATTTGTTCTTGTCATATGATTTTTTTTAAAATCAATGATATCGATAGTGAATATCATTTTATATACATTTTAATAAGTCTATTTAATTAAGTAGCTTGTTTGATTATATGCTTAAGAGCTTTTAATTAAATTTAATATAATAGACATTTTTAATTGCAAAACACTTAGAAAGATGTCGATAAATTCTTGCTAAGTTATAATTTAATTGTGAATACCAAGCTTGAAATAGATGTTAGATGGAAAAAATGTTTCTTTTGATTAAAAGAGTACCGTGGAACTTTTGCCGTATTCATCAGAACTCAACTTCATGTATCGTATTGAAGTATGTCCCTTTGTCGTATTTGTGATTATAAATTCATACCTACATTGTCTAGACAGACAAGACCTTCATTGTTTAATTTTCCAAGCGCTATCGAAGTATACAGAAACGTTGAAGGGAGTACAAATTACTGACAATAGTTTGCTCTCTTAGTTACAAATCAATATGTGCGTCAAGATCACATGTTGTCCATTTACAAAGCTTACATTAGATATTCCCTGGAAATCAAAGTAATCAGAGCAAAACTGATATTTGAATTTTTACTTTCAAATAGCGCTTGTTTTATTGAAGATTACAATCTTAAAGTGTTATTGCAAATTGTATTTTCTTTATGAAATATTCTGTTTTATTTTAAATATGATTATAAATTTTTATCTTTTTAATATTAATTGCTGTTAAAATTTTATTTTCATGGGAATTTTGTCGATTAATTATTTATAGTAAATATATTAAATGTTTAATGTAAAAAAAAAAAAAATTGAAAAAAAATGTATAATATTTTATTAACAAAAATTCTTGCAAGTTTTCAAAATTTAATTGTTGTAGAGCAGTTTTTTTTTTTGCAATGTTCATTATAAACTCCAACAACACTTTAATCCCTCCAGAACATATCTTACTATCTACCTATAAATGTATTTTTCTAGAAAAAAATGAACACATTAAAATAAAATGGGTGGAAGAGAGTATGAAATGCAGTAGATAACAGAATAAAAAAATAGAAAAAAGGGAGGAACTTGAGTACTAACTTATCTAATGTGTCCTCGATTTTATGAGATGATCACCACCACATAATATTCATATTAAACTGCAAGAAAATTATTATAATCCACACAATTTTGTCCAATTGACTAAAAACTTGTAACAAATTGGAGATAATAATAATTTGACTCAACCTTCAGCTTCATATCATCAAGATGTCCAATTATATATTTTTTTTTAATATCTCCAAAATTTTCTTTCCACCACGTTCTTCCCTTTTTTCTCTTACTCTCTTTCTTCCAATTCTTCAGGTCCACAGCGTAAATATTTTTTTGTTAAATATTGTCCGCGGTCCAGGTATTACTCAGTGATGCGGATGACATCACACTATGTGTACTCAAAATTGAAAATCAATAAATGTGTTTAAATAACTTGTTTGGAATTTATTATAATTATTCAGGTCATAAAAATACTTTCAGGAAAAATTTGACTAACTGAAATAAAAAACAATTCAAATATTTTCCTGCCATTTAGTATTTTTCCTATTGTTTAGTATCGATTGGTATCAAGTGCGAAAAGGGTTAAGTAAATTTAGCACGCGAGAGAGAAAGAGATCTATTACGAGTTTTCTCGATAACCCGCGGTTGTTTGCTTTATACAGCCTGTTGCTTACTGATTGGGAATCGAGCCAAACAATTGTTTACGTCCCTACAGGGAATTTGTGATGGTGAATAGACTTTGCTATTGTCTGACTCTAGCATGATACATACTCCTGACAATCCTTCATGCTTCAATTTATTGAATATTCATCTGAAAAAAACTGAACATTGTACTTGTATTTATAAGTAATTATTTTTTATTTTACTCATTCGACAGATAATCCTTGAAAATATGATGGTTAAATCATAAATTTTAATGATTTTCTCTTTATAAATGGATATAAAATTTTGATAGTTTTGACATAAAATTTTATGTTTAGGTGTTCTGATGGTTTCTTAATACCTTTTTTATATTTTTATTCCTTTATTATATAAATGAAAATAGAACACATCAAAAGTACCACAAGGTCATAAAGTATCTTTATGTAATATTGTAAAATCCATCAAAGGCTTTGACAGAGTCAACATTAACTAAACGAGAAATCCTTCCTTTCCAAGGAAATTATAGAAGCAAGGACATATTCATGGAGATAGATATTCAGTCAAATTTTTTTTTCGGTATTTACTAGATTTCCATACTTAATATTCTCTTTGGAATGAAACATGGTATTATTCAGCCACAAAGTTCTATGTAGTGTTTCGATATTGAAAAGCTGCCCAGCTTCAATCTTTTTTTTTCTCTCTCTTCTGCTATTTGTCAACTGAGAAAATCCAGTGGACGAAAGGCCAAAGCTATGTCCACCTGACCTACAAAGCTATCACTCTAAAGCCGTCTATATTCCGTTATTTTATTCTGAATTGTAAAAATGAAATTATATTTGAGATAAAAAAATAGATTGCAAGACGACGCTTTAAATTGGATTTATTATTTTTAGAGAAGTTTCAAGATAAAAAATATCTCATTTGTTTTTTGATGAAAATAATGTTGCAAAAGTTATTTGTATCTTTTGAATATATAAAAATTTTTCAAGTGAACTCTTTATATTTAATTATTAAACTTGAAAATTATTTAAATACTCGCACATTTATTAAAAATAAAATATAATGCCGAATAAAAACTATTTTCTTATTTTAATCAAGTTCTTAGAAGAAGTACCAAATAAAATCAATCTCTTTTCGCTTATCTACTTCGGGTTTTTCTGGCCATATTAGACTCAATTTATCGTAAATAAAATTAATAAAGTTTAATTGTATTTCTCACTTCTATTAGTAGATACAATAATTAAATTATCCATACGCCTGCGCAAGTTCATCACATCAGTGGTAGCAGGAAATCTCTCAAACAGGTAAAAACGTTTTCATTGAAATGATATATTTCTCTAAGTATATACTCGATTCGAGGGAATTACTTTAAGTTTACTTGTGAGCAAGATGAAATAACGTTCAAAGAGAAAATCAGCTTTGTGGATACTTGAAACGTCACTTTTCAACGAAGTATGCTCGGGTTGTTTTTAGCAAGAGTATTGAAGATAGTAGCAAGTTTCCGTATTTTAACATTATGAAGATAGGCCACCTCACATATAAATTCAAATCGTCTTCTACAGTCTATCAACATTTTCTAATGAAACTCCAATTAAGTGATGCAGTCGTAATACGCTTGAATGAATCTTTCAGCTTTGTTCATGCTTGCATTCGCGTACATTGCTGTTTCCAATCAGCCTGTCGTGGTCTCTTTTCTGTACTCCAACTATATCACTTTACTATGTGTTAATATTTTGATCAAAGGAAGAAGGTGTTGGGCTGGGTCAGCCTACGTTGAATAGAGCATGGATCGATCTTCCACGTGGAATCGCATTTAGTTTCAACGTAGGCGTTAGAGTGGGTGTGGTTGCATGAACGAGTAGAGAGCACAGGTGAGCATTAAAATGCTCGCTCTTGGTCGGAAATTACAACTTGTCGTCCATTCAGTCACGCCTGGAATTAATGGAGCAAATTTTGTCCTCTTCCCTTTTATGTGATCCTGACAAACTGCATAATTTAAAGCTCAATAGTCTAGTTTCTATTCACATGATATTGTACAATTCACATTGACTCCTGGACTGAACAATGTCATTCAGTCAATATTCACTTCTTGAATCATTTTAATATTGCTATTTGTACTTTACAATATTTTTACTCTATTTTACTAGATCTATTATCTCTTTAATAGAAATTTACATTTAACATTTACATAATACATTCAGAATTCAGTTAATTCAAAAATCATTGAAATTGTTCAAAAATTCAGTACGTTAGTAGATTTTCATAGTTTCAAGAGGATTCCAGAGGATGCATATTTTAGAACTTGCTAGTTTGATTTTATGTTCATTTCAACAATGAAAAGTATGTAAACTCAATTGTTGAACGATTTAAATGGATGAAGAATAATTTTCGAATAATTGAAATATGTTGATTGGCTTTCTTGTTTAGTTTTATCTTATTAAACTAGCTTTTGAATGAGAATTAATATAGGCTTTAATTTTATGTCAACTATAAATTCTATGAGATCATTTTCTAAAGCTCCATGCCCTAGTTTTCCATTCATTCAATACGGCTTTGCTATATCCAACATTATTTCATGGAAAGTTACATGATACGAAAAAGTTATATTTGTTTCACACAGAAAATAAAATTAAATAAAAAACTACATTAGGTTAATTTAAAAATGATTTATTTTATTATATTAAGATAGTTGTACCGCTTTGCAAACTTAATAATTAATTTTTTTTTGTTAATTCTAATTAAAAATTATTAGCTGTTTTTCACTGACCTAAACATTTCCCTGGAAAATCTCATTTATCAATAATTATTCACTGGGGTTTTTACTTTATTTTTTTTTTGGTTCTTATCACTGTATCGACTAATAATCTCGATTATAACAAATAAATATAAGTCTGTCATTCATGATTATTAGTACCAGAATTTACATTTCAACTTATATATTGTCTATTAAGAATACTAAGAATACTAGAATATTATAATACAAAATGATATTTCATACAATTTCATTAAAGTAAGTCGTTGGTTCATAAAATGTGATTCAGTATACTTGAATTTTTTTCTCTTTTCTTTTTTTTCTATTTTTTTTTGTTTGTTACTATATTTGTTAACTCTTATTAATTGAATATACTAGGTACAAACGGTATGACTTTATTAGTGGCAAAACTCACTACCTTCATATCTTTCATTACAAATTACAAATAATAAACTACAAGTATGCCACAAACAAAGCCATGACGTTAAATAAATGCAGAATCCTAAGCAACTGCACTTGAAGAAGCTCATACGAGTCATTACATTTTTAAAAATTTTTTCACAGAGATATGTTCTAGTCTCCAGTATATTCAAAAATGTTTATCTCGTAAATTCACAAATGTTTATCCATTTTAAGCAAATTTTTTCTACAAAAATTTACAGTTTCTTTAGCTTTGCGATCTGTTAGTATTCCTGTCAAGTGCAAGAGTCACGTAGAAGAAAACCAGTGAGATGATAACACGAGAGACTGTGCAAAGCTTTTAATATCTGCCTACGTCGTCATCTGGGGGTTGATTCTCTAGCGTACATGGCCTCAAGAACTCTTGACCTCTCTCATGTAGCCATTTATTCGCCACTACAAACAAAATAATATTAATGATAACTATTATGACTTCAATTAATTAACTGTAGTAGTAATTATTTCAACTTATTGAAGTTAAGAAAACTTAATTATTATTCACTAATCACTATATTAAATTATTAAATCTTTACTCATTGAATCTTTTTGTAAAAAATTTTCAACTGATTGGAACATTTAGTAAACTATTCATAAAAAGTATAAATGAATATAAAGTTATTGACAAAAGAAAAAGATCTCTTGAGGATCATTTTGAATGTAATTGAGTTAATTGAATTCATTCAATATGTCTTTAAGTGAAATTAAATATAAATAAAAAAAGTGAATATGCTTAATTAAATAAACTTCGACAAGATATTTTGATTAAGGTAATTAAGACTTAATGAATAAAGGGTAGTAGAGAAAATTAATTTTACCCCATTTAGATCCAGTAAGAACTGGACAAGCTGCATGTCTAGTCTTATAATCACCCTCTCCATTTGGTTTAAGATTATACCACACAGCCGCACTACCTTTCTTAGGCCACAAGGATATATTTATCGCTGTGAATACCGTGCCACCTCCTTGCTCTACGTCACTCATCTATAAAAATTAAATTATTCATTAAATAAATATTCATAAGCATCTTTATGTTTTTTTGTTTTTAATTTGTTTTAATTCAATGCAGATTAAAGGCCATGAAACTTTCATACAGGTCATGTTTTATTTTTGCTTTTGAACCTACATGTAAGGGCTAATATCTAGAGCACTTTTTTATTTCAAACTTTTACCTACTTAAGAGCTTAAATACTAACGAAGCGCATGCATATGTAGATCCGCAAAAAATAGCAAACAATCGCTTGATGTTTTTCAATACTTTTTGGTATTTTTTTACCTCTTTTCGAAATGAAAAAAAGTAAGAGCTTGTGCACATAAAAGCTCAGTGTGAAGGTATATAATGACGTTTAGCAAGGTACAATCGATGTAAAAATTATTAAACAACTATAAAAGCATTCTTTTAGTTGCTGCCTTAATTAGCTACTCGGTTGAATGCCACATACAAAATATACTGCTTTTTAGAGTTTTTAAAAGCAACTTTTTTTCGAGTTTTTAATTCAACTTGCAGCTTTTCTTGGTAAAATTTAAATTCTTTTGTAAATAATACTCCAAGCATATATAATTCATGGCGAAAAGTATAAAAAGTCTTTGGAAAAAATATCACTTTATTTATGAAATTGTTTATTTTTTGCGGATTGCCATATGCAGTACTCCAATAATTTTCAGTTGGTTATTACTATAAATAGCAATAGTAAAGAGAAACATACGTAGTATAAAACTGTAGCAATGCGGTTGCCAGTTCCAAGACTCTTAAATGCATTGGTCTCTTCTCTCTGAAACGAAAAAACGATCAATTAGATCAATAAATTAGAGAAATAGCTATCTGCTGAGTTGATAATTGCATGAAATTGCTCACCCGAGCAAAGTCAAAGTGCGGCTCGTAATGACCTCCAATACCGTAATTGACCACCTGCAGCTCCTCAGCCGTGTCGACAGTCAGGCTAGTCATATGCTCGACTCTTCGGCTCACTGCTTGTACGTGTTTGTGCTCATATTCTTGGAGCCAGGCACTTTTGCTGATTCGGTAGTTTGCAATTTCCAGTTCACCAGTCTTGTAATTTTGTACGGTCGCACGCTTGAACTAAAATCAATAACAATTTGAATGAACGTCGTGTTGAATAGTATCACATTGGCAGAAAGAACATTCACCCAAATGAAATGCAATTAGAAAACTTAAAAGTGTGGACAGAAGTTATTTTATCAGGGTTTTAAGGATTATTTGAATGTAAATTAAAAAAAATTTTATTTGAACAAAAAATACTTATTCTCTTGAATAACAATTGAAAAAAAAAATTTCCAGCTCTAATTGAACAATTTTTTTTCATTTAACATATCATTAATTGCTCGAATTTCATTGTTTTCTCAGGGTATAGAGTATTTAAACATTTATTTAAATCAATTCAAGTGATGAATAGACTCGGATCAACTGAAAATACAAGTTAAATAATCAGTATGTAGAATTATGCATAGTTAATGAACTGAAAATGTTAGAAATCAGTATTCAATCCAAATTGATGAAACTATTTAGAAGTCATATCGTTGATTTAAATGAATGAATAAAAATTAAAAAGCACTAAACATTAATTTATTTTATAATTCAAATTATTTATTATTCTATTTATTATTTAGTATTTAATTATGAATAACTAATTATTAACTAAATATATATATACCAGTTAAAATACATAATGATATTATCCTATTACTCTATTGATTAATTTTCTGGTAAAATAATGTATACACATAATTCTATAATTCAAAATTACGTCTATAACTTCATTGTTGACCAAGATATTTACTATGAGAAAGTAAACAACTCAGTGTATACAATTTTCGTTAACAATAAACTATTATTTTAATCCTCTCGGTTGCTATGTTTATTCAAATTATCAGTGTACCGAAACTCTGCGTGTTTTACTTGTTACCTCTAGTTTATGTTGATTCAACAATTAAATATTTGAATAGATAAATGGTATACCATAAAGAACCGAATCAATGTACACGGATGAAAGTCAGTATTGATCAATAAATTGAAATATAAGATAAGTCATGTCGTTAGAGAGTGTTCTAAATAGAATAAAAAGTATCAGAAGAAATACTGCATTTTCTGATATAAAAATACTGTAATAAATTCGATGGAAATAATGAAGAAATTACTCACTCTTGGTTGTGCCAGTTTCTTTATAGTATCTATTTCTTCATCATATATAACATCATGATAAATAACAATTCGTGGATCTAAATAAGCCTCTTCTTCTTTGAATGGAGCAATCTTGAGAAAAGGTATTCCACGATCAACATAACGACATTTCAAATTCTTCTGTATTCTAGGTGATAAAGGAACTTCTCCTCTGCACAGCATTTCATACCTCTCTCGCTCAGTCATTTCCTCTATTGTTTTGACTTTCTTTTCAACCACAGTGAACTGTTGGAACAAATTATCATAGTTACATTTCTACCAAACTTTAAAGACTTTTTCATGAATTAAGTAGACAATAAACTAATTAAAATAATAGCTAATTTAATTAAAACGCTTACTTGGCTTGTAAGTGGAACATCACTTTTTCCATCCTCACCCCTGCTTTTTTTATCCAGATTCTTTTGTATTTCTTCCTGATAATACGCTCGATTGCCGAGGGCTCTTTGATGGCTGGGTACAAGTTCTAGAAGCTCATTCGTCATACTCAAGGCACGTGCTACGTTACCTGTAAAGCAAGAGAACGATATTTACTTGCAGAAAGTAAAGTAAACTTGAGAGCTATGCTTAGCCCGGGGTTCGATCAACAAATAAATTGAGTTAGGATATAGTGGGCTATTTATTCTCAGTCGTCGTGTCTTGTGAATCGGAGATGCAGTATTTCCAAGAGTAATGTCTCGCCCAGCACAGAAAATACATTTTTTATTTTTTTACCAGAACCCTTTCCGTTTGAGTTTTATACTTCGGATCTATATTGGATATGAAAAATATATTTTTCAAACAATATGTCGTACGCGTGGGATAACGGGAAATAAGGAAACCTGAGTTAAAGATTAATCTAACGATTTATTATGCATTGAGAAATAAATTGAGAAATGTTGGAATTTACTTTACACAAGTACTCTACAACTGGGTCCAATTGTAGCTTAAATTAACTTATTGTTTAATGAACCATATAGACTTGAAATGCTGTATACTTTTACTTTTATCAGAACGTTTCTGTAAGTAATATTTAATCTGATATTGAGTTTGGTTTTGAGGTTTTGTGAACAAAGTAATTCAACAAGACTCCAACTTTGATATACTTAATGAAGGATTAACATACTCTGATGTTTCAACAAAAAAACATTAGCAAAACTTTTTGTAGATGTTTTATAATTAGATAACATTTAATCAATACTTGAAATTCTTTTTTACAGATAGAAACTCACTGATAAATTATTTTTAGAAAAATTTTAAATACTAAAAGTTAGACATACACGGCATTGGTAGCTCAAAATAAAAAGTTTGAATTAACTTTTTGACATATAAAAGCGTTTATATGCTGTTCAAAAAAGTTTTAGGAAGCTTTAAAAATACTTGTTAAATATGAGAAATTATTTTTATCTTTTTTTTTTAGTAATCATTGATCAAAAAAATTTCCAACTAACAGATATGCATTATTCTACAAGATGGAAGATAAAAAAGATGAACAAAAAAATTGGAAAGAATCTTTTGGGATTTCAGTAAGTACGACATTTAATACAAACCTTGCATATAAGTAGAAAATGCAAGGTACTCAAGAATATCCGGTTTATTTGTAGTTGTTCTATTCTGTTCTTCTTGAAGTCGATTCATGGCTTCTTGCATCCACAGTACAGTGTGATAGTAGTCACCATTATTATATGACTGTCGCCCAAGCTCGAAACAGTCTCCAGCTGCAAAAACAAAAAATAAACCTATTATACTCATACAACATTCATTGTTAAAGAAACAGAGGATAGAGCAGAGTGACACTGTAAGAGAATGAAGTAAATAACATTATCTTTCTTGTTACCATGCACTCACAACTTGCTGCCTTTTATTATCAAGAATATCGCGATTCATCATCCACGTAAGGACGGTTCCTAAGGGAGTTGTTTTTTCTTTCTCCAACTAGTAGAAAAGTAAGTTGATTCGTTAATTAACTTTTGCCTTATGTCCTTCCATTTCCTCAAAGCCATATATTATTCCATTTCACTTCATTATGCAAAAGAAGGAATTGCCATAAAATAAAAATTTTTTTAAGTATTTTGGGAAGGGGCTGGAGATGAAGAATTTATTCTAGAAGGACATTAATCCTTCAGTGAGAATTTTATATTATTCTCCTTTTGAACAAAACCGAAGATGTTGATTAGATATTCAATTGTGTTAAAAATTCTTTTATTCATTTAAAATAAGGTAAATAAATTCTTTTCATCTTTCTTCCTTGAGTAAAATATAAAGAAAATGGACGTTGAAAAAGATGATAATAACCACAAGTTTAAGCTGATTCTTGTTGTGATACACCATAAAAGGAAGCTGGACTAGTTTTTATAATATTTTATGAGTCCATTTATTTACATAAATAATGATTTTAATTTCAAAAAAATTTCTTATTGAAAAAAATATCGTAATAAAATAGAGTGAATATCAACCTGATTAAAAATTAATTTATATTCCGAATTTATATATCATGATTATTTTAAGAGCACATATATTCATTTCTAATTGTAAAACAAAATGATGTCCATCATTTCAAATTCAATATCGTTAATTAAATAATTAAATGTAGTTTCAAATTATTTGAAAATTCATTCATTTATGTGCATAATAATGAGTAACTTGAAATAAGTATAGAATCTGGAAATGTTGGTCAGTATAATTAAATGAAAGCTTGGTGCCTTATATTTCCGCTGTTAATGATAATATTAAATTTATCACTTGAATGTTTATTTTTGCTCTAAGTGACAATTTATAAAACAGAAATGTAAGTTTTAAAGTCATATGCTCTTCAAATAATGAAGTGATTAAAAGTTGCTTCAACATAATATAGTGTCAATTTCTTGGGTTATTGATTATTAAAGAGCTATGAACACTTTTGAGCTACTAAACCTTTTGTTCTATCAACTGATGAGATTTCTCATCTTCAGTATAATAATGTTTGATAGGCATGAGGGATCTGAGAAAGATAAACAGGTAAGCCAATGTATTTAGAACGTGTCATGAGAAGCGAATACTGACCACTCAAGCCTGTACTGTACTGCACTCCATTGAGGACTCCTCTGGCGACATGGGATGTATCGAGTTTGTACGTGTCCTGCAGTCTTATAAGCGCTACCGCTGCACCATTTAGATCCTCATCCGTTGGAAACTTGAGGTCACTTCGAGAGTTCGTGATGTTTGCTACAAATGCTTTTCCTACATCCTCTGTTATCAACTCTTCTACCCTTTTCCAGTCTGTTGTCAGTCGTTTTACGAGCAAATACGCGTTTATTGGATTTGAAAGATACTGTTGTATGTTACGAGATGCCTCTTCGTGCTCTCTAGAGTAATCTTCCACATTCCTGTAATTTGAATAAGAACTATTTTATTAACTTGTTTTATTTTTTGATCAATAGTTTAAGTCTTAACTAGTTGTAATGATAAAGTTTTTGAAATGGGTTTTAATATAAGTGTCTTAAGTTTTTATTTAGTGAAGAAAAAAATGTAATAATTAGTTTTAGATTCACGAAAGATTTTTATTTAGACATTGTAAGCCTTGAGGCTTAAAGTACAGCTTAATTTAGGTTTGAGATACAGCTTAACTTTTTATGACAGGGGTTAACTTCAAATTGACATCCAGGGACGATTCTTGGTTGTATTATGTATACTTTTTCACTTTCTAACTTTTTATTTGCTTGAAAGAGACATCAACTTTGTTCCTTTTCAGGATTATTATTAGGGAGCAGTAAAAATAATTCTATCGAAGTATCAAAGAGATAAGATTGTTCGAAAAGAGCTAATAAATTAACATTATCAAGTACCAATTATTTTTTTATTTTACTTACAAATTTTTTCGTGAATAAAGTATGTAAATAGTTGAATATCTCAGTTCGAAACTACATGAAAAATTCCAGTGACTGCGGTTTTTATATTAGATCTAGATCTCTAAATAAGGTGTAGAAATAGCAACGTCAGTTGACAGTATAGACTTTTATGTAAATTAAATTATGATGCGATTGAAGACGAAGCAGGAAAAGAGGATGACAAAATTCGATTTCGTTTCTTCGAAGCTGTGACGACCTTTCAGATTGCTGTCCACGTAGGTACACAAGATAAAAAAGCAAAGAAAAATAAAAATAACGATTCAAATATAAGTGGCCGTCCGAGCGGAATAACGAAGGGTTATTTTATTTATTTGACTCTTTTTCGAGCTTTTCTATTTATTCTGAATAGTGATGCTACCATCGACCAGGGCAATGTCTGTCTGCCAATGATAACGGTTTCAATTTCTACGAATGCAGTAGAGTGAACGAGGTAAAGACAATTCCCAAGGTTGGCTGAAGTACTTGCAAACCAGACAAAAGGTGTGGAAGCTAAAGAAAGTTATCAATGGAAACAACAGAGTCGAGTAAATATTTCACATGAATTGCGGTGTGATTAATCTGCACCAGACATTTCCAATAAGAATATCTTTGGGGAGGAATATAAAATATTCGATGAGAAAAAAACTATTTTTTTTTCAATACCAATTCTGTTGAAAAATCATTTCCAATACTTTTTTAATGCTTTTGAATAATCTTTTTTATAAAATAATAATGGCTTTAAGTAGAAGTTAATTTATAATTTAATATATTTGTAAAAATTAATAGTTTTTGTTGATAAAAAAAAATATACATCAATTTTTATTTGAATCCTATTTGAATGATTATAAAACTCTAAAAGGTTGCATTCAATTCATGCGAAAGTTATAAATTTACCAAGTGTATGAAATAATTTTTACAAAACTGCAGTAAACAACTTTGTGTAAATTAATATTCATTTTCAAATATTTAATAAAATAAATTTTCAATTACACCTAAAGCTAATGCTGAACTTTGATGATTCTGCTAATAATTAATATTGCAAAAAATATTTATTTAGATTTGATGTATGGAAACTAATTACTTTTTTAACATCAATAATTGCACAAAAAATTCTATGTTGACTATAAAGTAAATACTTATTGATCTTCCATGCTTTTTTTTCTCCCCTTAAGCTACAAATAATAATTATTAAAAATTTCAAATGCAAATCTGCACTCGAGTTTCATAATATTGACTTGATAAATATGTTTTTATGTTTTCATTCCTATTTATTCTCTTTTTTATATTTAAGCTAAACGATAGACTGAAGACATTTAGCCTCTGGGAATTATTATCGGAAAATTTATATTTAAAAAAAAAGTAACGAGAGAATAAAAACTTGAATAAAAATTTCAACCTCAGAATCAGCTTTTAAAATTATTACTTACCAATAAAAATGAAATAATTCATTCACTAAATCAATACCATTCAATATCTAGGCTGTATTTATTATAATAAATAATTATAGATCGTCATGATCATCAACATTGAATTTTCAATAAAAAATGTTTTTCCTTAAATTGCCTAGAATGTGTTAAAAATATTTCTGTACTGAAAGTCAATAAAATGAAGGATAAAAAAAATGTATACATGACATAGAAAATGAGGAGGAAAGATTTAAAAGAGGGAGATAAAATCAACCAAGTGGAAGAGAAAGAGATAAGTTTAATTTGACTATGGATCCACAGTTATAATTAAGATGATACTTGGAGATATTTGTATGAAATTTACTGCAGATAGCATACAAACACGATCCACCAGCAGAATAACTTTGTTTACTTTTTCAATATTAATTAAAATTTTAGTATCGCGATGCTGTTAAAACTTTTTAATTTCTCTAGTCTAAAAATAAATAACGACATAGCATAAAGTTGTTGAATGAAATGAATACATGAAATAAAAAATTTTGAAAAAAAAAGAAATAATTCGAGAATAAGATATAGTTTTGAATGTTGTAGAATAAATGAATTAATTAATAGAAGACTAACAAGTGAAGAGAGAACAGAAAATTGTTATCAGTGATAACTAGTGTTGAGAAGACACTTAGTAATGTTGGGTAGAGCATTGTTAGATGCCATTGCAATATCCGATTTCGAGCGTGCACGTTTCGTTGTAAGAAGATATGAGAAACCAAGGTATGTTGTAGTACAATCGTGTTCGTTAGATATGTTTGTTCCCTTTTGTTTCAATCTTATCTTCAGTGTAAATCGAACCAACTTGTATTGAGGGTACTATGTCGATTTTACTTGAATGCACCTGATAAGCAAGTTTTAATTTGATTTTCAAATCAAGATTCGAATCTATTGGAAATTGAAGTTCTATCTTGATGATTTTAGTTCCACAACTCGGCAGTTAGAATAGACTTCGTACAGAATTGATCTTTACATGAATATATTATTCAAAATGAATTGGAAAGGGATTTCTTGGGAGCCAGAAGTACTGACAGAGTTTTTGACTTGAAATTTATTTAAATTAAAAGACATTTTTTTTATGTAATCCGATTTTTATCCTCATCGTAAATTTATTTTTTAAATTAAATAACTGAATCAATTATGATTCAACTATTAATTAGCAATTAAATTTAGTTATCAATTTTGTAGATAATAATGAATCAGTATATAATAATATATAGCCATGACATAAGAAATTTTAATATTATAAATAATGTAGAAAAATTTTTATTGATCTTATTATTAGAGTGAAATTTTTTGTTGAATGTTTAGCTAATGAAATAATATTATTTTAAATAAATTTTTAAATTAATTAAAAGAGTCCTAGCTTTATTGATAATTTGTTATTAATTTTGATTTTATTTATTATCAAATTGTTGTTTGTTAAAAATGATGACTTACATTCTGAGAGTTTCAGTTTGTTGATAGAAAAATTCAATTCGAATGTTGGAGGGAAAAGTTGTTCACGTCCATCGGTAAAGAAGATTTGATAAGTTTACTCTTACGTTAGATGGCGGAATGATATCGTTATAAACTTGACGCGTCTGCGCTGAAATATCTGAACGATATTCCTCCGCGCCGACGCCCCGCGTCATGATCGCGGCAAAATAATACCCCATCGGCGCAGCAGCCGACAACACATGATCCCTTTCTTATCTAGAAATTATCTTTAAAATCTTATTAAATAATAAATTAGTTATCTAAAGGTGTTTCGAAAACAAAATGAACAAGATCCGCATGTTTATATTAGGAAAAACCAAGTGAAAGTGGGATAAACTACTGGTGTTTTGTTGAGTGTATTTTGGAGTGAACTAAGTTTCGTGGAGTAATGGCCGACGTACGGCTCGGTGACGACGATTTAGAGACGGAGCAAGCAGTAGAAGCATTAGGGCTGAGTGATTTAATATTTCAATCTGGAGAATTCGCTCGTCGTGTTCATCATGATTGGATTCGATCACAAAATCCATTGTCTATTATGACTGACAGTGATCTTCCGAATGTCGCTATCGGCGTCAACACTGATTTAAATATACGCATTGGAACACACAAGTCAAATTGTTCTTGGACATGGAATTTCGAGATACGAACGATGGGTCGTTTATTAAGAAATTTAGCCCTATCTCTTGATTCTCATCGAGATAACTTTTCAATTAAATCTGTTCATCGAGATGGTAAAGTAATAGGTTATTGTGATGGCCAAGAATGGCATGATCCTGTATCAACAGAATTTAGAGGAGATATAATGAGTGATACAGTTGTTGCCTACCGAGTAACAATCGTTTTCGAAACAACAGAATATGGAACCTACCTCCAAAATGTACTTTTTGGTTTTGATGGCTATCCAGTTGTCAGAAGAAAAATATGCGCTGACTTGGTTCCACATAATGATTTATCACGACTCGATGAAGCAACTAAATATTTTCTCAACCAAACAGCTCATGTTTGGTCTGCAAAACAGAATAGTAAATACCATCCGTTTGAGTCACCATTTATACAAGGCAAAGATCCTTGGGAGAAAAATTTAACACAAGCTTATCCTTATCCTGGAGAATTGTTTATTCTATCTCATGCAACGTTGACAGAGGATCATTTAACATGTAAAAATTATCGTGGGCGAATGCATGAATTAATTGCTGTAGAAGAACTGGCGAGGCATGAACAAGTTGCGAGATACAATTCTATTGTTCAGTTTAACCTGCTGTCTTGTTATGTTTTGACTTCTCCTACTGATGGTTCAACCACTGCTAAATACGCTCCTCTAGGAGAGCTCTTTGCACAGGTGTGATTTATTTTCTTTTTTATAGCTTTTTTTGTCATATTCATGTGAAGCATTCATGTGAAAAGAGACCTTTTATATGTCAGTTTTTATTGTAAAAAATTTGTAAGAGTTGCGAAAATATTGAAATTATATTCTTAGAGACTTTCTAGATGACCTTTTGACCTTTAGAAATTTTTTAAAGAATTATTAAAAAGTATTTAAACTGGCAATAAAAAAAAATTTTCTCATGAATATTTGAATTTACTAACAATTAAATTAAAATGCTTTTAATTTCTTCTGTTAAGAAAAGAATACATTTATATATAATCGAATGAAAGCAAACAAAAAATTTTTTCTGATTGCACACATTCTAGAAATTACCCTGAACGTTTAGAGTACAAAAGAATATGTTTGGAGCAGTTCTCTCTAGGTCGAGGCATCTCCGAGGACATGAAAAGTGGCCGTTTGTTACTTCGAGGCTGTACCAACATCCTAATAAAATTAGTAAACACCGATTCACCATCATCACCAGCAATGTCAGAAATTTACGAAGCACACGTGGAGGATAAATGTAACTATATGATTTATGCAAGACTCTCAAAATCATGTGTTGAGCGGTTGCATCTAAAAGCTGATACTGTTGTCAAGATGCACGTCCAATTTGTTCTAAACAGAATGCCTTTCTGTGAATGGCATCGAGCTGTTGATTGTCTACCAGATGAGCGACTAGTATTTCCTGAACCCAATTTTCAATTAAACATGCGTTTACCATCTGTCCTCGAGGCTAATGAGGATTGGTCTGATCTTTTGGATCATCGGCTAAATGATCGACAGAGAGAAGCGCTTACATTAATGGTGGCACCTAATCACATTTATCTTCCTCCAATTCTTCTTTTGGGACCTTACGGAACTGGAAAGACTTTTACGATAGCTCAAGCACTTCTCATAATATTGTACCAGAATCCATCGAATAAAGTTTTGCTCTGTACTCAAAGTAACAGTGCAGCTGATCTTTATGTGAAAGAGTTTTTCGATCAATGGTATAGAACTACCCAAAAAGAAAGACTCAAGCCTATGAGGATTTACTACAAAAGACGTTTGCTAAATACGGTACGCCTTTCATTTAAATTTTACTTATATTCTCAAGACCAGCACAAGAAATCTTATTAGAAACATTTAAATATTATCTATTTATGAATAAATTTCAATTTATTTAACTTCTCCACAGATGGTTGCAAAAATCTTTGTAATATTTCCATTCATATAATGTATTGAATAAATAAACATTTGTTGTTAAACTTTTTCTTAATTAACGAAAAAGTTTAATATTACAAAGATGTTTGCAATGTAACTATACTGATGAAAAATAAAAGAAATCCATCAAAATAATATTTATTCTGGTTTAAGGTTCATCCAACAGTAAGGAAATATTGTCTAACAGATCCCAATGGATCATTTTGTGATCCCACAAAGGAAGATATAGAAAAATGTGGATTAATTGTAACAACTCTTGCTACTTCTAGTTGTCTGACAGCTTTGGAATATGAGCCAACGCACATTGTGATCGATGAAGCAGCACAGGCATTAGAATGCGAAGCAATTACTCCTCTAGCTTTGGCCGGTTCTCGAACGCGACTGATACTCTCCGGAGATCAAATGCAACTAGCCCCGGAGGTTTACAGTGATCTATCAAAGGAACGAGGATTAGGAATGAGCCTGCTCGAAAGACTGCACAATCTCTATCCGCCCAGACATCCTTGTCGTATAAACCTCTGTCAGAATTATCGTTCTCATGCAGAAATAGTACAACTAACATCAAATCTCTTCTACGGAAATGAAATACAATCGAGTGGACCACTACTTCCAGAAGTATCACACTTTAAACCTCTTATATTTTACGCCGTTGCTGGAACTGAAGTTCAGGTATTTTATCTTCATTTTCATTGATCTCTATTTTTTTTATTGTTCCGTAAGGTATATAAAGTTCTAGCATCAAAAAGTAATGAAAAATTTATACGTCTTTAACATACTGAATGTTGAACGATATTATTACAGTCTCATGTTTATGAAATGATGCATAGCATTTTAATGTATTATATTTTTTTGTGTTCTCCTTTTCCACTATTTTCGTTGAAATGTTTCCGATACTCTACTAATGTTTTTTTTTCTACTTTTTTGTTTCTTTTTGGCAGGGTGAGTGTTCTACGGGTTTTTATAATGACGAAGAAGCGGTGGAATTGGCTAAACAAATAGCGTACCTGAAATCCCGATGGCCAGTTGATGAATGGGGGCCTTTTTCCGAAGATTCAATTGGAGTTCTAGCTCACTATGCTGAACAGGTTGCAAAAATCCGTAATGAACTACGTAAACGCAAACTATTCTCTGTCTCTGTTGAACGAGTATTAAACGTTCAAGGTAAACAATTTACTGCGGTATTTATCAGCACTGTTCGAACGAGAAATTGCTGTCGATACTCAGCTGAGAATAGTTTGAGTGACTACGGTTTTCTCACTAACCCAAGACTGCTGAACACAGCAATAACACGAGCCAAAGCATTGGTTGCTGTTGTTGGTGATCCTATAGCTCTCTTGACTACTGGACCTTGTCGGTCTCTCTGGGGAAAATATTTCCAGAAGGCTAAAGTATCGGGAATACCGTATATACAACTCAAAGAGCACATGATGTACAGTTTAGCACCACCAGTTCCTCTAGGAGTACCACTTAATCCTCTTGCACGAGAATTCGTCCCACGAAACGTTTAAATTTAATTGAATTACGTTTTTTTTTGGAATTTACATTTAGCCATATATATATGAATATATTTCTTTTCAACAATGAGTTAATAAATTACCAAATTCTATGTACTGTAAAATTTAAGATTAAATAATTAAGATTTAATTGAATACATGAATACAACAGACTCTAAAAGCATGATTATAATTTTTATAAGTGAAATAATAGAGAGAAAATGAGAAATATACAAAAAAATATTATGTAAATGTCATCCTAATGTACAATAAATACTATAAAAAATATTTTTTGTATTTTATTTAAACAAAAATTTTCCTGTTTGTTTTTATTTGGTATTCAAAGAATGATAGGAAATTCAAAATGAAATTTTTGAATAAAAACTAGAGTAATAAAAAGACTGAAGTGTTCGATATTTAACAGAGTGACCGAACCAAAGTGGTTTACCATCAAAACTAGATTTTATTGGCATATATTCTTGCCGTTTGTCTCTTTTTTCTCTAATCCTATTCTTCTTTGTTTTTCCTTTTTTTACCCCTTTGATTTTTTTTCGTTTTCAACTGGCTTCCAATAACGGTCATGTTTTGTACAAAAACTAACGCGGAGGACGAAAGCCGATGAGCTTCCTTTGTATCTAAAATTACACCGTTCAGAAAATTCTTCAATTATTTTGACTATTTTTTGACTGAATATGCTACGCTAACTTTGATTGCCTATCGGGGGATCAACGCAAGCTTATTCCCTGATGCGGATATAATACGTTTAATTGTATCGACATGAATACATTCGAAGGATATGGCAAGTGATAGATACGTCCCTACTACGTCACAAGCAGATAAGCTGGTGGACATCGCTGACAATGTACGGTTCTGTAGTCGATGTACCGTGTCCATCGGGAGGATGCTGGGTCCACAAAGATATGCTGGTTGTGGTAAACAAAAGCAAATATGCAACTATCGTCATTTATCTAGCTTATCCATATTTTATATGTACATTCTCTTCTCTCTTTGAGTCTTTATGTGTTTTACTCTCTACTAATGCATAGATATTATTGATAAATTACAAATCTCTCACCAATATAACATTCACATTACTAATTAGTCATGTGCTTGTCTACGTTGAGCTTGTCAAAGCCATACGCATGGTAATTGACGTACTGGCTACTAATTCTCATTTGTTGTTTCAATGTCTTTCATTACTTTACATGCATCGTTTGTACTTCTAGATTATAACGTTGAATTATTTTTAAGTGATTGCGTCAGGTGATTGTTTGATGCATTGATTGAATATAATTCTAAAATAACAGTGTAATTAATTTCTTTTAATTGAATTAAAAAACAATTGTTGGATAATATAATATAATTGTAGTAGAAATTCATTCAAATTAGTATTATGGAGAAGTTTTACATGAAAAAAGTATTTTTAATAAGATTCATGTGGTTTGCTTTACAATATTTAAATGGATTTATAAATTATTTTTAAAATAAATTTTAACCTTTTTAATATTTTGAATTAATTTAATAATTTAAACTTAAATAAAAACTCCAATGTATAAAGTTTTTTGGAGTACTTTTTTATGATTATAATTCATATATATTTCCAATAAAAATAAATTTTTTCATGACTAAATTTGTTATAGAGAATTACAGATTAATAAAATATTTCATAAATTGATAGCAATTAGTATAGCTACTTCTTGAAGTAGTATTAGTAGTAATAGAAGTATATACGAACCCGTATTAAAGATCCAAAGTCGGAGAGAAGATGATTTTTTGACCTTAGTTTCACTTTGGATCTTTATAACTCGTGAAAAAATTATTAAATGAAAATTTTAAAGAGGTTGTTGAAAACTTCAGAATCTCAGCTAAAGATAAATATCCATATATCCATATCCAAAATTTATTTCACCCTCAAAATTGCCAAAATAGTTGGCAACTTCCCAAAAAAATGTGATTTTTTTAAATATTTTAGCAATTTTAAGGGTGCAAGAAATTTTTTAGACATTTTTTATAGATATGAATGTTTAGCTTAGATTTTAAGGTTTTCAAAACGTCCCTAAAAACGGTTATTAGACCGTCCGTTCATCAGTTATAAGGGTTTAAATTCAAGGGGATGATGATTTGTAATTTGTATTTAGTGTAACCCATTTTTAAGGGTGTTAAAGTGAATTTTCTTGGACTGTGCCCCAATTTCCCATTTCTACGTATCAAGACGAAGAGAATGAGCCCTCAATCATCAAAATCGGAGTACTTTTATTTTTTGGCCTAAAAAAATGGAAAGGGGTACCACTTGTCACTTTTAGGGGTCGAAAAATCAAAGTAGTCCGATTTTCAAGTTTGACCACTCATTCTCTTCGTCTCAATGCGTAGAATTACGGAATCAGGTCAAACATACAAAAAATCAATTTTTTCACTCCTAAAATGGGGTAAAACGAGAACTTGCGTTAATTTAAGCATTAATTATGCACCAATTATGATTTTAACTATATCGACTTTTTCCCTTTCCTCCAGATCTTTCATATGAGCCCTCGATCAACCCCTCAGCATCATTAGCATAGAAGTTATGCACATTTTCATGTTTTACAGTTTTTCAAGGAAAAATTCTCAAAAAAAAACAAATTTGGTTTCCCTATCGTTCCCCATAGTCCCGCAATTTTAAATAAGTATTCTTTCGGTATATTTTTTTTTCTCTTCATTGGCTGAAGTGCTACAATCTGAAAATTTAATCGAAGAACTCTTCAAAATAGTCATCAAAGATGGATTAAATTTTACGTTTTCGAAGTAGTCCATTAACGTTTCAATAATAGAAATGGTTGAAACATTTATGTGGACTTGTGTAATATAGAGGGCGTTTTATGATTTAAATTTTTGATGTCTATTAATAATTCATTATGCGAATATGATTACATAAAATGAATGCAATCATCTATTCTACTCCAATGTTTCGACTTAATGTCCTTTCCAGACTAGGAAAAAACTTACAGCATTCAAAACTTAAGAATTGAGTGAAAAACTTACAATATAAAAGTTTAGAAAAAAAAGTTGATTTTACAAAAAGTTTTCTATGGACAAATATTGTTCGTGTTCATTTATTTTATTATAGTTTTTCTTTTTCTCTGGAAGGAGAAAATATTCGTATACAAACGAGAAAATAAAAATAAGGAGGAAAAAAAGATTCAGTATGTACAGGATAGGAATGAAAGTTTTGAAAAATGAGTCCTCGAGACCGCATACGTTTAGAATGCAAATGTGCTTTACATCTCTTGTACTTCTAAACACAACTGCCAAGTATGATGAGGGGAGTATAGTCGTAAAACGATGAGAAAGTGTAGGGCAAAGTGATATGTAATGGAATTCAAAGCAAGCGAAGAAGAGAGATCTTGGTGTGATCAAACTTTGCACACTCAGACAGGTCTTCGTGAAACTTATAAAATTATGTCTTGGGTTGAAGCGCATAGGTCGCCAATAAATTGTTGAATGCTCCAGAGTTTCAAAACGATGCGGAAGAATAAGAGCACGAAAACAAGGACAGCTAAGAGACGAAAGAAATTCTCTCGCGAGCAATCTCTCGCTAGTGGTTTATAGTGTCACGCTCAGCGATTTCTTCGACTATATAAATTCCATCTACACTGGATCACCAATAAATTCTATTGTATCCAATTGACTTAACTTTTATCTAATAAAACTTTTTACAGCTTTTATGTATATAATCACCATTCACTGATAATATCTAGTGTATTTGTGAGCATAAATTTTTGTGTGATAAGCATCAACCTAACATGTTTTAATGGAGAACATTACTGATAACATAAAAGTTTGCTAAGTTTTTTTTATCTGTGGGGAATCATAAAAAGTTATAAATATCTTGGGATATTTTCAAGCATTTTATTGAAATATTGTTGCAATTTTGTTCCATATAAATTGAGCGTGTTTAAAATAACATGCTCCATTACCTAACACTTGTAATCAAGACTTTAGAATGATTCTATTTGAATGATAAATATCTGCAATTTTTCGAATCAACTTTCTGATTCTACCAAGTTTTTTGGTCTTTATTATTCAACAGGTATTTGAGTAGTTTTCTTATTATAATTGATAATGTGTGATATAATTATCGTTACATAAACTCTATTGCTTTGATGTTTCATAGTACCAAGTGATTTGTGTGACTCTATTGTTTGATCCTATGAATAGCATCAGAACAACATTGAAATCTGTTTATAGGGGTTCATTTCATGTTAGCTACTATACTATTTTTCCATTTACTCTGGCTGTTTTAATTGCTTGAAACTGAATTGAAATATAGAAATATCCCACAGTCATTCCAGGTGGTCGCCCTCATCCAAGTAAAGACCTTGCACTTATCCAAGAGTATTTAACTTGGTAGACCACCGAAGCCGAGAATATACCACCTCACCACCACTGTTTGTTAATTTCTCTTTGCAACAAAGTTTTTATTTTATTTCACTCTTTTTATGCTGGACTTTTAATTGTTCAAGACATTTTCATATCATCAATTTTAACAACACATTCCTAAGTTTAAATATTTTTTTTTGTATTGTAAAGATCTAAATTAAAGACTGATATTTGTACATCGATCAATGTTCTGTCGGATAAACAAATGAAAAAAGAACAAATCAAATAGCAAAGAACGAGCTTTCAAACCCTACTATAATTTATTCAAATATTTTCAACTTAACGGAGTCTTGTAAATTAACGAGAAATGAAGAAAGTTTTTTTTTTAATTCATTTGTAGTTTTCTGCATTACGGAAATGAATGATAAAAAATCAAGCTAATGGTTTTTTTTAACGTGAAAAAGACACAAAAACTCCTAGCTTTCAGATGCAGTCTAGTTTACTTGAATGTTATCATTTCCAATGCAAGTAGAGTCTTAAAAAGATTGACAATAGTTAATTCGAATCAATTTTAATTAAACTTTCTTTGTTGCAAAATAGAAAAAAAAAAGAAGAAAAAAGTTCTCTCTAGCTTAGTAATATTAAGTAAAACATAATAGGTTGTAGAGAACAAGTTTGATAGAATAAGTAGAATAACTTTTAACAATATAATTTCAAACATGAATATTTAAAATCAATAAAATATATTTCTCTTGCTACCTAAATGTCAATATTGAAAAAAGTAAATTGATTATTTCTCGTTTAATATTGTAGAGCTATTTAAAACTTTCAATTGAATAGATTTGAAATAATATACTTGAAATTATAACTTTGAACAATGAATAAAGAAGATTTTCATTCTGTATGATCTATTAGAATAACCCTGCATCAACATCAATCTTCTTGACATTGATTTGTGAATATATATATTTTTTAATACTAACTCATAACTCAACAAAAATGAATTTATTATATTTCATGAACTTGGAGAGAAAATAGAATTGAAATAAAATAATTCCTTTATATTTCAAATGTTTGAAAACTTTTGAAGAATTTTCATAATTAATAGTCCGACTCAAAGGAATGAATTTATTCTTTATTTCATGAAACTTAAAACTTCGTGGGACAGTTTTTAAAAAATGAAATTTTTTTTAGAGAAAGTTATAAGTTCCAATTGTTTAAGTTTAATATTTAAAAAAAAAAATATTTGAAATAAATTTCTTCAACAAATCATGACAATTACAGGAAGAAAAAAATGTGCCTGTTAATTACAATGAAAAACTAATTGTCTGTAATTAAAAGGAAATTTAATGAAAAAAAAATTGTCCGAGTGATTTTAACAAGGACAGTTTAAAGTAATTTAAAAATAGAAAGGACATATTGCATTATTTTTAAGAGTCATGAAAAATTCAGAGTAAAATTCTTACTAAATTTTTATCATCTGTCAAAGATTTAACTCTGATTAACCCATTAAACTTTTTGATATTTAAAATGAACTTAATTAAAAATTAAAATTTTACTAATTGATGAATGATTATATCTAAAATATTAGTAAGTATATAAAAATGAATTATTACTATCTCTCAAAGTTGATGGAATTTTAACATTATTGCACAAATGTATTCATTTGAAAGTGTAATTCATACCTCACAGAATAAAGTTATTAATACTTTATTAATTTAGCTTTCCATAATTCTACCAGAGACCCTTTTTAGCGTCTCTGGAGACTAAGTGCTTAATGCAAGAACTCGAGATATCTATAGAAGTGATGTCGATGCAAAATGGATCAGGTACAATAGCAATTATCGTAGTTTCTAAAGTGAGAAGAGGGAAGACCTCAATTATTACGTTCCAGAAATTTCATTCTCTCTCCTTGACGACGCGTTCTAGCTCTCTTTTCTGAGTGCCCTATCGACACTACGACAATTCCTCTAGGTATGCAGGCAATTGGAGATTCGCGATTATGCATTAAATGTCGTTCCGAATGTCGCACGCGCAGTTCCCGAATCTCCAAGTTAGATTCCATTCCGGTGTTGACTGCCCCTCCGTTCGATCTATTATTCGGCAACTTTGAATGGCTGTCTACCAGTCGCCGTCCTCCAGAGACCAAAGCAGAGAATATCGTCTAACGATTGAATCAATGGCTAACATGTAACGAACAAACTTTTCCCTTTCAATAGACCTTTTCAGCACTCTTTCCACTCACCCTAACTGTGACTGCAGGAGCTCCACTTATTTCTCTTTCTTTTTCTAACTTTGTTTGCACGCTTTTCAATCATTCAGACAGCTGTGGCAAACATTTTTCTCAGTTTATTGATTGATTATTAGTAAGAGTAATTAAGTAAAGATGCCTAATAGTATCCGTGATCTTAATTTTATATTCCTCATTATCTAATAAACTTCCAAGTTGATCAACAGTGAACCTCGATGCACCAAGAGTAAACTTACTAAATTATATTCCATTAAATATCACGTTTCATGCTCCTTAGTAAGTTTTACTTATTGTTAAGAAAAATAGATTCTTTAGATAATAGATGAATATATGCTGATATAATTAGAAAAAGTTTTTCACCTACCAACTTGTAAAGATCAAATCTATCAAGAAATCTTAACTACCTGCGTTATAAAAGGCTTTAGTTGTCAAAAAAAAAACCCTTAAGTTTACCCTTATTAAATCTTGTCAGATTAAACTATTTTTAGTTAGGCTGACTGAGTTTGAGTGTCAAGTAAAAGAAAAAATTTGTCATCATGAGGGAAATGATTTTCTTCATTACGGTTTCAGTTTTACAAAGAAAAAAAAAAATAAGTGAAAGTCTAGATTTGGGGCTCCAGACTAAGTGTATTGGGAAAACAAATATAAGCATTCTATTCTTTCATTTAGATTGTAAAAGGGACAGTAGAAAGGGGGAGGGGAAGCCACGAAAAGACGAGTACAGTCACGATTAATAGGAGAATTTACACGAGTTCGGGATAGCTTAGTTGGTAGAGCGTCCAGCGCGTAACTGGAAGGTCCGGGTTCAACCCCTGGTCCCAGCTGTGTATTTTTTTTTGAAAAAATTGTCCTATACAAGTTGTGGAGTCGTTGAATTGTGTGTCTGGTGTGGAGCCCCAATTCAAAACAATTACCAAAAAATATTTTCGAATAATTATAAAACAATAACATGAGCTTTGATATTTTTAAAAATTTTTCTTTATCATTTTCTATTGAATATAATATCAATTTACCATAAAAGAAACTACGAATTTTTAGTGAACCGATATCGGTTGCAGGTATGCTTTTGTTTACCAAACATATCGGAACAACAGTATTTTGTTATTTTAAGAAACAAAAAACCTTATTTAAACAAAAAGCTTTTCTCCAGAACTATCCCACTAAATTGTAAATTTTTATCAGAATTAATTTTTTTTACCAAAAAGAGAAAAAATGAAAATATAATACAGTATTTTTTGTCAGCAACGTTGTCTTATGAAAATAAAAATAAATAGATCTTACCTTCTTAAAGTATCTAATCGTTGTTCTTGAGCTTTAATATATCCGTGGAGAGTATCAATAAGCACTGATTCTGTTTCGAGTAGTTCTTCCATATCCGCAAGAGCAGTATAGAGTTCTCCATTTCCAGTTGAAAGGAAAGAATAAATAACTAAAATGACTGAAACGAGTTTCAGAAATGATGCCATCGTCTTAGTACATCCACCGTTTCTTTATTAAATTTCTGAAAGCAAACAAAAACGTTTTTCATTAGATGAGGCGAATTCATTTTAATTAAAACTATGAATGTTTTGTCAAGTTTAATAGAAAGTATATTGTTGTAGAAATAAATATAAAACTAAAATTTCATTGAATTAGTGAAATAGAATTTAACAGCATCTAAAGTAAGTTTTGACGATGTATTGAAAAGAAGCTAACGAGAAATCATCATGTTTTAGGTGGGTTTGAAACGTTTACGATGCATTTTATCCAGTTCCCCCTTTTCGCTGTCCTTGTGTAATTTACGTATACTTCCTTCCTGTGAACTCCAGTTGAAAGTTTTCCATGACGAGGCGTTGTACCGTTGGTAAGGGGTAAGTCTGAAGTCCGTTGAGGCAGGAGGAAAACCTTCCTTCCTAGCTAAAGTTTCTGACAAGGAGGAGGAGAAGTGAACAGCACGAGGGGAATCCAGCCAAGAAACATCCTGTACAAGGGACAGAGTGTGTTCCCCTCGTGGCCACCAAACTCATCCTACTCTAAAGGGAGACTTAAACTTCCTAAGCCGTTTCTTTTAGCGCCCAACTAGGCAACTGCACCGTTGCAAATTAAGAAAAAATCCTATAATCGAGTTTCCGGAAGTGCTGCTACTAACACACCAAAAGATGCCAACCGTACAAGTGCAAGTAAGAAAGAAGAAGATCACTGCCAGACGAACTGAGTATCCTCGGGCTTCCCAGTGCCAGAGAAAAACTTTTCGTGAGATTAAAGTCCACAACTATAATGGTCGGACAATGACCTGACTGACCCAACTAATTAAAAGCCCCACCTCACTTTCATCCTTTGATTTATTTCCTTCTTTTTTTATTGCTCTTTTTTCACTTCACTCTGATTTGTTTTATTCCGTTGTCTGATTTCCGCATCTGATCTGCTTGTTTGCCATCAGACACTATTAATTTGTCATTAACAGCAGCACACAAGAGCTTGGAATACGTCGTTTTATCTTGGGGAAATTTTTAAAATTAATTAATGTGAAGTAATTAAATGAGCAAAGAGGAAATTATCTGGATATCGAGAATAAATGAGCAAATAACTGATAACTGATTATTTCCAGATTCTCCAACGTTCAATAAACTCTTCTGATACTAAAATTGTGTTGGTAAAATAACTTAATAATAAAGGAAAGTAGTTTCAAGTATCAGTTTAAATTATCGTCGCATGCTAAATGATTTCTTCAATCGACTTTTGCGATAATTAAGCCACAAGTAATTTTTCAACTAAATATAAATTGATCAGATTGCAACATAAAGAAGATTGTGATATTAAAACAAATTTTTCTATAAGAATATTCCAAGTTTTGAATCACTTTAAGAATTACATATAAATATGTAAATTTAAATTTAAAAAATCAGAGTGAGTTGATTACCTATTGACACATCCTCTTTCCCAGTGTCATCTTAAATTAGAATTAATAAGAGTGAGCAGGAAAGAGTCAATAATTGGAGTTAAAATGATAAAAATTGGTTAGTATATCTGACAATGGAAATATCAACTAAGAGGAATATAATTGTCGGCAAAAAATATTAATTGTGTGAAAAAAATTCAATGTTTAATTTAGTTTGTAGCTCTGAGTATATAATTACTAGAATCAATAAAAATTATATTGATCCAATTAGAGAATTCTGTTCAACAGTCTCACTAAAGCATTTATTTGAAATGAAAAGAAAAATTATTTTAATTTTTCAGTCAGTTATTTTATGATAGATTTTTTTTTTAATTGAAAATCATTTACTTTGAATGTGCTTTAGCAATTAATGAATAATTTAATGATGAACAATTCAGTGAGATTATTGGTAATAAAAATTATTTTAAAATTTCAAAAGGTTTTTTTGTTGTTCATAATTGGAGAAAAATATTTAAAAAATAATGATTTGTACAAAAATGAATTAAAACTCTAATTAAATTCGACTGACTTTGTAAATGATTTTTAAAATGTAATTTAAATTGTAAATGTACTTATTGTTGAACAATAATTTCTATTATAGTATTTAACTTTCATTGATTAAAACAATAAATTTATTACCTAGTGCTCTATACACAATTTGTTATCTCCCATTGGTATAATAATGCCACTATATGATTATTGGAATTATGATTGTTTTAATGAGATGCAGCTTACAAAAGTATGTGAAATTTTATAATAGAAATGCAAGTAATAACGTCAACCTGCGGGTTAGTAACCAATGAAATGTTGTGTGAAATGTATTTTCCAATAATCAGTAATGCCATTTGCTTTAATCGCTAGGATCGTTTATACATAGACGTGTATTTATATACTTATTCATGTCGAGATACAATTATGCAGAAACAATTGTGTCTGGATCAACACTCGTTTATATATATCAAATTTATTCAAACAAATACCATCAGCTTAATATCACACTCATGAGATTTTGAATCATTTAATGTTTTTTAATTGGAGTTGGCTGTTTGCCAACAACGATGAGTATTTTCATCACTTCATATTTCTTGGTATAAATGAATTTGAAAAAAATTCATATAAATACTGTATAATTGAACAGTTGAATTTTCATGAGTTGAAGATTTGAGTGAAAATAAAGAATTGGTTGCATGTTTGTGGACGATTCTGTTCACATTCACAATAGCTTGGATTTAAAACTTTTTTTAAATTATTCATGTTGAATTGATAAAATTGTTGAATCATTTTTAAACAGGCGTTTATTACCGACAAAAAGAAAAATTTTTTATTGATTATCAAATGTAAAGAGGTACATATCTCCACCAAGTCTAGGGAAATTTAATTTAACTCTACATAAGTAGAAACAAAAGTTTGGTTTCTTTTTAGCCCCACATCACCATGAATCTAAATGTTTAATTAATTCAAATAGTAAATGTTTTTAATGCTCAATACTTATATTCACACTTAGATTAAATCAAAGTTAAATAAATTGGTTCAATATTGGTCTAGAAATGGACCAATGTTCAGTTCTGCTAAGGTCATTCAAAAAATTCCTGATAGTTTTGATCAGACATTTGCTGAATAAAGAGCTAAAATATAAACTGGAACGTGGGTATTGTTGATCAGTAAAAATGAATAAATTAAAACAAATTGTAAAAATTGCCAAGGAGATGATAGAAATAATGATAAAAGTTTGTTGATTGTTTCTAAATTTCCGAGAAAAACTTGATAATTTTATTCTCACTCTTGAACAAAGCTCAATCAGCTCATTCAAGTAAAATCTATTTCTTCTTGTTCATCATTGTTAAACGACCGACCGAACTTTGACTCGAACATTCGTAACTGATAAAGAATTGGAAACAATAGGAATCAAAAAAGTTTAAAATTGAGTGAAGGAGTAAAAGGATGTATTTGAGAAGATTGGCGACTTATTCCGTAACGCAATGAATTCTTGAGAACACCATTGACGTAAGTAGTTAAAGTTCTTGATAAAAAGAACACTAGTACAAGCGCTAGCAGTCCTAGAGAATGTTCCTGGAAAAGTCAAAGGACTTGGGTGATTCAAGAGTGGGAAGAAAGAGTCAGGCAACTGGGGAAGAGAAATGTAAGAGACGACGAAGTCACTGTTGGAAACTCTTAAGAGTGGTGCTAATTAAGCGGCACCTTAGAGAATGGGTTTCGCCCTCAGAACAGTCTTAACAAGACTGCTAACGCGATTATCAAGGGGAGAGGATACTGCAGGACCGCAGTAGCAGCAGCTGAAAAAGGAACTAAAAGAGATGGGGCAGACTTAAAGTACTTAGAAAACAAGCCCTGCCTATTTATGCTTTGCATATACATCCCGCATGTACTTGCGACCAAGTTATGTACTCCCCTTTAAAACGAAGCACACAGAGAACCCGGGTTAAATGTTCCTGGTGCTCTTTGACAATCTTGCTGAACACGCTCGTTTTTCATCCAGGGGATACGGGTCATAAACCTGAGGATAGTCACAGAATCCCAGATCGGACTCTTGATCGCTAAAATGTGCTAAGTAAGTTCGAAAAATACCATCAAGATAATACTGTTTGATTTATTAATCAAGAATTACTGGTGAGAGATCAGCAATAAATGTTTATTTAAGTAAATTTATTTTTCAAGGTGAAAGCTGGGGAAACAAGGAAAATTGTATTTGCATTTTGAAAAATTCAATAGAGCTATGAAAATCAAATTCTGTTTTAGTAATAAAAAAAATTGCATTTGGTAAGAAATTATGTTAAATGAAAGAAGATTTACTGATGATGAAGTTTCTGTAGTTTAAAATATTATTTAGATATTTAAAATAGTCGTTAAATAATTTTAAAAAGTTATATAAAGTTACTTAGAACGTTTTTTTAAAGATTAATGAAGTTAAAGAAGGAAAAAATTAATGAGAAATATTCATCCTGATGTAAAAGAAAGTTGTTGTGTTTTATTTTTTTTTGTTGTAATTAATTTTAAAATATTCTTTTTAATTAAAGTTTTAATTTAACTTGAGAAATAAAATTATACTGATATTTTTTGAGACTTTTTTATCTTGATAACTTGAAGAAATCTTATAGTACGGATTCAGAATTTTATTTGAACTACAGTTTCATTATTGTAAATTTAATATGGTTGGTAGAAGTTGGTAAAGATTCACAGTAAATGAATGTTTCTTTATTAATCTCTAGTCTATAGTATTATCGGTACTTCAATTACGGGGTTTCTCTTCCTTCGTTATGGAAACCTTCAAAGTATAAAACTCTTTAAGAATCCAAATTTCCAAGTTAAAATCCTACTAACGTAACATTTATAAGACCACCAGAGAATAAAGTGTCAATAAATGCTTCCTTAATATAAGACAGATCGTTTTTGATGAAGAATTGTAATAAAACTTCACTGAAGCTTTAAAGAGTAAGATTACTATTAAAGTAAAATTAAAGAATCTTAGTGACTTTCAAGAGGTTCATCTTGGATGGATATAATTAGATAAGAATGACTCGAAAATTGTTTTTTTGTGCTTCCACAGGTTTTTACATTTATTGAAT